TCAATTCCTGAAGAAGAATGACATGAATCATTGGAATGCAGCTTTACGAGTGTTAGCATACGCTTATCATACTCGTCACCTCGGTTTAACTCTGGGAGGTTACGACAATAATCTTGATGGTTTCACTGATTCAGACTGGGCAGAGAACTTACACGACCGTTCATCGACATCTGGTTATCTCTTTCGCCTTTCAAATGGACTCATTTCATGGAAATCAAGAAAACAAAAGACTACCGCACTATCAAGCACTGAGGCTGAATACATGGCTTTGAGTGATGCAGGCAGGGAGGCTATGTGGCTAAGGCAACTTCTTCAAGAAATTCATTTCATAAACAGTTCACCTACTATCATTCACTATGACAACACTGGTTCCGCTGCACTAGCAAATAATCCGGTACATCACTCTCGAAGCAAGCATATTGATTTACGTTATCACTTCATACGTCAACTAATTCAGAACAAACATGTTACTCTTAAACAAGTTAATACTTCTTTTCAACTTGCTGATTTTCTTACTAAAGCTCTTCCTCGTTCTACTTTTATCAATATTAGAGATCAATTAGGTTTAAAGGATACGTCTAGATAGAGACTTTTTAGCATGGGGGGGTGTTGGAGTTACGTTTGTGCTTTCAAAGTCTATGTGTAACAATGTTTTTCTCTTTTAGTGCATTTCATAATTGACATTACATCATTTGTACGAATGCGGTTTTATTACGTCATATACGTCATTGTTCATTTCACAACGATTGTTCATGCTTTTCTATTTAACCTGTGCTCCAACAACAGTCTAATGTTTTTCTTCATCTGACTGTTTCTTCAAAACCAAATCTTATTATAAGATTATTAGCGTTGTTTCTTTTTCTTTACTTATACTAAGATTTGTTTTTGTTTGGTTTCAGGTAATGAAAAGTTTGATCGGACTGTTTCTTCAAAACCAAATCTTATTATAAGATTATTAGCGTTGTTTCTTTTTCTTTACTTATACTAAGATTTGTTTTTGTTTGGTTTCAGACCAACAACGTCCAACGGCCTAATTGCTTTATCTCGTCATGTGATACCCCTAGGGCGTTTCTCAACAAAGCACCTCCGACTCGGAACGAATGCCCTGAGATGGAGTCCCACCCGTATAGTCGCCAAACTTGTTGACACCTTGACACAACTGATGATCTAGTTAGGTTGATTCTCTTCCCGTCGGCATTGTTGTAGCTGAATAAGGACTCCGTGGTTGTTGTACAAGTTGCTAGGCGACGTAAGACAGCTTTTACGGGGCATAGTTTGTTGGGTTGTGCATTCAGTAACATCGGTTGGTGTATCCCTGGTTTAGCCGTCTTCGTTCCTCTAAGTAAGAGGACAATATGGGACAGGTTTCCTATAGGTTGTACTGCGTCTTTGGCGAGGACTGAGTTTATCCTCACCGGTTCACCTTCTGAAATGTCATAAGTTAATTCTGCTAATCTTGCCAAGCCCCAAAATGCCACGATGGCGCAATCTAGAATCGCTAAGTCTTTCTTCGAGGAGTTGTTTAAACTATCGTATAGAGCCAGCAAGTGGTGTATCATCACGGCGGGTTTCTTCGGTTTCTGGACCATCACCACGTCTATTTGTTCTGACGCCCTTAGCATAACTTTCACAATATCTTTTGTTGTGTGAGGGTAAAGTTTCTGATGATATAGGTGCCAAGCCTGTAAACCAAATAGATATTTTGCCAAGGTCTTTGAGTTTATTTCTTCTTGAGACTCTTGGAAATTGCTTCTACCCACTGTTAAACAGAAATCGTAGATATCCTCTTCTGTTGCCGGTAGCTGGAAAGGAGTCTTCCTATCTGTTTCGTAAAATTTTATAAATTTCTTTACTGCACTATTATAACTACTTAGGGTGTTTGGTTTCCATCCCTTTAATAAGTGAAGTTGTAGTAGGGTCGGTGTCGAGTCTCCATTACCAGATAGAAAAGCCGCTAGATTGTGTAGATTTAAGTGATTGTTCATGTCCTAAGAGGTTGTAGTTGAGAAAGACTCTGGGCTCCTCTCTTATCAGGAGTCGTCACAAGAGCTTATTTTCCTTTTGGTTTACGTTTTGTTCCATTCTAGTAAGTTCTATTCTTTACAATCTTACGTTACTCAACCGATCGTGTCACCTGTCATTCTCACGGTGTCATGACTCTAGTTCTGGATCTCTCTTTCTCCAGTGTTTCAACAAGAAAATATGCATTTCAACAGGAAAATTTCTTAGAATCAGGGTCTAGTACATCAACAAAATTTGAAAATCTGATTTACAATAGGTTTGATTGTGTTCATTTTATGGACTTCTGTATCTTAGGCCTATAAATTTTCCGTCAAAGTGGTATAACTTCCATAAGTTTTCTTATAATTTGTTCAATTTATACAATTTCTTTTATAAAAATGTCACTTACGGAGTTATTATCATTACTTCGGCTAAGTCGTCTGGTAGAAGGAAATGCACTCTTCTAGCTTCTTCATGGGTGGTTGGTAGTCCTCTAGATAATTCATCTGCGTCATTATCATTGGACGTTACTCTAAGAGGGTGTATGTTGGTTTGGTTTTCAATCAAGAGGTTTTGGATAACTTTCCATTCCTCATTTACGCTCCTGTCTCTAGATTTCCGTTTCCGAAGGGCGTCTTCACAGGTTGTATTGTCTGTCCAAACAATTAGGTTTTGACCTTTCGGCCATCTTAGTTGTTTCAGCATTAAAACTCCTAATCTTATTGCGACTGTTTCTAGCCACGGGACACCTCTCTTTGTTGGTGAAGTTGATTCCCAATTGTCTTTCAGTTTGTATTGGCACCACTATCTCCTATAAGTACCCCAATTCCGAAAGAGGTGGATGCGTCACCTACCCACTTTATCTCTTTAAGTTGAGTTATTGATATAAACCTCAAATTTTTGAAAGATTGTAATGTTTTTGTCCAGTCTAAAAGGTCTTCTTTTACATCTTCTGGAATGTGTTGTTTGGCGGAGCGGTTTATCCAGGAGCTCTTCCATCTATGTAGGCTATTAAGGTAGCATTGCAATTGAGGAAGGAGATATGATATGTGAGTTAGGCGTCCCGTTAGAACTTCCACCTGATCATAAGAGAAACGTTCTTCAGTTAGGAATTCTGCAATTTGTAATTTCCTCTGTTCTAACTTCTCATGAGGTAACCGTACAGTTTTCTCTACTCCATTCCATATGAAACCTATAAATTTTTGTTCATGTGCAAAATTAGCACATTTCTTTTTGTTTGTCAGAACCCCTAACTCTTGAAATTGTGCCACAATATCGTCCATATTTGTCGATGAAAGGAGCCTCTTGACAAATAAATTGTCATCGACCCATCTGAAAACAGTAAAAAGGTCGAATTCAGTGATCATTCTATGTTTCCAAGCATCTGCTGGTCTGCCAAATGAGCCACAGCCGGCTACTCCTCCAAACGTGATCCTTGTATCTAAGTAAATTTGTCCTTCTAAATCCAGCACTAGTAGGTAAGGCCATTGTGACATCTTGGTAGGGATCTGGCGGTAAGCCTTTTCCCAATCAAAGATGGCCACTAGCCACTTTTCGTTTGAGGACCTAAAGAAAGCGGCTATTGTCTTAAAATCGTCCCAGGTGGTTTTAAACTTCTTCGGGTCGACGAATGAGTTTACAGAAGGAATTTGATTGTTATGCTTGGGATAAGAAAGATCGTTGATAGGTCTCAACGATCCGTCGTTGTTGATTACGGCTCCCATTGGGCTAGTCCAAAAGAAAGGGAATACTTTTGATAACTGCTCCTTGGTAAATGGTCCAATGAGACGCTTCGCCTTCACTTCATTTTCAATTGATTTCTTGATTTTCTTGCTTGCAAGATACGCCGATGAGTGATTTGATGGGGTGAAAGAAGGGAGAGGTTGCCTTGTTTCAGGGTCTAGGACAACGTGTGTTGGAATCCCTTGATCGAAACCGTGTTTGAAACCATGCACTGCCAGCATTAAAGAGGTTCCCAGATGGGAATATGGGTCCTAGTGATCAGATTCCCATTCTGCTACTGTTACACAGTTCCATGAATATTTCCTGAGTAGCCATTTTGATATATGTAGTCAATATTTTGAAATGTGTGTCTCAATCTGAACAAAGTTACAGCATGTATTACACATTATTTTCTTATCTAGATGAGCAGATAACTGAGCAAACCTGTATGTAGCTGATAGCTAAGGATTTACTCAGATGTTTGCACATATGTAGTGTATGCTTTATGGCTCAGATTTTCAGTGCACAATGATTTGATGCCCCATTCTTCTCTCAATGATATTCCCAGCCTAGGTCTTGTTCCGACCAGGGAACCTATTTAATGCTGGCAGTGATGTATGACATCTCCAAACTCTGGCAAGAGCTTCGCGCTCTTCAAAGCTGCTTCCCAGGCCGGTATGTTCATTTCACACTTTATCAAACGTGGCCAGCTAGGTGGGTATTCCGGTTGGTGTTTCTCATTAGACGTCGTTTTGTCTGCCCTTTGTTCACGACGTGTTGTCTGTTCGTCTGTAAATTCTATCGGGTATAACTTGTCACAGGATACTGTCCATATGGCCTTCCTTTTACCTTTTGATCGTTTCATGGTCAAAGTAGGTGTATGGTTCGTCGTCAACTCAGGGCTCCTGTTACAGAAGGAGACGTGTGGGACATGGGGGGGAAAACAGTTATGAGTAACCAAATTAAATTGTTGTCATTGTGTATTGCATCATTAGACATCTTCAAACTCTTAGGAACAACGTGTGTACTTATACAAATGCTGAAAACATTTTATTCTTCCAAATGAAAGCTCCTTTTAACAACAATGTATTAAACAATAGTGGAGAATATATCTTGGATATTAACCAAAATTTGAATAAAGGTTTATTAAAGGAATGTGGAGAAAGGTTTAAGTTGGCCTTGATGGCCTCAAGAAATGATTGATAATAGATGGAAACAATTGGTAATAGATGGAAATATTTGTGTCTGGCAAGGAAACGAAAAAGGGGTATAGGATCTTACGTGTTCCCGTTTCCAGTTGGCGGTTTAGCCGCTGCTGCCTTCTTCGCTGCATATTTTGGGTCAAAGTTTCTCCCGTTGTAACCACTTTTGCTCCTATGTCCTAAATCAGGTTTGTTCTGGAATCGTTTATGATTACCGTGGTTGTTGTTGTTTGTGTGGTGATGATTGTGACTAGTATGGTTGTCTGAGGAACTTGTAGTAGGGTTGTTTGAGACCTAGGTAAGCCTGTGGTCCAGTCGTAACCGAATCTAGTGCCGCCTTTTGCGTACGGGTTATCAGTGAAAGACGCTTCATCTAATCTGCGAGTTTCAGCAAAGCATATTGCGGGTATGTCTTCACGTCTTTGAGAGATGTCTGGTGGAGCGTTTGTTTTGCCTTGAAGGACCCAAAAAGCAAAGGCGTTCCATCTCATTTTGATGTTGTACCAAAAATCCGTCATCCAGTTGTCCCTTTCATGGTAAAACTCTACGTTGGATTGATGGATCTCTGCCCAGTTCGCGAAGGTTTTGAAATTGTAAACGTTTCTTAGAACCAATACAAAGTTGCGATAATTGACGTTCCAGGATGCATAAGTTTGAGTCATCTCGTGTGGATAGGGGTAGCCGGTATACGGTGTGATATCTTTATTAAGATTGTTGGTCTTTACTCTTTTCTCTACATGATAACTATTGGCTAAATCTTGCCATTGCTTGTTGAAAATAGTTAAAGGAATAGGGCCTCTTAACTCTTTTAAATTCTTGTCGAAGTATGGGGTGAAACCTATGTCCATATGGGACGTAACTGCACCTGGTATGAAAGATAATCCTCCTTCCGTTACTATGGATTGTTCTTTCTCTTCTACCTCACGAGTTACTTTGTTGGACGGTGTTTGTTGAGTTTCTCGTGAATCTTCTTGTAGTATATCGAGTTGAGACTTTTCTTAGATACTAACTGAGCGTGTAGCTGAAAGTACATAGAGGCTTCTTCTACTTTCCCTGAGGCTGCTAGCTTTAAAGCTGGGTTCCACACTGCCTTCGTATCATTCAAGTCTAGATTAGACTCAACCGAGATAGTCTTATCAGAGCTGTTTTTGGCTATGGGTAGAGACTTGTCAGTTCATTCTTATACTCTTCTCTTGGGGGGGATATTAGTCTTATTCGACTCACCAATAGTATCTTTGTTTGGTACGCTACTCGCTATGGTGGAAGTTGGAATAGACGGTGTAGAACTCCTACGCTGTGTGGCGTAGGCTGAGCCGGAGAGGGGAAGAATCACACGCAGAAAGAATAACAAGATGCAGGTGAAACTATGATTGTTGTAGACTGCCCTCAACCTTGAAATAAAAGCTCAAAAGTAAAAATAAAAAATAACACAGGAGCAATTCTCTAACAAATTTCTATCTTCACAAATCTAACCCGTAAAACTATTCTGATATCACTAAAAGATCCGCAAGATCTGGCAGATTCCAACCATACCCTACACAATGCTATACAAGGTGTTGAAGCAAAGATATGTAAATTTTGAGTTTAATGTAATTCTTGCTATGAGTAAAAAAAAAATGATAGAAAATGATATATGGAAAGCCCTGATAAAAAAAACCCGGCCCTGAGCTTGAATCCAACCAACTGACAACTGTTTCACGACTCAGCTCAGCAAAACTACAATAAAGAAAAAAATAAAACAACAACACTACAATTCTTCAAGATCAACCACTACAAACGATAATCTAAACTACGATAAAGGTTTGTTTTATTATCTATCTTTCTTTTTCTTTCAATGAGATAAAAAAAATCCTAACAAACTTGATTTTAATCCAACACACGATGATGAATTTCTAAACTAACACTTCTTTTTCTTTCTTATCTTGACTCTTTCAATAGGATCTTCTTTAAAGAAAACTGATACGATCAAACACGATAACTTTCACTGAACCACTCAATAATGAACACTCAAACAGAACTAAGACACTTTCAAGATGATAACACTAGAACACTTCTTCAGAAGACTCTTAGACACCTAGACTTGAATCACACAAAGAAAAACACTCGAGAATGATCCGATGGATGGATCAAAAAAAAGAAAACGATACCACATCCACACACAGACACGAACCCCCACAATAGATTCCTCCAGAGAAGCTCTTCAATCCCTTCCTCCTTACCAAATTTCAACTCGATCTCCAATCGGACTTTCTTTCTCAAATCACATCAGTAAGTTTTCTATTTCCTTCTCCACTTTCTTTTCTCCACTTTCTTTTGTCTCCACTATCACATTCTTCATTTCAGTTATCTAAATTTCGATTCTGGACCTTTATTTAAGTGAGTTTTTTCATCTATCTATCTTTGTTTGTCTTTCTACTGAATCCTTTAATTCTTCTTTATAGATCGATAGGTTGATTTCTTATTTGGTAAATTATTTCAATTCTTTTGATTTATTTTGCTATTACTCATTTCTCTTTATTGTTCATTCTTCCTACTAATTTAATCTTTCTTTTTTTTCTGATTTGATTCCTTTGTTGTTTGTGTAACTTTTAGATTCATTTTACTCTCGGTCCAATCGATTTCAATTTCGACTTCATACCCTCATTGCATCAAACTTCTTCCTACCACCCTCACTCTCATCTCCCTTTCGATTCTGAGCCTTCTTTTTGATTTAAATCAATCAATCAAGATCTCCATCTTTCAATTTCGATTTTGGTCATTATGTAAGTAAGTTTTCATCTCTTTTCTTTTGATCTTTGCTTCTTGTTCAGTACTGACACTACCCTCATTCCTTCTTTTGACTTCAAACTCCAAAAACGAATTTATCTATCTCTATCAATTCAATTCTTTCCTTTCAACTACAACCATCATCAATCAACCTCATTGAATTTCGATCTCAGCTACCCATCTTGATCTTGATCTCATCTTTTAATGGACCTACACATCATTATCTTCTTTAAATAACAATTTCGATTTTGATCATTTTGTAAGTTTCTTTCTATTTCATTTGTCTTCTTTGTTTGTTCTTCATACTAACTTATCTTCTATCTTGTTTTGGTTCCTTTCATTTGCTTGTAGGTACCCCGTTCAATCAATTTCAATTTCGATTTTGACCTTTGATTTCTACTGACACAGCCCCCTTCTCCTTTCTTTTAAAGCTTTGGACATAGATTTCAATTCCAGGAATGTTTGATGAATAGGTTAATGAATTTGATTTCGATTTCTACTGTTTTTTTTTGATGAACTCATGATGGTATGTCTTTTCCTGCCTATCCTATTTTCTCCACTTTCTCATCTTGATTTGTTCTTGTTATTTGTTGACTTTCAATTTTGATCTTGAGCTGTGCTATGATATCATAGTTTCATATTATGTAAGTAAGTTTTAGTTCTTTCTTTCTCCTACTTTCTCATTTACTAACTCTTTATTTTCTTTTCTTGATTCATTTGTTTTTTAGATCTTAGATTTATTCATTTCGATTTTGACTATCCATTCAACAATGTACATTCTTTTCATTTTCGATTTTGGGGTCTTCAAGTAAGTAAGCTTTTCTTTATTTTACTTTGTTTGTTCCTCTACTGACTCATTTGATTTCTTTCTTTATTTCGCTTCTAGGTACCTTTTTTAATCAATTGAAAACAACTACTTCCTTTGGACCGTTTCTATATCAATCATCTTTGGTTTCAATGTACTTGTAATTTAAACGATGTGAAATAAATAAATGCAATGAATAAACTAAAATATGTTAACTCAAAAAAATTCACTCCTGCTGAGTAGCATCTCAAATAGAGCCTGAAGGCTGTGACTGAGGATAATGATGGTAATGTAAATAGAGAGCTGTGGAAGAATTTGCTTTCCACAACGGAGTAGTTTGGTTTGAACCTATGTAAGTCAATGAGTTAATTATTATTCTTGTTCATTACAAAATTTGGTAATTTCTTATCGTACCTGGTACATTATTGGCCGGTGTTCCTGATAATAAGGACACACAACCAGAACTAATTGGTAAGTTTGTTTCTGAGTCTAATTGTTCCCCTAGAGTAGTGCCTTTGGATGGGCTTGTTGGACGATTCACCGTTGGAACATTCTTTGATGTTCTCGATGAACTCTGGGTTGCTTCTGTTGGGCCTGCGAGTGCTGTAGACAATTGGCCGGTCTTGTTTGTTGCCTCCATGGATGTTTCCGTGGTAGGTCTTTCTGGATTGGTCATGCCTATATCCGGAAGAAATATTTAGGTTTGTCAGTTATCTTATACATGATTATGACATTATTCAACTTATGCGTACTATCGCTATGTTGTTGTGTGCTGGAGTTGGGTATTCCACTCGTCAGCATATTTGCTACTAAGCCGCTTTTGCCTGCTTCATTACTAGTGACATTCAGTGAAGATTCACTTTCAGCTGGGCCTTTGCTACTAATAGCTGATGGCTTTTTGCTTATTGTCGATTTATTGGTCAGTTTGACAAATTCCGATGTTTTAGATTTAGATTAATGCTACTGTTAAGGTTTTATTCGTTGTATATGATGGTTAACGAGGTGAGTAAAATGATATAATGAATATTAGTTCGGAGCGAGAAAAGAAGGGTTGCAAAGCGTGAAAAGAAAAAGGGTTGTAAAAACGAGTATATTAAATGGAGTTTTAAAGGAGGTTTAAATGAAAGTAAAATCAGAAAGATAATGGATTTAGGGAATGTTATCAAAATTGGTAGTGTAATATTTTCTAAGTTTCCTTATTTCCTGACAGATCTTTGTTTGGGTAAAACTTAATGTTTACTTTAAACTTCCTAATCAAGAGACTCTTTCCAAAAGAAAAAATTTAAGAAAAGAATTAAAAGGCTATAGAGTCTACTATTCTTTATTAGTTACTAATAAAGTGAAAAGGGGAATCTGAGGAAGTATGGAGAAACACACGAATTAAGCAGAGGTGTTTTCTACAGGGAAACTATAGCTCTTTATACTTGTATCAAGACTCTTAATTTCCAATATCACAACTTGCTCAAAGTAGAGTAAGTATTACGTCTGTCATTATGTAAGCAGGGGTTGACTCATTCCTTTAGAGGGAATGATTTCACCGCACTGTCAAGTTGTGACATTTATCTAGATTCCTCTTACGTACGTGTGCATGGACTGAAGTCTCTCTCCTTGCGTGCCTCATATGAGAACGTATAATGAATTTCATTTTTGAGTGTTGTGTAGTGTTTTTATTTTAATGATGTTGTGTAGTGAATTTCAAGTTTGTAGCGTGTGTGATTTGTTTTATTAGTGTAGTGTAATGAATTTCATTTTTGAGTGTTGTGTAGTGTTTTCATTTTAATAGTGTAGTGTAGTGTAGTGTGTTTGATTTGTTTTATTAGTGTAGTGTAATTACTTTCATTTTTGAGTGTTGTGTAGTGTTACTATTTTAAGAATAGTGTAGTGTTGTGTTTTCATTTTGTTAATGAAGTGTAGTGTGGTGTTGTGTAGTGTATTGATTTTGTTAATAAAGTGTAGTGTGATTCATTTAATTTATAAGGGTTGAATTTCAAATGTAACTCTCACATGCACATTTCCTGGCCCTGGTTTGGCCCTGGTTGACACAAACAGGGCCAAAATGCCCAGTCTGGATGAAATTTCAATAATTACCCCTGATGTCCCACTTTGGGTCAAAAATAAAGGCAGATCAGGTTCCTGACTACCTATATTGTCTTCTTGAGGTTCAACATTCTCGACGTCAGGATCTCAAACAGGTATGAACTTTCTTGCTTGTTCGGTGAAATACTTGACTAAATCATCGTGGATCCAACCGAGAGACTCCATGGTCAAAGCTTTGACCGCAGTGAGTTTGAGGCAAGGGGCAAGTATAGCGGCACATATGTAAACTGCTTTCTTCTGAGCAGCTTCTTGATAGTGAACGATCTTCTTCAGCATCGGCATGATACAAACTTTCAACTCCTTGCAGTTGGACTGGTGCTAAGCCTAAAATGAAAAAATTACATAAGTGAAAGATGAAAAGCAGAAAGAATTAACAAAAGAAAAACTCACAGCTTCAAGTCGTTCAACGAGCCATTGGTAGTCAGGCATCACAGTCGAGAAGGTTGGAGACTTTCTAGTTTCAATCTCTTTGATGACATGAGCAAGAGGAGCTAAAAAGTGAAAAAGGGTCTCAACAAGTTTCCACTCATCATCATCGAGTAAAAAAGCTTCAAGCAAGTCATTTCCGTTGCATATGTAATGGACTACTGGCTGAAGTTCCACGAAGCATTCAAGGGAAGCGTGAGTTGAAGACCACCGAGTGGAGACCTCATGGACCAAACCAACTTTGCGTTTGAGCTTGGAGCAGCCCTGGGTGGCTCTTTCAAAGGCAGCTTTGAGTTGAGGACTGTTCTTGATTCGCTTGTGGAAAGAGCGGCCACGAGTTAGGATGGTACTGATGGTGGAGTGAGGAACAGGAGGTTGATTGGGTATTTGAGGATTGAGGGCGTTGACTACAGGAGGATCATTCTTGCTATCAAAGACAGCTGTCCCAGCTTTGGCGACAAGGTTGATGACATGCGCAACACAACCATGGAGATTCTCGGAAGCATTGAAGCTGGGGATTGTGGTTTGAAGGTGCCGACCCATAGTGGTGTTGTTTGAGGCGTTATCGGCAGTGATGCAATAAAGATTAGTGGAGAGGTTGAACTTGTCCAGAATGTGTTTAAGGAGAGCTGCAAGATTAGATCCGGTGTGAGATCCATCAATTGGCTTCAAGGCAAGTATGATCTTGTGCATTTCAAAGTTTTGATCAATCCAATGAGCAGTTACACCAAGCATTGCGGTGTTGCTGGGAGATGTCCAACCATCACAAGTTATATTGACATGTGGAATAGTCTTCAGCTTGTTGATGACAGTGCTACAAAGGGTTTGATACTTTGATATGATACCGTCAGAGATAGCAGTTTGTTTTGACAAGAGAGCTGGTGTGGCAGGGTTAATCATGGTGAGGAGTTCCCGGAACTCAGGAGCATCGACAAGACAGATTGGGAGCTCTCAATTGACTACCAATCAGATAAAAGCATCCTTGAAATTGGCTTGATTGAAGGGTTTGATCTAAATGAATAAAAAAACAAAAAATAGAAAGAATAGACAAAGAATCAATTTATAAGATGATGATAAAAAAAGGAGAAAAACCGATGAGAAATGAAGCTGCTTACCTTAGCAATCCTGCCCTCATTAAAATAAGCTGCCACAGTGTGTTGATCGGTAATGACAGGCGCCTCATTACCGTGGCAACAATGGAGGTGTCTGATCATAGATTTTGTGCTGGCATTTTGGTCAATAGTGATTCCCTTGTTGCAAACTGCAATAGGGGAATCTGGATCTTCTTTGTTCATGGTGGCAGTGATGGTATCAATAAAGCCAACCTTTGCTTGGCAAAAGTTCTTCAAGGTGCCTTCACTATCTTGCTGAACAAAATACTTCCACACCCACGATGTGCGCCCAGTAGCGGTGGTATCAGAGTTGACTTCAGAGATAGAATCTGAAGGAGCAATACTGCTGGTAGCCAGGGTGTTTGCAGCGGAAGCGTTGGCTGCAGCTGAAGCATGCGCCGCGCAGAGGATTTGTGATGATAAACGGGTGGTAGGAGCAGATGAACCAGGCATGACGATTATAAAGGAATCTGTAAAGGGAACTAATATAAAGTTGATGGATATACGAGTTCTATTAAAGGGATTCTATTTATAAAGGAAGTCTAAATATATGATGTACAATGATATACTTAAAAGCTTATTATGATTCAAAGTCTCACGTGTGATGTGCGTGAGCGATTGGCTGACTTGAATCTTGTTGATCATCACACTTCCTTTTGACGAAAAAGGCTCGGGCACTGGCCGGGCATCAATGCCCGGGACACGCTCGGGGCTTTTTTGAGTCTCATCATGTTAGGTTAAGGTGCCCCGGGGCGTGAACTGTTGGCTTCTCAGATATCGCCCAGCAAAGTCGGCCGGTCAGGGCCAGGGCTGGGTCATAGCCCTAGTCTTCTACTTGTGCTGAGCCACAATGTACTTTTCTCTCCATCCTGCAATCTCGTTATACTACCTGGGGTATCTTTCATCTTATTCACTGCTTATTGAATCGTAACAGTAAGTCACTATCACTGTTACTAATTGATGTACAATGAACGGATAATCTTGAATCAGGGGACTGTATCACAAAGCCAGGTCTGGGGGCAGGGGGACTACGAGGGCGAAGAACTGGACCAGAGGTTGGAGGAGCAAGGTTTTAACTATTAGGAGCCATAGTAGTATTGATATAAGGTCTTTCAATAATCGGGATGGAAAATGGAAAGGAAGATGTTAAAAGTTGGTAGGTCAGTTTTTAAAGCACTGGTATAGATTGTAGTATGATTACTAATATATTGGTGCGCGTGCTCCAGAAGGAAAAGATGTGAAAGACCTAAGCTCACCTTATATAGAATAGAAGAGGTCTGTAAGCACCCTTCATTGGCTCTGATATGTTGTTGTGATCAAGAATCACTCAAATCAAAAAGTGAAAAAGGGTGCTGTCAGTTTGGCTTTCAACTTATAGTAAGATAAAATGGAAAAAAGGGCATGATGTCTTACTTTGAGTGAAATTCCACAGTATTGGGATATCGGAAGTGTTGGTTTGGTGAAGGTTGGGCCAAAACAAAGTGATATGAGAAGATTTTCCGCCAAGTTTTGAAGGGCTTCATTGTTCGTGATTGAGATATGTTGTGATCGAGCCTTTGGACATGGTGGTAGAGGCTGGTGAAGGTGTTGTAAGAGGTTTGATTGGATGTTGGGATATGTCAAAGGGTTACACAGCCATCTGGAGATGTGTTGATTGGTTTCTCTTGCATGAACTGCTCCATACCGCTCTGAAAGCGATATGCAGGGCAGATAAAAGACCCGCTGCGCTAACATTCTGATCTGCTTTGTCCATAATCTCAGAAAGAGAGCGGTGGTGGTTCGGTTGGGAGCTCTACCTTGAAGAAGTTGTAGCGGGACTACCCCGCCACCGCTCTGCACCCGCTTTTTGAAGCGGGTTGCTTCAAGTGTTGGTACCATTCTGGATCAAAAACAGTTGAGTTTTGCTTTGGTTCTGTTGCTACATCTTTGTCGCCTGTATCTGATTTGTTTGATATGTGTGAATCTGAGTCGCTCTTACTTAAATCAAAGTATTCTTGTAGTTTAATTTGTATCAGTGTTGTGATACTAATAGCACAACAAGGGCTATACAGGGATTTGAAAGAGGATAATCTGTAAATATAATGACTTCACAGAAGGTGTCTGTGACTGCTCTTTCTGAGAATCTTTAACAAACTGGACTTTGTTGTTAAAGTCTCCTGATAACAGAGAAAAATAACCAGGACTTTGATCATAGAGAAAAGTATCTTGATAATAAGGCACCTGTCAGCCCTGGGTACATATACATGTACCCAAAACTAACTTATAATATAGAACTTTCACTTATAAAACTAATTACATGTACATACAGCTTATAAAACATATGTAACATATAATAAAACATATACAAACACCAATTACATATACATATACATTTCAAAACATATGTAACATGTAATGAAACACCAATTACACCTCATAACTCAGTGTCAAGAGTTAAAATGCTTATACTACATAAATTACATGACACGTATATGTAATTATGTAATACTAATAATAATAATAATTAATAATAATCATTAAACCCTAAACCACAGTAATGATACAATCAAATATCACTACAATTAGGTTTAGAGAGGAGAGTATATAAACCCCTCCTCTCTCAGCCTTCAAGAACTTTCCCCCAAGCATTTTATTACACATATCTTTTAAAGAACCTTTAAAGTTCCTTTGAAGTACATAATCAAAAGTCTTATACTTATAAGACTAGTGATTCACTTCATAATCAAAAGTCTTATACTTATAAGACTAGTGATTCACTTCATCACTTCAAAGCAGATTCCTGCCTAAAAGATAAAGTAATTTCATTCTTCATCCTTTGGATCCTCTACTTTCCCCAAGTAGAACTTTTCAGGTTAGTAACCTCTCAAAGAACTCCAGGTTAGTCACCTTTTGAACAACTGCAGGTTAGTGACCTACAACAACTCACAGGTTAGTGACCTTCTGAATAACTACCAGTTGGTGACTATAAATAACCAGGCTAGTGACCTACATATCACTCTTTGATCTGTTACCTTGAAGATTAAAGGAGGGCCTTGGATCCAGCCTTATATTATTGTATTTCAAACCTCCTTCTCAGGAGTCATTTAACTGTAGTCTGTCTGGATTTATCCAAACAGACTGTCAGTCTCATTTCCTTTCTTCTTTTCAATTTTTATTTCAAATTGTATTTACAAAATTATATTTGAAATACAACTATTTTAAATAAAAAGAACCCAACTTACCTTCCCATAGTGAGCCTAGAGTACTCTAAAGAATACCCTACCCTCACAGCACCAGAGAAATTAACTCAACACAAAAGTGTTATTTCAAATGAAGCTTTTTAGCTTATAAGACCAATAAAATAAATTCTCTTATTATTTAATAAGGGCAGTTTAAGTGAACTAGGACTGTGTAGTGATTCTTATAATGATAAAAAACTACTACACTTTATTCCCTAAAACTAAATCTGCAATCCCCCCCCCAAAAGTGCTGGAACTTGTAAAAGAGTTTCAGCCTTTTGGCGAGAGGATTCCAGATTTATCTAGAGCTCAAATCTGACTAACGGTCTAAGGTTTAGTCATGAGGGTGGCGTGGGGTTTCAATTATGCTTAAACAACTGCCCTCTATTTATACAAGTTCCATTGCCTCTCCCGCCTGATCTGGCCCTATCCCATTCCTTTTGTTCTCCATTGTCAATCTATTGTTTTTCTTGACTGTTTAAAAGGCCTTCGGCATTCACTTCCTTTGCTTTTGATTCATTTAAATATCCCCTGTACTTTTGCAATACTCACATACTTTACTTGTGTCCTCCACTGCCAATCAGGATTTCGACTTGACTTTTCAAAAGCTCTCACCCAATCACTTTTTGGGCTTTTTATTCAATTACGTTTTCCATGTATATATTTCTCTTAAATTTTTAAAAGCAGTTCGCGGATCACATCCTTTGTTTTTGAATCACACCTACACAACCTGTTCCTCTGCAATAATCACATCTTTTATTTTTGTTCTCTTCTCCTGGGCAGCGTTGCTATTTGGCTTTCCAAAAGCTCTTGCCCAATCATTTTTTGTTCTTCTAAATCAATTTCACTCCCTCTTCATATAACAAAATCCTATAATGTCATGAGTTTTCAAAAGCTCTCACCCTATCACTTTTTGGGCTCTTTATTCAATTATGTTTTCCATGTATATATTTCTCTTAAATTTTTAAAAGCAGCTCGCTGATCACATCCTTTGTTTTTGAATCACACCCACACAACCTGTCCCTCTGCAATAATCACATCTTTTACTTTTGTTCTCTTCTCCCGGACAGCATTGCCATTTGGCTTTCCAAAAGCTCTTGCCCAATCATTTTTTGTTCTCCTAAATCAATTGCACTCCCTTTTCATATGATGAATTCCCGTAATGTCACGTTACGCTACTGTACTTAACTCATGTGACTCTTGATCTATTGCTTTTCGTTCTTTCATTCGGATTGTGTAAAAGCGGAACGGTACTATTTTTACCATTTCCCACTCCATCATTTCCCTTGCTTTTAAAACATTGTGTCACCATACGGCTCATCTGCCTTTGAGTCTGTCACTTGGTTTTGTACATTTTCATCATCATTCATAGTCTCTCCACAGTCATTCAATTCCTTATTGGTACCATGTCCAGTTATTAATATTCACTGCTGCCTACCTTATCCATCAATTTTATAGTAGTTTTTTGACGCATATATCAATTGCCTGAGTTGCCTGCACATATTGGTGTACATCGTATTCTTGCAGCCGTTTGTCTATATCTGTATTTGTTATATGATACCTCACTTGCGCACCTCAACCTTTACATCCCCCACCAATCCTTTCCCCCTTGCTCTGCCCCCGACATCGTCAAACAACTCCACTCCGCTACTTCACTAATATTGCCTACTTTTATACTTGGCCCATGTCTCGACCAATTGATAGTATTAGTGGTTCGCAGGAGCTCTCCCAAGCACAAGAAGATATCCTGCGCAAAGAAATCAATTGCCTATGTGCAACTATGCTTTTGCAATTTGACTCACGTAAGAGACTGTACACTATACTATACTTGGACATCTCATCTTAACTTCCACGTCATGACTTTGTTTTTCCAGCTACCAGAGGTAATACAAAAATACTGGCCCCATGCGGAGATATCCATTATGTTCATTGCGGCAAGAAGCACTTTTTTTGCATCGTGAGCAGTCTTGGCAAGGAAGCTTGTTGTATTTATACAACCTTCAGGATTGTTAATTGTAACCCTGCAGACCAAAGTACGCATGAAAACCCGCATGCAACTAAATCTTAATCGCTCTCTTGTGCTGACACTTTTATATAGGTCTTGGAACTTTGTACCTGAGAGAGCTCCATCTCAATGGTAATTGGACCAATGTACCGGTGGCTATTCAATACTTAGATGAGATCGTGTTCTCCAGGGCAGATATAAGCTACATCCTAGAACAAATGTGATGGTATCTACATATATTATTTAGTTCGTCTCTTTCATTACCCGTGCATGGACATCGGCTTCAATTACGCGACTTTGCGCAGGCAGCTTTCACTGGCGACTTTGATATGGGTGTTTCTTCCTATGAAATAACCATTGTTTATGCAGCAATTAAACTGCCCCTCGCAACCTCAAACAGACTGGTTCTTGCCTAATGGATGTCTTTGCCTAACTCATTGTCCCACATCACATCACCGTAATTACGGTCTGCACATCAAGTTAAGAGAGTAAGAGGCAACAGGTCTGATGCTGAAGCTTAGATCATTCCCCTACTGTTTTTACTCGCTTTCTCGATTCTCAATTTCAAGGGCTCCAGTTGCTCTCATTACAATTAGCTCTTTTGTACTTTGTCAACCTTGAACTTCTCCTTCATATGTTTCATGATTCTCATATGATCAAGTCAATACTTTCCTTCATCTTTAATTACACTCCTTTCTATTGTTTCCATGCGCCATTTACCATATGGGTTGATGGGACAGTACTACATCCCCTCAATGCCATCAATCCGTCAGTAGTGTGTTTCAATTATCGTGCAGCGGTATTGTTTAGACAATTTCCCTGCACCTGTAACACCATTCCGTCATGTATGAACTGACAAGACACTGTGCTATGTTATTTGTCCCTCAATACATTCTCCCTTGAAATGATATTAAAAAATTAATTAAAATTGAATGGAGCAAGCATTAATGCTTGCATGAAACGTTTTGAAACAGTTGTTTGTGAGCCCGTCCTGAGAGGAAAGCTTCCCGATGATGTTATATCTTTGCGGCTGTCCACCTTGATTAGGTACTTCCATAGAAACAACACAGATATTATCTACAGTTGGGTAGTGCGGATGGTCAATGTTTTGACATGTAAAATCCAATTTCGTGACTTACCGTCAAGAGCTTCGCTGGAAGGTGGTATTGGGCATGGGTCAAGACACACACATCGCCGTTGGCAATTGCTGCAAGTATAAAGTAGGCCATCAATCCACGTAAATCCACTTTGTAACATTGACCATTGTTGTAAATAATGAAAGCATTCCCCGTGACAGCTTAATTGAATTATTGAATAAGGATTGGAGGTGTCAAGATCATCAGAAGCTGGTTGATCAGACTCATGATCATCAAAAGGTTGCTTGAAATTGATCAGCATTCCAATTTTTGTGATGTTGCTGTGCACACTTCTTCCATATGCCGGATATTCCACCATACGTGAAAGTGGTATCTTCCTTGATTGAATTATCGGATGTTGAATTGTAGACGGAAATATCTATCTCATCTGGTTTGGACAATGAGGCAAATAAAAGAGTCCAAAGTATAATGCCCTGCTAAAGGTCCAGCTTTGATCTGAGGTATAAGTATGTTGTAGTTGCCTGGGCCATTGGGCTGTACAGCATAACATCGAAAGACTTCCACCTACGTGCAGCCTATGCCGCCAAGTGAACAGCCTGTACAGGTGTCTTGAATTTTTGTCTGCATTGGCTTCCTGGTTCATCTCCCAATCAAAACTCTGCCCAAATCCAGCACAGACTGAAAGCCTTTATACCTGTCATATTCAAACGTACTCATCCACCGGTCAACTATACCTGCACTCTTACTTCAAACTTTATTATGCCGACGGAGAAGAAAGGACTGGCCGTTGAGTCTGTCGATCAAAACAACAAAACTTCAATATTGAAGAAGTTTGGAGGCCAACTTCCACATAACCTGGGGCCTGCAAACAGAACTTGCCAGCACTGTGGAGCATTGTGATGGCCTCAGGAGCAAACAAATTACAAGGCCGGTCGTGACAGTAATATTTTCTCTAACTGTTGCAAGCAGGGCAATGTCACTATACCTTTAGCTTTCTTTGAAGGAGATACCTTACCTGAGGAGTTAATGTCCTTATACGTGGGACGAGATCTCCGTACGTTTTCTCACCTCCCAACCTTGGCGTCACATAAACTGACTTTGAAATATAGATTCGGCCAATTTCCATTGCAATCTTTCTGTCTACAACAATCTGGTCTCTTTTGCGTCGATGGGGTCTCATGTAGACAATTCAGTCGCGGGACAGAAGGGGACTTACTGTTTCCAAGTCCATCGACAACTGCACCACAATATTGGATCTCTATTACCAGTGGATCCAGCGGACCCCTGTTTCGCGCAGATATTTATAGTTAGAGATGGCGGAGACAAGGAGTTAAAAATACGTGAAAAGAAAGCAACCGATAAAGATAAGAAAATTAATTCCACCTTATTACGGCGCCTTCAAGACATTGTCAACAAATACAATCCCATCTCCATTTTCTTAAAGGCAAACACCGAGATCATCAACGCCAATGAGACTGCACAAGTCGTGTTGAAATCTCTGCCACCTGGGAATCGTGAAATGAAAACGTATAATAAACCTAGACCTTCAGATGTCGCTGCACTGGTGCATGGAAATGGAGATATAGACTGCGCTCCAAGGGACGTTGTCTTAAGGCATAAAGATGGCAAATTGGAGCACATGACGGACTTACACTCAGGATACTTCAGCATCCGATATCCCCTCATGTTACCTTTTGCGTCCCAACAATGGGATGGGATGTTTGTCTCACCAACTAAGGGTACAAATAAGAACTGTGAGCTCTTTCGCCTGCTAATAAAAGATGGTTATATTGACTATTACGGTTCCCTTCAGGTCAGCGTGCAGATTATAACGTTTTGGAACTTCAGTGAGCGGCATGGCTGCTATTTGAATGCAAAAACCTTTTCTCCCCATTCATACACGGTCGAGGCCTAACCCAGCATGTTATTGTAGACCTGTACCTGTGTGTTGAGCGGAACAATGCTTGGTGGTTTTGTGCTAATCAAAAAACAATACAAGCCAATTCATACAGTGGGTTTCAAGAAGCTTACGACAACAACCTGAATCCCCCTGGCCGACAAATAATCTTTCCTTATTCCTTTGGGCCGGGCCCTCGGCACGTGGAACAACTTTATCATGATGCTATGGCTTTGGTTTGAGAGTTAGATAATCCGTCTCTGTTCATTATGATGACGACAAACCCAGATTGGGACAAGATCCAGAATGAATTGAAATATGGAGGTACAGCTCAAGATAGGCCTGATATTTTTGCAAGGGTCTTCTGCCTCAAATTGGACACCCTCATCAAAGAACTGAAGACAAACATGAGGCTAGGAGTTGTAATTTCTCATTTAATGGTAGTAGAGTTTTGAAAAAGAGGTCTTCCACATGCACATATACTGTGTATCCTGGAAGAATCCTCGAGGCCAAAAACTACTGACCAGGTGGACTCTTTGGTAACAGCTGTTCTCCCGGATGAAGACGCCGAGCCTCGATTACACAAATTGGTCACTACGCATATGCTTCATGGTCCATGCAAAAAGCTACCATGCTGGGTCGACAACAAATGCAAGTCAAATTATCCTAAGGCCTTTAATACAGAAACATCTATTTCAGATAATCAATATTATAATTATCATAGGCCTGATGACGGGAAAGTGTTCAAGAAAGGAGGCCACAAGTTCACAAATGCTCACGTCGTTCCTTACAACAAATATTTGTTGATGTTATTTGAATGCCATATAAACGTCAAGATTCCATTAGGCACCCGGCTGGTAAGATACCTGTACAAATATTTAACAAAAGGCCACAATCAAACTCAAATTCAAATGCAAATTAATGTACGTTGTGTAGTAATCTTTCCCCTTGAGGTTTATGTTCTGATTGAGTTTGTGATTTCAGAACCGGAGAGGAACCCCCGACAATGATTTAATAGACAAAATCTTGGAGTTTGAAGAGTATCAATGGATAAGTGCCCCCAAAGGTGAGGAGTTGTCTGTTTTATATTTTTCAACAATTGCTAACGATATCCTCCAATAGCCGTGTGGCAATTATTTCAGTTTGCTATGAACAGTTGATCACCGTTTGTGGTGCGATTGATGCTGCATCTCAAGGGTGGGCAATATTTTTATTTCATGGACGAACAGGAGGCACAGCACCGCATGGAGATTGGAGCACCGCCTAGGTCTGCTCTCACGGAATATTTTAGATTATGCGTCGAAGATACGCGTGGATTGGGCGGAGTAAGAGCAAGAGATGCATTATACGTCGATATTGTCAAATATTTTGAATGGGCAAATAAGAGATTTTTGAACCAGTCTGACCCATCATATGCCAATGGAGTTGGAAGGATTTATTTTGCTAATGTGACCAACGGCAAAAAATACTATTTGCGTTTGTTGTTATGCCATGTTAAAGGCCCTCGCTCTTTTCAAGACCTTTGGACCGTGGACGGCATTACCTTCTCAACTTATTGGGAAGCGGCCAATAGATTAGGCCTGTTGGCATCCGACCGTGATCATGAAAATGCTATGTTGGAGGCTTCCCTTTGGGCCTCTGCACGACAAATGAGGGATTTAATGGCATTAATATTAGTCTACTCAGACATCGCATCACCGGATTCCCTATGGGAGAAATTCAAGGCTTACCTTGCGGAGGATGTGGAACAAACTTTAACGGACGCTGGTTTCAAGTCAGTTGTTACCAACGAAATTAAGTACGCATTTGCACTGAAGTGTCTTGACGATGCCCTGCTGGACATGGGGAAAACTGTTATGAGCATCAGTTTTGGGCCAGCACTGGTCTCTTCTATGAATCATGAACTCTTGGCAAATATCTCTCCAGAAGTTCCTAGCTTGACAGGTCAACTACTGAGTCTGAGCCAATTCAAAAGCCGCTTTCCAACTTTGAACATCAATCAAAGGGTCTTTGTTGATTACGTGATGGACACACATACGGAACAACGTCAGATCATATCTTTCTTGGACAGCCGAGGGGGTACAGGGAAAACTTACACATTAAACACCATCCTACACTACTTCTACGGGCAAGGCTTGGTTCCTATCGCAGCGACCTCATCGGGAGTGGCGGTGATTTTATTGAAAAACGGCAAAACAGCTCATTCGACGTTTAACATACCACTTGATGTAGACAAAAATATGACATGTGAACTCAGCGGTGCGGACACCAAAAGTAGGGCCATTATGAATGCGCCTATAATCATCTGGGACGAAATTTCTATGCAGCATAGACATGCAATTGAGGCGGTTGATAGGGCTTTACAAAATATTCTAAAGAATAAAGCTCCATTCGGAGGAATAAGCGTAATTTTCTCAGGAGACTTCCGCCAAACATTACTGATCGTCAAGCATGGGTCTTTGTGGGATCAAAGGGATGCGTGCATAGCATCATCCAGACTTTGGGAAAAGGTGACAGAGTTTGCGTTAACTGATAACTTAAGGTTGAAATGTTTGGAAGATGATGGTGGAAAGACTCGAGCATTCAGTGAATGGATACTGAAAGTAGGTGAAGGTAAACTTCAATCGAAAAATTTGGAAGTAATCAACATTGAATATATTAAGTGTGAAATTATGTCAAATTACTTGACATTGCCTCATAACCTTATTGATTGGGTTCATGGGGATGTACATGGCATCATTGCAACTGAAAATTGGGACTCAGTGGCCAAATATTATAATCAAAGGCTGTTGATTCCGCCACTAAACACAACAGTGGACGCTATCAATGAACTCGTAACTTTGCAGTTAACAAGTGACGGGGTGCAATGCATCTCAACCAACGAGATGAAGCAGACTTATTCGGAGCCTATCGCCACCGAATGTCTCAACGCAATCAATTTCCCCGGTTTTCCCGACCATACAATGACTTTGAAAACGGGACAACCAACTATGGTATTACGTAACTTGAGACTTGGCACTGGCCTGTGTAATGGAACTTGGCTGGTGGTCATGGAACCCTCAAAATACTCTCTCAAATGTATGATCATCACAGGCCCCAATAAGGGTGATGTTGTAGCAATCCCAAGAATGAAAATGGTTCATGAGGGTGACCTTGAAAATCCTATTCCATTTCCTAGAATTCAATTTCCAGTTACCACCGCATTTTGTCTTACAATTAACAAGGCACAGGGCCAGAGTATCAAAAGAGTGGGCATTCATCTGTCCGCACCAGTCTTTTCTCATGGACAACTCTATGTTGCGTTATCGAGGTGTACAAGTTTAAAGAACATCTGTATGGCAATAGTGTCTTGCATTGGTAAGATTAGTACAACTAATGTTGTTTCTAAATCACTCTTGCAGAGGAGGGGAACTTGAACGCCACCATTAACGCCCTCTCAACGCGTAAGGTGATGGCGATCCGAGGGTTGAATTTTGGTAAGAGATACATACTTCAACATCTTGAAGGAGACTTACGAAAGACATTCAATGAAGAATAACTGACATCAGGAATTGTTTTCAGGTGTTCATGTTTAAAGTTATAAAAATACTTTTCGGGACAATATATTGTTTTGACCAGAGCTGAGCGCCCTTCTATTATGTTTGCAAATCCAAGTATGTTGCACTGTAGTGCAGGTGAGCTCAGTGGTGACTTCAGGAATAAAGAAAGGGAGTACACAAAGAAAATATAAGATTTCTTCATGAACATAACAGCCTATGTCCTAATCATCAATGCACTGTGATCATGTAATACGTAGCCTGGAAAGATCCTTTGTTAGTGTCATGCTTTGTCTTGCCAATTTTTACTGAAGTACAACTTACTTTGATGATCCACATACCTCTTGCTTTGTCCCTGTCGATGACATGTCCCGTGATATCTATCTTGGTGCCAATGAGGGCGTTGTGAGAAGCTAGCTGTTGAGCCAATGCTCCGTCAAATAAGTACTCTACGTTGAATGTGACGATGTTGTAATCCTGTATAGGACCCATTAACAATGTTGTACTTAAGTATAGTGGGCGACTGTGAGCTACTAGCTTCTTTTAGGCTAGTAAATCACTAAGAAAAGGGTATAAACTCGTAGGGATTATGATCTACAGAGTTTATAAGCGGAAAAACAAGGTTCTGGCCCTATACTTGTAACAAACAAGTATAGACTGCAGTTAGAGGACCTTTAAAGAAAGGCTTTTCTAGGGATTTGAGTTAATGCGCACTGAATCTTCAGTGACTTCCCTTAACCAATTATCTTTCTGACTAGAAATAAAATGATTAAGAACACTAAATTCCTTTATAGTGTTTAGTACTTTACACTCTGACTAATAGAGGTACTACGAAGGTTTAAAGTTTCTTGGTCTGATCAAATCCCAATCAGATCAAGCAGCACTTAAGGATCCTACTTCCTTAATAGTTTGATTCCACGAATGGTAATCAACAACTATGACAATATTGTGTTCAAGAACAAACACAATAAACAAGATTGAGAACCACAAGATCAAGATAACAATCACAAATAAGATAGTAAAGTTCACTTTACGAAAAGCTTATAATCTAGTTGGTGATGAGGATTTATTGAATAATAAAAAGTGTTAAATTGTAATGTGATGATGTTTCTAAATTTCGCATATTCAGAGTTTTTATAGTCTGAAGTTTGAAGATCTTATGCGCACAATTTGTGGTTCCAAGGTTAGGTTTTTATTACATATAGGTATTAACCTTTTTACTTGGTTACATACATGTTACAGCTGTGAAATGTATGTAATCTTAGGACATGTAAAAGACGTGTACTTACACAGTCTTTTACATACCTTTTACATATGTTACATATGTTAATTCATATGTATTTTGACTCTTGAAACTGAGTCTGAGTTGTAATTATTGTTTTTTAAGGTTTTTCTTATTTTTACATGTCAGCCTTTGGTACTATGGTTCAGTACTCAGGGCTGACAGCGACATATTACTTACAATTGTATCATAATTGCAATGTCTTACTCTGAGTAGGAGAACTGGCTCAGAGTCGATATTATCCATGTCAGCGGAGATAATGGACCCTGTCCCCTTACTCTCAATCGATTGGTCGATAGCTTCAGCTGGCTTGTGAATTATGTGGTCAACCAGGGATAAAGGAGAACCACGGTAGAAAAGATGTGAATGACCATGTCTGGTGTCAATCAGGTTTCCGTGAATTAAGTAGGCCCCTTCTTCAAGTGTAGTCAGTGCGCCATGAGGCCCCATCACAACTTTAATTGCCATTCCTTTGGCCCCATTCAACGTGCTATCTGAAACAATGCCACTGTATAAAGTCAAAAACCGTGTCGCGGTCGGGTGCGGATCAGGCTGTAGGAAAGGTCAGAGGTAAGACTTGCAGGGGGCAGGAGAAAAAGGCGGCACGTCTGGTAAGATTTCGAATATGCCTTTGACCTTTAATTGATGCGGTTGAGCCATGGATTGCTGAATCAGAAAGCGTTCCGTTTTTGATGCATATTGTGATTACGAGTTTGTCCCTGGGACTGTGCGTCATTTGTGATCAGATTACTTGGGTACGCACAGTCCACGCCTGATGTCCGGCAACTGCTGAGTGGTAGATAGTTAAAAACACTTGACAGGGAGTGTGCAGCTAAGCCTCTGGCGGATTGCATGTCCCATGTACGCGATTTTGCCTGTCATATCTATGGACACACCACGTCAGGAGCTAAAAGCGTAAGTATCAGGCTGACGGCCTATATTGCAACAGTCAACTTGACGTCAAACTGTTGGCTAAGTGGGTCACTTTCTACTTATGTCACAATCAGCATAAACCTAGGTAGAAGCAAAAAGTGTATGTTCAAGTGTGACGCCTGAGCAAAGTAGATACATTGGTTGTAAAGTACGTGTCAAACAATGCACCAAGGACAGGGGCACATAGCATGGAAATAAGAGGAACAACATGCGTTTTCTCACTTAGCTCGGGGGAAAGGTGGGGGTCGGTGATGACAGATATATAGAAATGGCTCATAAACCAATGAAGAAAATCGAAGACCTAGACTTCTGCTATTCTATTTTTTGGAGATTGCCTGTGCCACAAGTAGATACAGAAAATGTAGTCTTTGCCCAATGTTTCATTTCTTAAACGGCCGGATTGCAAGAGTGGCCTAGATTTACCGTGAGATTCTACATTAAACATCGATTAGTGTCTTTCACTGGAGCAGCGTACATCACGAGAACGAACCATGAATGAAATCAACAAGCATATGTCCAAGCAACTGTGTTTTGATAGGATTTCCGACCATGGCATCTGTAATCCAGCTGACAGGTCCAAAGCCAGGGACAAACGTTGACTCAAGGGTGCGGGTGGTGGACATATTGATGCTCTGAGTGGAACTACGCTGCATGCGTAATTTTTGGAATTTTGAGGGTAAGTTGATGATTCAGATTGATGGTGGAGGGATTCAGGGGGGGATGCTCATTGGTTCTATGTAATTTTGACGTCTTGATAGTGCGGGCTCTGGTTCCTTTCCAAAGAGTTGGAGTGGCGACATGCGTGTGAAGCTTCAAAAAGCAGTCCAGTGTCCAAAGCCATCAGGTAGGAGACTCATTAAGAAGTTGGACAGAGTCTATTTGGCGAATGTTCCGCGGTTCCGTGCTGGAAGCATCGTGTCAAAAATTACGCATAAGGAAACACAATGCAAGGGCATCTGATAGAAGCATAAGCCTCATCCTGCCCCGGTCGGGATTTGGCATATGTGGGTTGAAGCTCAGCAATAAGCAAGAGGAAGCATGCTACTCCTGACAGTTGCATCTCATTACTGTGCAACGCTACCATTGGGAAAGGCAGAAACCTGCCAACGTACAAGTGTTAAATGGAACCCATTCCTTAAAAGTTATCATAGACACCAATTTTCGCGTGTAAGGAGTGTCTATTGGGCCGATTCTGCTGCGGCCATTGACTCAAAGAACAGATTCAGCAGACAAGGTTGCAATTGATGTTCCTCAACTGGAGAAATCAGGGACACAGAACTTGGATCAGGGCTGAGAATGAGTACCATGGGGGAAAGGCTGCTGGGATGTGTTTTAAAGCCTACTTTCAATAGGCTGGGACATGATTAGGTGATCAAATGAATACAGGATTAACAATTATGCCAAGGTAGGGGATAGGGGAAGTCTTCTACCCAGTGAGTCTTAGAGTGGGCTTGCCTGCGTAAGCTCTAGTCATAGATGAAGAAGAAAAGGAAAAATACAAAAGTGGGACAAAGTCCAAGCCTTATATATCTGACTTTACAAATAATAATGGTCAACAGCTCTGAAAAATCAAAAAGATGACTAAAAAATTGGTAAACAGCTATGATGCAATGATTCAATGATATTCTTCACTTCCCAAATTCGCCATTTTGAGCCATTTTAGCTAGTAAAAACATGTAGTATGATGTAATGTGATCTGTAAATCTTCTACAAGTGATTCTTTACTCATTTACCCAGCAAAGATGACTAATTGCTACTGCCAAGCTCTTCTTATGGTCAATTTGTGACTTGTTGAATGGTAAACAGCTATTACAAATTCTTCAACTCATATATATTTTCGTCTCCAAGCCTTTATAAACCCTTTACTAATAATGATTCATCTTCTTACAGTCAATCTTCATATATAAATGCCTTATCCATCTTCATTTCTAATATTAAAAGAGTCTTTTTGATTACCAATCAATTCTAAGATCATGGTGCTGTGTATGAATGATGAAAGGATGTGTGTTTGATCTTCAATGAATAATTCAACTACCTTTTCATTTGATTTCATCAGCTTGATTATCAATCATGGTTGTTTGATCTCATAACCATCTTCCTTAATCCAAAAATCAAAAATCAAAAATTTTGACCTGTAACAACCCATAATTCACACTGATACAGCCACTACATATCCCATAATACATCTTCACTTCCTCTTTACCTCGCTGTCTTGTTTTTGGGGAGCATAAGCGTATCAGTCTTCATGGGAGACAATAGACGACCGAGAGACAACCAAGAGACTCAGTACCGAGTAGACACTGAGAGACACCACTACCCGCAGACACAAGCACCAAAAGAGCTTATACAGACATGCATCTCAAGAATGTAAGATGCATCCCAGGGATGCAAAGTCTGATAGCTACTTTTTATGGATAATCAATGGAGGAGTTATGATAATGTTGAACTCTTCAAGTCAAGCTGAACTCTTCCAGCGAGTTCACTGACATTTCATCCACCATAACAATGTGGAAATTATGACGAGATCATTTGATACTTTTGGCTTTTTTAATCGATCAATCTACAGCCATTCCGATATTTGTTGTCGCTCACATTTTTGAAAAGAAAAAGTTTATGAGCTCGAAACCTAAGTTTTAACTGATTAAAACCTGAAAATTGGCTGTATTTCCTTGAATTACAGCCAATTTCAAAGTTTTATCGAGTAAAAAGTTAGGTTTCACCGCGTTTCACTTTTTCTTTTTCAAAACGGAGCAACAAGAAATATTGGAATGGCTGTATGTATTCAAAAAACTAAAATCGGGTTTGAAATAATCGAAATACTCAAATCAAGTTTTTTTTTGCTCCATTAAACGTTGCGATAGACCATTCATAAAACTTGACAAAATCTTCAAATTGAAGATTTCACCATATCGCTAGGATAGATTTCAAGCGGTTGGCGATGTTTTTGAAAAGCATGATGGCAAAAGACAGAAGAAAACAGTAGTGAGCTTGGATGGGAGTCAATTGCGAGTCAGACAAACGCAGGGGTACTGCTTCAGGCAGATTGATCAAGACACGCTGTACAGAAAGCTGTACAGCCGTTGTCTCCCGTTGTCTCCCAGCAAGACTGATACGGCTACTCTCCGTGTTTTCGCTTGATTGATCTCAATCTCACTCTTTCCTTTCAACACTCTTCTCTTCATCAGTCTGTAAGTCATCTCATCCACCTTTCATTTACAATATCATCCTCAAAACTACTAAACTAACCAACATGATCTCTAAACACCACTAATCATATGTATTTAAGTTTTCATTTTCACTCGTTTCTCCTTTCTTTTGATTCACATCACATCAATATTAATTTGTACTTGATCTAAAACTGTCTTCTAATAAATGTTTCTATTTTTTCTCAGTTTTTTCTTTTGTTTGTTTAAATGAATATAAATAAAACTAAAACTAAAATTTAAATAAGTGTTTCAAAGATAAAATATGGTTTTAATATATAAAAAGAGCTTCTGTCTTGAGATTTGTTTGTTTGTATATCTTTCTTATGAGTTGTTTGAATTACACCATGAAACATTGAATATCAAATCTAAAACTATGTGTACTATAATAAAAAAATTGGTTTTTGACTTTTAAAATGAAATAAAAATAAAAATTGATAACAATAAAATTAAACAAATAATAAAATTGATTTAATATATGTTAGATTGTGAAGTTATGATGTAATTAATATGGAATAATAACTCCTGCTAAATAATGATTATCAATAATTCAAATTTTGATTTTTTTTGATTGATACCATGATCTGCGCACCACAGCGTATCCAAGTCAAAATTGTCAAGATTGATATGTTCTTGGTTGTTCTCAGAGGTTCCCGATTGTTCAGAATTGCTGTAAGGTTTGGTTAGAAGCTTCATCACTGCTTCTTAATATACAACCTGTATGTTTTCTTCCGATAACCTGTCATCATTTTGTTCATTGCCTCCAAAACCTGCAAATTGTGTATCATTGATCTCATTTTTGGCCTCTCATTGTTGTTTATTCTCAATCTCAAGAGCTATGGATGCCTCATGACTAGCAACCATAGCCTTGTGATTGGCCAAGTCCTTATGACAGGTCCTTTCTTTCATTGTTCTGCCTTTACATAGGAGGCACCAATAATTGAAAGAATTGCCTGATTTCTTTCTTTCAAAATCTGAAGATACACAAATATCAGAGAGGGAGAAATGATTGATTCAGGTTGCAAAGCACTAACAAGTATCTAAAATATTTGTACTTGTATTGTGTGATTGCATGTTGAACAAAGACAAGTCTTGAAGGTAAAATTGTGTACTCTTGAAGAAAAAGTGATATCAAAGAAAAGTCAATTGTTGTAACTTTGAAGACATAATAAAAGCCAGTGCTAAAAGGATTCAAAGCTTACATTTGCGGTGGGACAAATGGATTCAGTGGTTTTAGAGGAGAGGAGCCAAAGACCAAGCAATAACAATGAGTCTTTTTTGGTGGTGTGCTGCAGACACTTGGTCTGCCAACAGCCAAAGGATGTACTTAACCATGCCTTGGGGCTACCTTGGATCTGGATGCCATGTATATATCTGACTGGCATCTTGAGGCCGCCAGTCTGTTGGACACACGGGGTATGCCCCAGCTCAGGATGTCATGCTCGGTCCTTGACTGGGACATTGCCACAGCATCCAAGGGATGGACTGAGGATGTCACACTCTAAGGAAATCTCAGTGATGCCCTGACCTGAGATGCCAGCACAATGTCTTGTTGCAGGATGGTTGGGACATCCACCCGCAAAAAGGTGTCCTTGTGGTGTAGTGACTGATCAAAACTGTTTGCAGTGGGTGTTTGACACTATTTTCAAGTGATGTCAAAAACACCAATTTACTTGTGTTAGACACGGAACTGCTCTGGTTTCTGAGAACAAAGTGTTCCTGACGCAAGGGTGACACAGTTCCTGAAACAGAAACATCTTTTGGTGACCAGCATGTTTCTTGTTGGTTCCGCACTGCAACATAGATTCCTCAGGTCAAGAAATCCAAGGCATCATTGGAGGCAAATCTTTGGACAGACCTTGTTCAAGGTTTCCATCCGTGGTATTCCTTGGCACTGAGAATTACCTTGAATCAAAACCTTGGCAAGCTTCTGTCCAAGGTTTGGCATCTGAGGATACCTCGGATTGAAAAATCTGAGGTAAATATGTTGGCAGTGCTGGTCACCAAAATTTTGGAATTGGCTGGGGACCACCAAGGGCCAAGGATGTTTACACCCTGGTGTAAGTTCTGCCTACAAGTCATGGTAATAGTAAGCTAAAGACTGAGAATAGCAGACCTACAAAGGCCTTTCTTGATACTAAGTGGTCCATCACTTGCTTCTTTAGTATGCACAGAGGTAAACAGGAAACAAGAGAAGATGGTCTACAGGTCATAAAAGATATTTATTGAGATCAGAATGGGTTATGTTACTGTGACCATAAGGATAATGATCAAGGAACTCATCTCATTGTTATCTTTGAGATTGTTCTCCAGAGGCTTTTGACAAGACAGAGCTCAACAACATAAATTTTGCACTGGCAAAATTTTGTTGCTGGTTGCTTTGAACAATCAAACAAATTTTTACAAGGTACCTCATTCTAGCACACAGGATGGCAGAGACAGCCTTCACACAGTTCCAATGAGCCACCAGATGTCAGAATATTCAAAGGGTTGTGCAATTCATGAGCCGCTTCACTTGCACAAATGACATCTTCCCATCTTGTCCAAATCCAGTTGGAAAAGTATCACATGTCCCAATCAAGACTTGAAGTGCATAGGATGTGCGCAACTGTTTGATGTACATATATTTACAATCCTCCTTTCTATCATCATTGTTGACTCTAAACTTGACAATAATCTCATAAGAATCAAATATAAAAGAAGAAGAAAATCATTAGTTTCAAGACTTGCTTTATGGATAATGAGAAGATCAGAAGGTTTGTTTTGGACTGACCATTGACGAAGTAAATGAATAGAGCTAAAAAAGTGATAATATTTTTGTTTGGTAAAGGCAAAGAATTTAAAAGAGATCTCCAACCTAAGACAACCAAAAGAGTAAAGATTGTAGCAAATAGAGTGATATCAAAATGAAAATACAAGTCCACCTAGTTAGTGTCTTGATTTTCCATCCTAACTGGAGAAATCAAAGTTGATTGTACTCTAGATGTTTATAATGTGATTTGATCCATTTCAAATAATAATAAACTGATCAAGTTGAGGAGTACAAAAGAAGACAAATGTTTACAAAGCACAGTAAGAATCCTAATTGAAGACCTCATGCAACATCTGGCAATGTGATGCCCAGAAATCCACAACACCTTGAGCCAGTTGCCGATAAATTTACCACCCTGTCTGTCAAATTTTTGATGACACCACAAGCAAGGATCCAAGTGCACTGCTGACAAGGCCAGCAAGCTCACAAACACTGCATCAACAGAAGTTAGCAAGGAAATTGACATTAAAGATACGCAACAATAACAATGCCAGCTGAGTTTGGAATAGTTCTCTCATCTTGTCAACATCAACCTTTAGGATGCAGTCGGTGACAAGATCAACGAGGGCAAAATGTGCTGTGGTGTTGCCTCTTCTAACCCTTTCTGTGATTTGGATGAGCGGCATAATCGTGGGAGACAGTTCGAACACCAAGTTTTATGACCAGATACATACTCAGCTAGAATGAGAGCCAAGCCTCAAAACACTTCAGAGAAAGAAGCCAAAAAGCATTGATTGCCTCGAATGCATGAAAGCACAGCAGATCAGATATACCAAGAGATTGGGAGCACAACGAAAAAACCAGTGGGCCAGCAAATGCAAGAAAATACAATTCCAATCCATTACAGAAGACTAGGGGGTTATCAAACGCTCCATAAAGCATGCAAGTAAGATGCCTAGAAACCCTTGGACATTGTATAAAATCTTAAATGCTGTGGACAAAACGTTCGGACCACATGAATATAATTGGGAATCTGAGATTACACGGTCTGTCAACAGGTCGTCAAAAACCTCGAAAACTAAAACTAATAAAGAGATATTGATAAGAAAAACATGATGAGGGCTAATCAAACTCGATCAGCAAGTAAGCAAGTGTTTTGCGTATTTATAAAAAAAACCTAAACAGGACAACATAGACAAGGATGAAATAAGACGCTTCGATCGAGTAGAAAGGAATGAGATGACGCATGGCCTCGGCGAGGATGACGAGTGATTGATTGATTCAGCAAGTGAACCCGGAGTTTGAATTGCACTCTACATCTGTGGTCGATTAATGGCTACCCTCAGAGGAAGAGCTCTTGGCGGAATGGGGAGCTTGACTAGCTGTGTCCTCGGCGTGGGGCGAGTAAAGAACTCTCATACCGCCAGATCCAGCGGAGTTGCCTTGCTTGCTTTTGATGCTATATTGACGAAGGGCTTCGTCCGGACTCAAAGCGGAGAGGTTCGAGAGTCGTCTCATGCCAGCCGACATACCAGTACTCTCGCAAGATCCTTGTGAGCCTTGAGATTGAGAGGATTTCAAGTAAGGATTGTTGGACGACATTGCAGGAGTGGTAGCCTCACCAGACGAGACGGCCGGGTTGAAAGAAAATGTAGGCATCTGTAGACGAAGAAAAAGGAAACATTCAACAAAAGGACAGGTTACGAGGTAGATAGATACAAACATACAGGCTCTGCAGGTCCGGGTGATTTGCCATCGTTGCCTACTTCGAATCTCAAGTTACTGGTGCTACGATTAGCGCTGGAGGTAGAGGCAGTGGACTTCGTGTAAACCTTTGCATTGACACCAACTCGTCCCAAGGCCGAAGGACCGCGCTCTTGTGTAGGACTCAAGAGAAGCTCGACCGGGGTACTATTCGGCAAGACAGGGCTAGTCTGGATGCTGAGAGATGACTTTGGACTTCGGTGTGGAAGTGGGCTGTCGGCAAAAGAAACGGTAGACTTGCGATGCTGAGACATCTCCGGGCTGAAGGCGTGACTGAGACGAGATGGCGTGTTGGCGACGATAGATGCACGCGAAGGGAGCGAAGCAGAATGACGGTACATTGATGCAACACGAGCGCTGACGGGACGAGGAATGACGGGGTCGCTTGGTAATCTGCCCGCCTCCCAGTTGGCAGCATTGGGGGCAGTCGACATTCGTTGGTCGACGTACTGACTCCATCGCTTGCTTGCGGTTCCACTTCGACGACGAGAGACAACGATGTAAGCCGCGATGAGACCTGCAACTGCGAGTAGAGGTACCAAGACAGCGGCTACAATCGATCCACCAGCAAGTCCACGAGAGTGTGCCTTGTTGATGACTTCGACACTGGGACCACCTAGCTGAGTCTTAGCTTTCTCAGCATCGGGGACAGAGTCGGGAGTTGTGCCGTTGAACTCGGCAAAGAAAGTGGGACCAGATCCCGAACCGGCCCAAGCTGGTTGATCGGCACCAGTGATGACGAGCTGGAGGGTAGCAGCGTTGGTACTGTTCCACCAGGAGGGAATGAAGGAGGTGGTAAGTTGACCATCGGAGGTAGTGACAGACTTCCAGAGATGGATCGGTTGAGCAGCATCGACTGATTGAAGATATATGTCGAGTGCTATGATGAATGGGAACAGAAGTGATTGAGTCAGCTTGGTAGGAGAAAGGAGTGATGAAAGAAACTAACAGTCGTAAGTAGTAAGACACTTTGGGTCCCACTTTAAGGTGGTTTGCGCATATGCTTCAATCACATCGCTAGCAGCGGGTGCAAGATAAGCTTGACAAATTGAAGAGTCTCGTTTCTGATGTCGATGAGCATCAGAGTGAGAGAAAGAGGAGGGATAGTGAGACATTTGAAGATAAGATAATGATATCGATTGAAAAGTTTAAATGAGGTTGTAGAGAATGGAAAGATTCAGAACGAAAGGAATGGTATGGTATCGAATTTGATTGGGAAGACGATTTTGAAAGAAAGTGATGACTCTATAAATGAGAGAAGAGAAACTTTCAAGGCACAATCGAACACTCGATCAGGACGACTGATAAAGATAAGTATTCAAGAAATCAGGCAAACAGGGCAGCGCTTTGGCTTGAGGAGACAGACCAGGAAAAGAAAAGAAAAAAAAAAGGGGAAATTAAAAAATTAAACAAAACACCCAACCTTTACAAGATTCACAACCGTTTAAGTTTTAATTTCAAATTTCAAACTAGATCAAACTTCAAATACAGCATTTCTCCATTCACCTTTCTTTCACTTTCTCACCTAGAACCTCCCTTGGCACTAGTCACTCTCAGTCAAATTGACTATCATATATAGCATTCAATTTGTTGGTTGTCAAGCATGCATGTGACTAAAAAAGGACGATAATATTCTCAATGAGTTTACTGATAGTCTTCATATGATATCGCCCTGATATCTTTGAGCTTGGGGAGCCTGGAGGCTTGGGGTTTAGTGATTTGTATGCGTGTTGTCAAGCATGCCATTGCTAGACGACCCAAAAGCTCTGATGTCTGCTAGCAATTATCAAAGGCATGATGATGAATACCCATCAGGGATATCAGCATCGTATCGGTGTGCCTGAAGATTCTGATCAGTATGATCTATCTTTCCATGTAGCAATTGAACTTCAATTAATGTTCCTCATCACATACTCCAGATAATTCTCTACCTCTAGTTCTCTTGCCTTGCACAAATATAGCGCTTAAAAATAATCACTGAGTAAGATGCTCTAAAAAGTCATCAGGGCGTAAAGTGGCAAAGTCGTCAACTCTAGAATCGTCAAATTAACCTGAATAGAATCTGCTACTTCATGAAGAAAGGAACAAGGCTGAAGGCTCATAAGGAAAAACAATTTGATCATTCTTTCTCCGCACACAGTTCGTGCTCCTTGGGCTCTTTGGAAGTGCGCCTTTCTCTAGCTGATAGCCAACGTACCAACTGCTAGGCCAACGTCTGGCTCCTACTATGAGTCCATGTATTGGAATGTCCCCATGATGATATATCTGTCTTATGGTCAAACAGACCTAACAGTATATGTCCTTTGAAAAGTTTCACCTCATTTCAAGACATGAGCATCTATAACTTGTTTTATCCATCAGAGGTGTATGAAATTGTGACTTGATAGTAGACCGGGTGAAATCAAGCACAAGAATTTCCAACATAGAGTGACACACCAAGTTACTTTGAGAATGTGATCGACGATAATAGCGAAATACATGTACGCAGATCAGCTTGATGCGTATCGAGCTACAAATATATGCGCTAAAGATCACAAAGTCAGAGATACCCAAGAAAAGCTCATTTGTACGCAAAGTTCATTGTTTGCATACCAACAGCCTCACCTGTTCACCAATATTCTTGTTAGCAGGGCTACCTTGAATTTCAAACCAGATCGCATCCTTTTTCTCATTAAAAACATTTGTTTGAATATGTGCCAAATCCTCTTACTAGGTCTAAGGTAGGCTCACTACATCTCCTCATCATCACCATCAAAACCCTTCACAATATCAGGATCATTCGTCTCTGTTTAAGCAAAACTTCTTCGAGGTTTCAGCATGGAGATCATCATGGACGAGTAAAGCTGAAGATATATTCATGTATACCTCATTACATTCTTAACTGCTTTCCTACGTCAGCCTTCCAACAGCAAAGGCTCTGTTGAAGTAAAACTTTAAAAATTCTCCAAACCTTTCTACGGTCACCAAGTTTCGCTTCTTCCCACTCTAATACTTAGCTTTGTTGAGGTTAAGTAAATTCACATGTGAATAAGGTACATCTATTCTTCCACAACTTTGAGGCTTAAGCTGAGCTTTGAGCTTCGGGTGTAGGATCGACTAGGCTTCAAGTTGTTGAAAGTCTTGATTTAAATATTAAATATGGTCCCTTTAAAAATATTTACCCAGACTATCACTCGACCTTTTTCGACAGAAGGCTAGAGAAGGCTCTTTAGCGTGTCAAAGATAAATTTACCACATACTTGACACTCTATTATAATGTGGTAACTTTTGTTCCAGCTACTGATGTGTGATAATCAAGCATCGTATTGGCAGGAGCTCTCAAGAAAGATCGTAGAAACCATTTCTCAACTCCACTTGATCTCATTCGATAAACAATCCCCACTTGCTAGATCCCTTACAACCATGTAAGCTTAGTTTGGATCTAAGATAAACGCTCTTTCAATAAAAAAACGCTCAAGATCATAAGACAAACCCGACAACCAGATTCCATATTCCCCAAAAAAAAGGGGAGGGGGAATTTTACACCGACCCGTTTACACCGAATCATTCTGTGCAAAAGCGGGTCAGTGTAAAATTCAAACAGGGGGGGGGGTTCTTAGAAATTTACACATGTTTTGTTTTTTTTTTCTCGGTGTTAAAAAAAGTTGTGTGGAAAAGACTGTGCAAAAATCTTCTCGCCGGAAGGGACATTTATTTTTACATTGAATATTTTACACCGGATGGTTCAGTGTAAAAAAAAACAGCGTAAAATTCAAGACAAGGCAACCAAATCTCATTTTTGCACATGAAAACTTTACACCGTAAAAGTCTGTGTAAGCAACTCACGTGCAAAAATAATTTTAGGTATGCCTAAAATGAATTTTGCACCGAACCGTTTACGCAGACTTGAGAGATGAAAACATCAGATAACCGCGCAGAAAACATGTATTTGCGGTTTGTAGTCAACACTTTTATAGCCAACATGTATTTGGGGTTTGTAGACAACAACTTTATAAGCCACAAAACCAAAGGAAAAAGAATAAAAGTAAAAAAATCCAGTCCACGCAATCGTCGCCATGCCCGTGGAAAAGTTGGTGATTTGATCTTCTGCTCTCTTCACAAACACAGTATTGCCGTTTGGATATAAAGGATAGTGCTGTTCATCGAGCTCACTGCCGTGATCGATCCATGTCACAAATCTGTTCTTCTGGATTGGAAGCTGCAATTGCCGCGGCCTGACTTCTTCGACTTGAGGGGTTTCACTTCGATGAGATACTTCGTCGACGTTGTCGGAGTCGGAATTATATTCCAAGTTGTTATTATCTCTGGATAAATGTTCAGACATTCGGTTCATTGTAGGATAACTGATAAGTCGTCTAGATAATGGGCTTGATTGTAACGGACTAGATTCTAAGGTATCAGACAAAGAGCAGTCGGAAGTAACGGTGATAATGCTAAATGGAGAGCTAGGTAGGCTAGTAGACAGGTTTCTCGATGAACCTCTAATAGAAAGGACTTCTGATGGGATATGTGAAGTCAACAACTCTCGCTTTTCTCCCGGATGTTCCGAAGAGACGGGCGATGGAAGGGAAAGTGTATGACCCATGATGAGCACTTGATAGATATGAATGATAATTTCCGAAAGCGTTAAGAACGATAAGAATTCCTTCAAAAGTCGACAACGGAATGGCCGAAAGCGTCGAGAAAGACCTCATAAGCCAACGAAATAGCGGTGGCTTTTGAGGAATTGACAAAATCTAGGGATGGTCGTCAACGAGGGCAATTGACGATTTAAATGTTCGTGATGAATTCCGGGAGACAAATCCCAAAGTGGAGGTTGCCAATTTCCGATGCGGAAACTCTATGTTGATGGATACGTGAGAAAGTAACGAGGTATAAGGGTATCGTTGCGTTTCGGTTTGGGCATTCTTCCTTTGATATCGGTTTCGATCAGGTATATATATACGGAACTGATGTTTGTTGTGTGGTATTCGACATTCAAGGATATGCGTTGGAGGTATGTGGTGGGTGTAAGACGTGCGTGTAAAATTGCATGTCAGCTTGGCCAAAGGGCATTTTTGCACCGACCCGACCTTACACATGAATTTTCGGTGTAAGCCACCCAGTGTAAAATTACAACTCGGGTCAGGGCCCGAGATATTTACACCGCCTTTTTTTACACAGGCGTAACACGTGTAAAACTTTCAATGTAAAATTACATGTTACCACCGGCCAAGAGATTTTTACACAGAATTTTCCACATCACTTTTTTGAACACCGAAAAAAAAAAAAAAAAACATGTGTAAATTTCTAAGAACCCCCCCCCTGTTTGAATTTTACACTGACCCGTTTTTACACAGACTCATTCGGTGTAAACGGGTCGGTGTAAAAATCTCCTACCCCCAAAAAAAAGGTTCAAGAACATATCTTTAGTTCAAATGATATTTCAATACAATACAAGACGAAAGTAAGAAAAAAAAGAATAATTCAAAAAAAAACTTCAAAGAATCCAAACAAAAAGAGAAAGAGAAAGAAAAAAGCGAAAGATGTAAGAAAACTGACATCTTGTAAATCCAAAGAAAAAAATCCAGACATACTTAAAATGAATGTATAAAGAAAATCGAAAGAACTAGAGGTACTAATGCGATGCGGTTTAGAGAAAAACATAAGATTTCTAAGAAGAAGAAAAAGAATCAAACAAGATGATCAAAAGTAAAAGAATTGAGAAAAAAAAAGTTTCAGATCAAATAAAAAGAAGAACCAAAATCAAACTTAAGAATTCGAACCCTTTAAAAAAAACTTCAATCGTGAATAAAAGGGAAAAAGAGTCAAGAATCTACAGGTATGAAGAAAGATAAAGCAGTGTGTTTCAAGTCTAACCATGAAATCCGATAATTTTAATCCTTTAATCCGAAAAAAAACAAGAGTGAATCAATAATCTATAAAGAAGTTTGATGGATTGGTTCTAATTTTTCAATCTTGAGACCATCAAGATCAGATGCCAATAAATGAACCAGTTGATCATCCAAACCATCCTTCACAATCCCCTCAACCACATCTTCATCCTTCACAACTTCCCAATCAATAGCCTGATGAATTTCATCCAGACCAAACGATCCAGGCAAACCATTAATCCAAGCTAAAATCTCTTCTCTCTTTCTAACATATTCAATTGCTTCCTCACGCCATTGAGTAAGTTGAGACCTAGGATCGTTTTGAGGATGTAATGGAGTTGAGATTGAATTAAAGTTAATTTCTCGATCACTACAAACTGATTGATCAGGCTTGATAGCTTTAAGATGAGCTGAATCAGATGAAGCTCTAATGAATTTTGGAATTTGATGAACTTGAGGTTTTGAAAGAATAGTTGGTTGATCAATAATAGTAAGTAAATTGATAGATTGTTTTGAAGTTGAATTAGTAGTAGTAGGAGTAGTGGTCATCGAATTAGGTGTTAAACTTTCATTGGGAAGTTCTTGGGATGTCTTCAACTTAAACTCAGGTTCAATAAGCCAATTCGGATCACGTTCGACCAATGGCTTAGCATTCACTTTGAGATGATCAACCGATTGAAAATGTTGATTCAAGTTAGTTTCAATCACTTGACTAATCATTTCATCAAAGTTATGATAAGCCATCGGATTGGATGAAAGATGAACATTAGAGTTCATTCCATTCTCTTGACCTTCATCGATTTCCTAAATTCCAAAAAAAAAAAAATCAAATCGTATCACCACTTTCAATATTTTCATAAAAACATCAACCAAAGCAAGAGGTTTGATCACTTACAACTTGATGATGATGATGATGAATCGAATGAGAATGTAAAGATGAACTTGGATGGAATGTGAGAGTAGGATGAGTGTTCATGAGTGTAAAAGTGAATGAAGTGAATAATCCAATAGTGCTTCTATCCTGTTCTTATCTATCTGATCAGTTCAAGTTGAAAATTGAAATAGAAAACCTTGTATGCAAATTTGAATTCTGTTCGAATATAAGTTGATGTTATTATAGAATAGAATAAAGTTGATCAGTAAAATGATGAAATTGAAGTTCAAGTTGATAATGAATTGAGTAAGTTAAAGTTGAATGAGTAAAACTGGAAAGACCAACTGATCATCCGCTAAAATCGGATTCACTCAAATATCCACTGATCAAGCAAACTCGAGATATTCATCAAAATGATTTGTAATGAATTCGTATTATGCGCAGAGTGACTCAATTGTACCTTGTCCTTGACGGGTGACACCAGTCAAATCAGGTCACGACAGCGAACAAGGGCGATTGCTACGGGGTTTCGGCCTGCCACTTGGCCCCGAAAGCCCACTAAGGATCGAACAGTCTGGATAGCGCGATATCTACTCCTCACCTTCAATTTATTCAGCGCTGATCAAGGTCATGCAATTTTTGCCGAGGTAGACCAAGATGAAATGAAACACAAAACTTGACCTTGTGAAGATATGCCTGTAGACGGGCAACAAGAAAGAATGGCCCACAACGCACTATAAGATGATAGATGAACATTAACTATGATATGATATCGTGCTTTCCATTCCCACGCATTCTTTTTGTAGCAAGCAAAATATAATGCAAGAAATCAAGAGGGACTCTGAAAACAACAACATTCAAAATTAAAGATCTACAAGTTCAAGTGAGCATGACTATGACGAGTGAATTGTAGGATATTAAAGATATCAGATATGCTATGGCTGATTGAATAGATGATCAAGTTTGTGTTAAATCCATGACAGTCTCCAGTAGACGAATCCATCTCAACGAACGTGCTTCCTCAAATCTAACCCTTAATTACTCATCCATATTTATGCAAGAATTGGTAAAGATATATCATTCAAACTTGAATCCTTGAACGAACATATTTTCTTTTGAATCTTTTTGTCTTCTAGAACAAGAAAAAAAATCAAAAAATGTCACAATTGAATGAATCATTTGGATCAAGATGAATTCACCTTAAGATTGGTCTTTTTTCCAGATATATTGTGATACGAATCCTTTTTAAATCTTTCCAACCATCAAGTTTCTCAACATCTCACGACCCGTTATACGGGTAGTATGCCAGAGTGTGATAAAGTCAAGAGTCGAAAAGAAACCATCGGCAAATCCAAAAGGCATCATCGGTGGAATCCAACCTAAAAAATGAAATCCCAAAGACGCGTTAATATCTTAAAAGAACCAAAATCCAATCAACAAAACCATTTACCTTGTGCAAGTTCTAATGCCCAACATCCTTCTGGCATCTTATATTGTCTAACTTCACCTCTTGGAAGATAATTCACAGATCCTTTAAAATATTTCTCAGCTTTTAATGAATTAGCTTTCATGATCCATTGTTCACCTTCAATAATATGAAAGTAATCATCTGCAGTATGTCTCCCAGTATGACCTTCAGTACCGACCGAAGTTCCAAAGATAATCAAATACTCAGTGATCGAAGCGTGTAAGACATACATCGATCCCATGGCTCCACCTGCATTATTGAAAAGCCAATCAGGATGTTCAGATTCTGAACTAAAAGCTCCTAAGGGGAATGGATCGACCGTTATATGACGAGATGAATGTTGAGTTTGAAGAGTAGTGGCTATATGATGAATCACACCACTGGTCGAATTCGGGTAAAGCTCAATTGCTTCTTGAGCGAGTTGATGGATTTGACTTGGATCAAAGATATACCATCGAGACTAAATGAAAAATATCAATAAAGAATGATTAGTTTGAGAAGTTTTCTGGAAATTGAATAATCCAAAATATTAAATGAACTTACCTTGATTGGATCAATCCAATAATAAAATCCAATCAATAAAGCTGAAAAGATTGAAAAGAGTAAACCGATTTTATTAAATTGATTTAAGATGAATCGATGATTTGATTGTTTTTGAATATGAATCGTTTTATTTTTCACTTGTGGTAGTCTATGATTCACTGATATTGATCTTTGCATGATTTCCTTTTCCTTTCAATGATAGTTTTCTCTTCTGTCGTGTTTGTTTCTTTGAAAAGTTGATGATTAAAATGTTTGAATGCTTTCAAATAAATGTCACAGTGCAAGTCGAAGCATCAAAACTCGTTACTCGACACTTCTGTGGCTATGTAATTGTTAAGGTTAGCTAAGCCCCTTCCGAAGCGGCCGCTCTCAATGGATGCTCTTATGAGCCCCGGGTTTGGCCTGAGCACAGCATGATTTTCAAATACTTTGGCTTGAAATTCCAATGTGAGGGCTCCAGACATTGTGTAACCTCACAAACCATTGAAAAGAGCATCCCATAAGCCTTGTACACACGCTCCTGCCATTATTAGCACCAATTTACTTGAGCAAAGTGACACAGTCAAGTTGTTGAATCCTTGTAAACCTGGCTCCTATTTCAATACAGGGCCTACAAGCATGCTTGAGTCCTTGACCCGTCCAAAATTACTTGACCTTGGAGTCCAATTTCCTCACAATCCACAACTGTTGACATGCTAAAAGTGGCATGAGGAGACACAGAAGACCTTGGCAAAGCTCTTCTCATTTTTTTGTGAGGTTTCATGACGTTTTGAGCCCTCACAATGGGGATTCAGGCAGATGTGCTTGAAAGTCTTGCTATGCTCAGGCCAAACCCGGGGTTTTAGTCATACACCCATCTTTGAGAGTAGAGGTGGCTGTGTTGGAAGAGGAGATTAGTTAAGCTTAGGTAATTGTTCATGTTGTTTTTGTCAATTGTTGTGTGTAGATGTGTGTGTGTGTGTCTTTCACTAGGATACAGCTACAGCAGGGGTGAACTTCCTTGGCCTTGGATTGTTCTGGGAATGTGCCCAAGATTTTGTTTGTGAGAACCAAGGCAAAGCTGTTCTGGTAAAAAAATTGTGGGTAACCATGAGACAGTCAGGCACTTTCACCAGGTTTTCGTGGGTTCAAAAAGACCAAAAATCATAGTCAAGGATGGTATGAAGGTTGGTCAAGACTTGAATGATGCAATACCTGGAGCCAAGGGCAGGCATCCAGTAGTGATGCAATATGTTTAACCTTGCCAGTCTTTGCTTGGATGAGCTGTCAATTGATGGGTCCAGTACTCTTCAATACAGCTTGCTTTTTGGTGACTGCTATGTGACAGGCACATTTTTTCCCCATCAAAATAGTGGTACGTGTCTGTAACACTATAGGACCCAGGAATGTGCCTACAGAGGTATCTGATGAAACCTGTTTTTCAGTTTTTGGGCTCTACACAACACACCACTCCTTGTCTCAAGGTCCAGAGCACTTCAAAAGATGCGCATGGACTAGGGCTATCAAATGAGCCTACTCCCAGCCTCTCAACTCCCCTCACTTTTGCGCAAAATCGATTGGCGCAATTTTTTTTTGTGCCTCCAAGGCCTGATTCCGACGTTCGATTTTAAGGCTCTTTTTGACCGTTACATCCCATTCTCTCAGGAAGTATTGGTGCTATGAGGTTGAAAGCTAGCTTAAACGAAAGCCTTTAATGTCACGCACATTTTGCACTACTGTAGGTGCTGTGAATGTGTCGTTTAGTGCCCTAAAAGTCCGCCAACAAAACGTCGGAATTTACATCAGATACCTCTGTAGGCGCATTCCTGGGTCCTAACACTATCAATCCTAGTTTTAGAATGTGCCACTTGCCCTGTGGTAGGGTTCTGACCCGGACCCGGACCCGGCCGGCCGACTCTGCCCGACAGCTCTCACAGAGCTGACAGTACGCGCCCAGGGGCTTTCACACCTTGCTGAAAGATGGTAAAATTGGCCCTGCAGAGGCGTCAGGCAGCTCCGGCGCCCGACCCGGCCAAGGCGCCGGCCATGTTTCCGCCAGCTATATCTCACCAAAATTTGTATACAGGGTGGGAAGATTGTATTCTGACAGACCTAAACCTTGATTGGACTTCTATAATGCCCTGCATTGCCACTCTGGCGCGCCCTGGTCGGCCCTGCGCATATTTTGAAGGTACTCGGGTCTACCCAAGTCCGGGCTCGGCCCCGAGGCAGCCCTGTCTCACTCAGGGCCGGGTCACAGCCCTACCCTGTGGTGTATATGAAATGTTGTTGTGGAAATGGTTCATCTGACTTTGAGACAAGTGTGAGATGTTAGAGCATCCACAGCTGTGCCATAAAATTGTATTGTACAAAGGGTCACGCAGATCATTTAGGGAGGTGTTTGAGGTATGAAATTAGAAAGATGAGAAGCCGTGTTTCCCTACAGTACCACTTGTAGCATAAATGGGGAGGTGTGTTATGGTTTAGTTGATCATTGATGTAGATGACTTGCACAGAGTCTGGTTGTACAAGTGGGAGTTTATGGGAGAAGCAGGGTACAGATGAATTTAGGGAGTGAGCCAAAATAGAACAAATCTCTTCTATTCTGGCTGGCATGGAGGAAATTCCCTTAGCTACAGTGAAAAATCAGGGCATCAGCTGTGTATGATTTTGCCCTAAATCTCCGTACAACATGGTTTACGCCACACAGCTGTGGATGCTCTTAGGGCTTTAGAATCTAGATACAGTTTGTTATGGAACAGCATATATGGAATAGATTTTGTTGGAAATTCTCAGAACCTTAAATTTTGGAAAAGCTTTCCAACTCTTCTCATGCCACCTTTCAATTTGATCAAAAACCCATTGGCATCTTGAAAACTATGTGTAACAGATACATTTATATGTTATTATCCACAGGGTGATACAACCAGAAACTCAACCACACACTTTCCAGGGAGTACTTGAAGGAGAATTTGGCTCTAAATCAGTGCTAGGATCAGGAGCTGGTGTAGGGCAATAATTATAAGACTGTGTAGGTGGAACTGACATGTAAATCAAGATTCTATTGTTTGGTCCTGGAGCATAAACTTCTTGGTTTGTCAGAAACCATGGAGCATCCTGCATATTCTCTTTGAGGTCCAGATCCATTGGGCTGTATTCTACTGTGGCTATTGCGGTGAATGAAACAAGGCTTGAAGTGCCACCAATATCTGAACAAAGAGGAGGCCCCCTGAGAGTCATCCCATTCACTGTTTCTAATATTAATTTGAGTAAATACACCTTCTTTGTAATCATTGCAGCCATCATTTGGCTCTAGATATGTTCAAAAATGATTCAACAATTGGGTTTACTTAAATGTTAGTGTTCCTTGCAAGAATTAAGCTTACTTGCAAGTGACCGCTTATTGGATTTTAATGTGGGCCCTCTTGTTCTTGGTCTTGAGAATGTGGTTTTTGTGTTATCTTCCCAGAAGCACAGAATGTATCACCAGGTGAAAATGCAAACCTCAAATTCCATAAGCAATCAAAGAAAGTCTCATCTCAAATCATGTTACCAAGGGTATGTATTCAGTGAGCACTGACAAAACCATCCAAGAGCAAGATTCTTTGATTCCTTTTGTGTGAGAAAATACTATGCAGCTTTCTTCTTTGAAGGGATTACTCAAACTGACACATCTCAAGATCATATCTAATACTCAAGGATTGTATATAGAGTTAAGGTCATATCTGTGAGTAGGCTTGGAATGGGTCCATTCTTTTCAGCTGATGTTTAGATCCAATTATTTGTACCAGCTGACTCACTTCAAGTCAAAATTTTATACAACTCAGCTAAGTCCACTCTTGAGGTCTGCCAAAAAAACATAAATAAACTTGCAGACCCAAAGGTGGCTTACATGAAAGATTGAGGGTGGGAAGAAGGTGTTTTCGAGCAAACAATCCACAACAACACCTTGGACGGTTTAGTACTATGTGAGAGCTGCAGAACTTCTGTCAGGATTTTTGTAGGGCTATCCCAGCCAAACTTATGATTAACTTGGTTAGGGTTTAGTTGTGTTATGATCACTTTCTTTAAGGATCTAATTCTAAACCTCTTCCATAACCTTACTGGCTGGAAATGGTCCTTCTATAAAGGGTTCCATGAATTGACTGCCTTATCATTTTTATTGCAATCCTTTATTCATTTGAGTTGTTTATTTCCTTTGTACACCAATAACTGCTCTGAAGGAATACCTTTTCTGATGTACATGTCATACCCTTTTACAACACCATTTGTGGTCTGACTTTGACTTTCACAAAATTTCGCTTTGTCATTTCCTTACACCTTGCCTTGACTTGTATGCACTGATCTAGTTATCATGATCAGTCTAACTGCACAAATGAATAAAAATCTATAAGTGAGATCATTTTCAAATTCCAGATGCTGATTGACTGAATATTCTCCTATGTCCGTCATTTCTAACTTCAAAACCCCATTGAAGCTTTGTTATTCTCAGGATTTAAACACCATAATTAGCCTATCCACCTCAAATAGCCCAGATCTACCTTTTCCTATTGGAAACTAGATTTTTATGAATTATTATGGCTTTGAACAAGTAATGAATCTCTGCAAGGGTATGGGTATGGGTATTGACGGTTACATTTACAATTTCATCGACCCAAGTGTATGGGTATAAATGGGTTTGACAGCCAACGGTCAAATATTTCGAGTCAAAACCCACCAACACCGATCAAGTTCACAGCAAGAACAATCTTGTTATTTCTTAAATCAACCATTCCTTGTTCAAATCAAAGTAAGTCACTCATTGCACGTTCCCAACCTTTCTCACCAAAAACCCACATAAACGAATCAATCTGACTTTGAACAATATTTACAATGTATGGATTTAGATTGAATCTTCCTTCAGGATGAATCGTGTAATACCTGTTATCAATCGACTTCAAAAACCATTCGGGTCGAATTTCTGCAATCGTTTCTTTACTTCTACGACTTCAAGCAACACTCAAACTTCAAATACTTCATCTCCTACCTCATCAGCAACTAAAGTAGATCTCAGTCTAGTCAAAAGGAAACTAATCGATATCCTTGAAGAAAAAGGACCAATCTCACGAAGAAGGCTCTACGATGACCATATCTCAACTCTATATCCAGTCGAACCTTTTACTCCAAACCAACCACCTCGTCCGCTTTGGCTAAGAACAACACCTGAACCACCACCCGTTTATTTAACGATGAGTAAATTTAAAAAAGAAGTTTTAGGATCATTAGCAAGAGAAAAATCAATAGGAATCGTCACAGTCTTTAAGATCAAGAAAGCTTTAGAAGTTGTAGATTTACAAGGAGGGTTAAGGAAAAGAATTGAAGATGCGATTTCAAATGAACCGGTTGATGCTCATGTTTGTGTGACTGGTAAATGGTGGCGTGAGTTTATGGGGAAAGTTGCCAAAGATTCAATGGCTCAAGCTCAGGCTAGATCGGCAGCAAAACCAACTAAGAAGTCATCATCTAAAAGACAATATCAGAGGAGATGAAAGGAAATCCAATTATTACAATTGAATCATCATTCGCTTTTGACATAATTCAAGGCAATCATTCAAAAGGTTTCTCCAGGAAATTGATATTGTCTTGGAGTCTCAGGTGTTTTTTTGGTATCATTCATCAAGGCCAACAGTTGTATATCATTGATCTAACTTTATCTCGATTGCTTTATAGATATACAATTCTAGTTATAAATACAATCAAAATCTACCTTGAAAATTGATCTCAAGACCTAAATGAGACTAATGATCAAACAAAACACAACCAGCTTTCCACATAAACCTCAAGGTATTCTAATGTCAGGATCCTTTAATTGTATCTGTTTTCTCCTCCTTGATTGAAGGCTTAGAGGAAGTCTCATCTCCGTCTCCATCATCTTCGTTCTCACGCCTTTTACGTTGTCGTATCTTTGCTCGTTTTTTATCGCGCGCTTTTTGCCACTTGAATTCCAATTTGCTTTTACCTGGATTAAGGAATAAATCTACCTAGAAAGGATGAATTGATTTAATCATTCAAAGAGATAAATTAGTGTAAGACAAGTTTTGAAATCTTGATTAATCAGTTTTCAAGACTAGATAAATAAGAACCTTTTCACTTAAAATCTTTCTTGCTTCTTTACGATTCGATTCACGAGATCTCTGAGCATGACATTGGACTCGAATCCCCGTAGGTTTATGAATTAATGAAACTGAAATACTTAATTCTAAAATCATAAGAAGACAAGAAATGAGATCAACAAATTGGTTTTCTTTAATATACAAGAATCATCCATGAGCATGTTTTGAGAAAAACTTAAACTGTTGATACATTGACCACCTGGACCAGAACCTCTGACGAATTCTTCAATCAGATCTGATTCGTTCAATTTTTGAATTTTAGGTAATTTACTTGGTAAGAATAAACTTGATGTTGTTTGAATTGAACGAATTTGAATTTGATTTAATGAATTCAAGATCAATCTGAATGATTGGTTCATGTTTTGAGAAACGGTGATTTGATTGATTGATGATTGATTTGGTTGTGATACTCAAATGTCCAAGTCTTGCATAAGTTCGATTTCTTTCATCTTGATGTTCCCAAAAAAAATTAAAATGCCTGATTCAAGAATCAATCCACAGTTGCATGAGTTACATACATGTGTGTAACATAGGTGGTGTAACAGGCTACATATGTAACAAAACAGCATTCGACATCGGCACATTTCTTGATCTATTGCAGGAAGTGAACAAAACAACGGCAAGCATTCCGGGAGAAATTGAAAGAAGAAAAAATAAAAATCAATACAAACTCAGCTACATTATGTACTAGACACACCCAAATTTTATCCATTTCTAGCGTACTATATTCAATTTCAAGCAACGGGAAGATTCCCTCACCTCAAGACATATTTAGATGATTGAACCCAAAATGTTTTTTTTCTGATTCTATGTGCTATGTTTCATTCTTTTATTAGTCTTTTTATTTTATTTTTCCTTTTCCTTTGACAGCAATGTGTCTGGTCTGAAGGCTTAGTAGTCCATCACATAAGAAAGCGTAGAAGAAGTTGTAAAATTTTCAGATTTACTTTAAACATACTAGTTAGTTAGTGCGATATGTGAAATCAAAAGCACTTAAAAAAGAAAAATCAAGCCGGAGACAAATCGAGTCTTCGCGGAGCCAATCTCTCGTTCGTCCAAGAGGGACTTAGTTAGGCTAGGGAGCCGATGCAACAACAAGAATATCATAGAGGTATAATGTGCCTGATACCTGCAAAGGCTTCATGTTGGTTCTGCAGGGGTTGACACTCGGTTTTAAAAGTCAAGTTATTCTTGCATATGATTCTCAAGGCAAAACCAACAAAGCCAAACTGGAATGAATGCAGGGAGATCGTCCGTGGACTATCAGAAGTTAACCGTGATAGCACCTTAACAATACTTTGTTTCGAAGGGATGGTCGCATACTAGACTGCTCTTAGCATGTTTTAGTACAGCGGGATTGAACAGATCTGCGTCGAGTTGCCTCGAGTTACACAGATCAATTTGCATGACGATTTACGGCAAGTACAACAATTCAACAATTCAACAATACTATGTTAACTCCCAAAGTCAATTTTGTTAGCTAAAACGCGGTTTGAGCTTCACAGTCTTCAGTTTTTGTACGTGACGTACGTCCAAGTACAATTTTTTTTACTGATGACTCAAGAATAATGTTCGGGAAGGAGTCATTATCAAGAATGGTATGATGCAAGATAAGAACGAAAGAAAATGATGATGATTCGCTAGGGTTATAGTTCTATTTCTATGCAAGAGATCTTGCAGAGATGAAAGGAAAATAGGATGTCTGTTCTACTATTCATATGATAGTCTTGTTGTAAGCCAGCCTTCAAGAAAAAGAAACAAAATGCTGTATGTCGATGATGGACTGCTATTTAAGACGAGGAACTAGACCACTGCATGTTCTGTTGATGACTCTGGTTTGGGACTCCGGATGAAGTAGTGCTGGGCCAAGTGAATTGACGATTGGGTTGCCTATTTAATTCACCCTCACCCCCAGACCTATGATTTAGCTGATAATCTTCCAAGAGTGCTCCGACCGTTGAAACAAAAGCACTTGGTTGGGTCAGGTATTGACTCGAGCCTGGTTGATTGTTATCAAACATAGTAGATGCCTCATCCCGGTGACGTGGATCATATTGTGGATGTCCCATATGCATCTGCTGGGAAACGCGGCTTTGTGGACGGTCGGAATGTTCACCAGAAGCTGCCTCTAAAACACCTGGACTTTGACATTCAACGTCTTGATGTCGGCGATGGTAGGACGCGGTACTCGAGCTGTGATCTCCTGTTGAGCCAGTACTTCCCGACGCTTTTTCTGGGCGTGATCCTGGGAAAGGTTCGGATCTGAGGGACGGAGTTTGTTCAGAAAAACTTCAGGATGTGACTGTTCAGATAAGCAAAAGCATTTCTACCTCAGGTGGTCCATCCCGGGTCCCGTGGCCGAATGCGAGGAACGAACATGCCCATCCAATGAGCCCGATTGATGGGTAGATGTGGGATCTTGAGAGAAGCCGGAGTGCCTCATATTCCATGATCCTTCCGCAGACATGACTGGAGGATACGGTGAATGTCTCGGTGGACCACCGTTCGTAGCGCCCGGGATAAATCCTGGACCATAAGTAGGATTACGCGTGAGGAGCTTTCTTCGACTAACCAATGAACCCCGATCCGCACCTTGTGAAGGATGTGCACCAGAATTGTCCGGTACTGTACCATGCATATGGAATGGTTCATGTGATGACCGAGCGGTGTTGGAATCGTAGTGGATGAAAGGCATGGGCGCCGGCGAGGATTCGGATGAACGCGGAAAGCATTGAAATTGTGAATTAGATGGATGGGATGATGCTGGTGAAGAGATGTGTCGATTGTCGGCAGGGGAAAGTGCTCGTGGGTCAAATGGAGCAGTCGAAGTTGAAGCTCTAGCGTTTATAGGGGGTTCCAGATAAGACCAAGAAGGTAGAGAAGCATTCGGTGCGAAGGTAGACTGAAAATATGATCGAGTCAGCTTTCATAAAACCGGGCGGAGATATTTATGACAGAACACTAGACAAGCTTACACCTGGGGGCATGGCATTGGAGGTAGCACCATGCTTTTTGTCCTCATTTGAAGGACTTTCTCGCTTTGGAATCGTGTCAGGATCATCCAAATTGGCATCGTCGTCGTCGTCATCATCATCATCTAGCCGACTACCGCCGGCCGATTCCTGGAATATCATCTTGACCTTTGCACCTTCATAGTCACTCAGACCTCGATGTTCGTGTGGCGGACCGTCATACTAAAAAGTAAAAGGCTTATCAATCGATTTGGAAAACATGGGAGGCCCACACCAGAACTCGAAGGAGCATAAATTTAAACGTACAGAGGTATATCTAAGCAGAGTTGCGTTGAGGTCACCGCTCGAATATCTAGATTAGCAACATCAAAAGTTGAGTTCGATCAGCTTCATTTGACTTTGGCGAACAGCCAATGATGGCGTGAAAAATTCTCTTTCAAAGAAATTAGAAACGTGTGTAAGATACCATCTACTGATGATCTAACTGCCATATGTTACTTTAAGAAGTTTCGATAAATTTAGTATTACATATATAACGATGACAGAAAAAAGAAACGTTCATGTGGGAGTGTTGCGAGAAGTGCCTTTAGCCTTAGGTTCTGAGTCTTTTACGATGATCCAAAGCTGATCATCACGAAACGAATGTGAAGTTAACTATATTTGTAGGATGGGCGTCAAGGTTCAAGAAATTGGACATCTACCATCGGCCGACTCCGCATCCAATTGCAGACGGGTAACATATTTTTATAGCTTATGAACAAAAATAGAAATGAAGATAAATTGAGGTGAGAAGTGTGCAATCCGAGAACACTCAACTCGTATAACCTTCCATTTCCAGCGAAAACAATGACTGCAACCTCAGCACCACATAATACCCCAAGCTCATAGGCTTTTTTCATGAGTCCATTTTTACGCTTTAAGAAGGTTACAGACCGATTGCGGTCATCAAGGATAGGTGCGATTTCTATCTTACGTCTACCCATCGGTCCTGAGTGAGTTTCGACTTGAAAGTCTGATGGTTCGAGATTATAGAGAGGATTAAAGATTAAAGGAGAGAGCTGGAAATAGCCGAAATTGAGCGCTCCAATGCAAGGGATTCTTTCTATATAAAAAACCCTTGAATCCTTGGCTGGATGTAAACCGAGTCCAAGAGAGCAAATGAACCTTAACTCTGGATCACGGATGATATCGGGCTAATAGGGAAGAATGTGAGAAGTTGAGAGAGAAACGTTGTCGTAATGCTTATATCCGAAGGAAGTGATGCAGAAACTATAATTGCAGTGGGCTAACAAAAGCGCACAAGGTCGGTATTTATAACAATGTCCGATCAAGTGAGATAGATGATGATAAGCGTGACGAATTTGAATAGAACAAAAACAGCGAAAAACAGCGGAACGCTTGTTGCAACTTCAAGGCGTGTAGCTGCTTGATTTGCTTTGATCGACCGTTATGTTTTTTTGTTGGTTGGTGAAGACCTGTGAAGACAGACGTGGGATCGCAGAAACAAACGCTATAGGTTATACAAAACTTCGGTTGGTTCATGTTTTGTATTATCTCATCGACTTATAGCATGAGAAAGGACAATTGGGTGATTTTAAATGTATGTACAGTCTGAGGTGCTGTTGGATATTTGTATAGAAAATCAAATTATGTAAAAAGTTGGTCGAATTTGAAGCTATTGGAAGCCATTTGAAGAAAGTAAAGCCTGTGCTTTAAAAAACCTGTCACGGACGGCTTCAAATCCGGGCTCGGTGTCTTGCTTCACATAGTGTAAAAATGCTGCAGAACCGTATGTAATTGCACTTCAGTGTTTGAATCAAAACGACAATTGGAGACGACTGACATCATGAGCCGGGCCGAATTTCAATGCTGTGTTGTCTCGTTCACCTCCTTTTTTACGTAGCATTTCAGATGGAGAACGAGAGCCTACCGCGCCCCCTATCCCCCGAGAGACGCTAACGTTGATTCAGCATTAATGTCGTCTGTCCATTGACCTCGGCTCGCTGACCGGGCACGTGCTGATTGAGGCCGAACACTGGTGCCTCACAAAAACCAAATCACACTTACAAATCTCACCGGGAGTTTCGCCGCTCAGATCAGGCAGCGGGAATGAGAGATCCCGAAAAGATGGAGCGCATTTGGCCGGTCTCTGCCGGTCTCCGTCGGTAGCCACCGGTGTCCGCGCTGTACAGCCTGATACAGACATCCGGCATACAGCGGATATGAGAATGATTGCATCCAGCAAAACTGGTCCAACTTGAGAGCATCCGCAACGGTCCTCGTATTGTGAGGGGTCGAAATCAGACCCTTGGTCGCACTATGTGGATGTCGGGGGTCAAGACAAGAGCGCGTGCCCAGTGGAGCACTCAAATTCAGGAGGAAAACCTCGATTTAATGCTTGGGTATGCTTGTGTACTCTGACATTGACACAATCAGAGTCAAACTGTTGAGACAGTGTGCTGTCCATATTTTTCCGCACTTACATACTTTCTGAGGGTTTGGATGTCAATGAGCGAGAGAACATGTCAAATATGCATTTGTATGTATTTCATGCAAGCTAAGTTTTGTCCTATGCAAACCTGAAAACTCTCTCAACTGAAAGTCTTTAGGTTTCTTGGGGCTGCCCCCCTAGCCAGGCTAAGGAGGGTTAGGACAACCAGGCCTTGTAGATGGGGAGCTCTGTATGGTGGGCTAGGCATCCCCAATTACACTCACATACTACCTTACAAAGTGGAACTTCCGCGCACTGCTACTAATATTATGTGGAAGGTAGGAAGAAAGGAAGGAAATTAAAATCAACCCATCTTCAGAATGTTACCTCAGGTTCATGAATAAAAGGGACGGCGGACAGGTGAGAAAAATTTCTGAGAAAAATAGATTATGGTGAGCAGAGTCAGGGCAATAGTAAGCAGGAGGAAACAGCTCTATGAGTATTGTGAGCACTCTGAGGGGAGAAGGAAGTTGGCAATACAGGAGGGGCGGAAGCAGTGTAAAAATTTGCTGAGACCCTGACCATTTGCACCCAACTTACCGGTATCCAACTGTATAGGCATATCACATGAGTTACCCCTTCAGATATCACATATGCTCATATGTGGAGATTGATGGTACCTTTGTGTCTTTGGGTACACGCAGTCATGTATTTCTGGTGGTTATATATGATGTCAAGAGCCCCTATAAACCTCCCAGATCTGAAGACTCTCAATCAAAATTTATGGGCTCTTGATGTCCCACCCCGTACTTTGTGAGAACTGCTGCAGAGCTTTTTTGTGTGTCAACCCCCCAAATGAGTGAGAGCCCCCACAATAGGTGGACCATTGTGGATGCTCTAAGGCTGTGAACCAGCCCTGGGGTTTTTTTAAAGTATATTTTTGCTTAATTGCATGTTACACTATCTGAACAAGAAATTATGTAAATACATAGGACTAGTACACCAGAAAAGTAGTCATCTAGTCGGTAACAAGAGTGAGAAGAGTCTTTTGATCATTACACAATTTGATAGCTATCTTCTTTTGTCTTCTTTTTTTTGAGAATAACAGTGACAATATAATTTGCTTACTCATCCCCAATCTAAGGTGGAAAGTAGGAATCCTAGGGATTGTGTGTTCTGTTGGGGGTGTTCACCACTTGCGACTTTTCTCTAGATAATCTACAAATGCAGGGAATCGAGTAACAGTGACATCCTAACCCCACAGACTCATCCCCAATCTAAGGTGGAAGGAAAGGTAAGTTTAGGTGTGTATGTCTTGTCATTGATTGTTTACCAATCTTGACACCACTCTAATATGCATTAACATTGGCATCTGACTTAGTTATCTTATCCAAAACCTATTTAGGAGGATGATATTGTCTTGAATGTTTGTTGAGGATTTATCTTTTTAAGATACCCGCTATTTGCTAACCACTTGTCCCCCAGTTCAACAAAGGAGGTGGGGCACCTAGCTTGTTAGGTTGATAACTTTGTAAGCTAATGCTATGTTGGATTTGCGGATCGTCAACTTTCTAACTCTTGTTCCGTGACTATTTTCTTCAGTCTATGTCCTGTATGTATGAATTGAAAGATACAAATTGTTTAGTTTCTAATATGAATTCTTGCACCCTAGACAGACACAGAGAGATCCAGAATGCAATCAGGGCCAACCAGGGCACACCCTGAATTAATTATAAGAGCTGAAAAGGAGCAAAGGGGAAAGATTCTGGCTTGTATTGTGTGTTTACATGTACAAAATTGTATACAAAACCTATTTGGCCTGGGAAGAGCTTGAAAAGAGCTATTGGAGTCTACTCAGAAGTCAATGTTTTTGAATGTCCAACAAAAGAAATGACAGGCAACAGGGTAGACCAGGCAGCCGGGGTGCCTGCAAGGCTTTTATGACTCTTATTAAGTAGGTTCTAGTGTGTCAGGGCACGTACTGTCTGCTTCCTGAAAAGCAGCAGGCACAATTGGCTGTGTCACAGCCATAGCACAAAACCATATGGGTTGTGTGAGTCATGATAATGATCAGTCAAGTCACTCTTGATTGGACTCTTGGTGATCATTGGGCCTTGGTCATTGTTTTACACAGCTGGATTATTGGGGTTAGTAGCTTGAAGCTTGAGGCAGATTGGTCAAAACTTGCAAGTGGAGAAGGATGAAGATAACTGCTTGTGGGAAATTCTGCCTCATTGTTTGACGTGTATCTGCTTACTGGCCAAAAAAAACTTAGTCAGAATATGATTTGTCAGTATCAAATGGTTTTGCACAGTGGAAAAACAATGATTGTCAAATTGGCTGTAATTTTAGATGCTTGTGCTGGCAAGGAGTTCATGTGGATGTGTATATTATGTACACATTTTCTACACTATGTGCTGTAGCCTGAGAGTCTACACTGATGTGGCACAACTGCAGCACACAGCTTAGACTATATAGGCATGCTTGCAATTGCGCCTGCACCACCAACATATCTCTTGGATTTTGCAATCCAAGGTATCCTTGGGTGCCAAACCTTGGCCAGAAGCTTCTCAAGTTTTTGATCCGCAATGATTCTCAGTGCAAAAGAATGATTTGGATGGAAACCTTGGACAAGGTCTGCACAAGGATTTGCTTCTGATGATGCCTCAGATCTCTCAACCCAAGGTATCTATGTTGGCAGTGCTGGCCCCATCCTCATTGTCACTTGTGGATGCTGAGCTAGTGCTAATCCAGCAAGTCTGTCCTTTATACATCAGACCAGTATCATTTCTTGTGTCATCAGAAGGAGATATGGTCAATCTCTGTTGATCATGTTCAAAGAGGAGTTCAATTCAATGATATCAAAGACACTGGCACAATATCTTGTATTTTGCTTCTGGGAAGGCTCTATCCAGATTGCTAGATTGAGTCCAATTTAAACAGATCAATTGAATTGTATGAATTAAGTTCAGGGTCAGCATGTGCAGTGCAGCATTGACAATGGGCATACAGACCTCCAACACATTCATAAAAAGTCTTGTATTTGCATTTCTCTATTTTCATACTTTATCTTTCATCTTTGCAATCACTTATTTTATGTTTCATTTTCTTTATTTAAAAAACTAGGCCAATACTACCTTTGGCCATAAGACCATAAGCTACATAACTTAAGTGTATTAAGTTACATCACACTGTGGTGATCAATCTATAGGGTCAATTGAGAAAAATGAAAATTTCATTATATCATTACAGTTTGAGGTTTTAGTGCAAAGTTTGTATTTTTATTCATTCTTTATAGGATTTCAATTTTTTATCAACTATCATCACATTAGTTTCTTTCTATTCTTTCAAATTGAAGTTGGAAAATGGTTTTTAGGGTATAAATATTTAGTTTGATACTTCAAGAAGGTTATAATAACAAAGAGAAAGATCATATTAATTGGCAGAAAAGTTTATCAAATGAATTAATCAGTGAGGAGTGAAGTATTACAGATATTGGTTCATATGTACCTGGTCACTTAGATAAATCCTTCATTACAATTTTAAAGAGAATTTTGGTTTATCAGTGTAGCTCTGTGACTTATCAAGTCTTTTGGGACCAATATCCAAAAGATATTGCACTTTTCTCTCTTTTTTATCAGACTGGAATAACACTAAAAGTGTTGATAGATAATTAAAATAGTTGCTTTTCATTTGAAATTTGTGCTTTGAGTTTTTTTAAAACAATAAGATACATTTTATTTGGTTCTTTATCAGCACTCAAATCAAAAGGCATCTTTCTGATTGATTTGGTTTAAAAGGGCAGTCCATAGGCATTTTCTACTAGCTATATTATGAGTAGAATATCCCCTCCAAGCTTTGTATAACCCTTGTTGGGTTATGAGTTGTACGACATGTGTCTGGGGAGAGGAAGATGTTGCTGGTCTGCGGCAAGGTAGGCTCTTGATCAACCCCTGATGTGCTGTGTGCTAGCACTGTGGATAAGGAATCCCCATTGCGCCAGAACCCAGCACAGGGGCCTTAGTTACTGTATATATAGCCTGTTTCTTGTAGTGCATTTGCACTAAAAGTGTACTTTTGTAGCGCACTGGCAATGAAAGTGTGCTAGACTGTGCACACTGTGCGGTTGAATCAACAATTGTATCAGCAGGTTGGAATCATCTATATCCTCCGTCCACCTGTAATGAAGTACCATTTCCCGCCTGATGGCTAGATGTATCATCCAATGCATACATGAAAAAAATCCTCATTGATTGGGGTGAAGAGTTGGTATGTATCTATCCTTTTATATGCTTCATTTATCCTGCTGGTCTAGGTCTTCTTGTCTGACTTCATTTGTGCTACACCTTCCAATATTTATTTCTCTATCTCAGCCTAATCATCATCTCATCATTCTAATATATCAGCTAAATTATATATAAACATGTCTCAAGGCAATAAACCAAAGAGAGCTCATGGATCTTCTTCTCAATATCAGTCTAATTCCCTGACAAATTCATCAAGTCAAGGGAGTTCCAATGCTACTAATAGATCTTGAAAGGCAACTATCACAAAAGTCATTGTAGTTGAAGATGACAACCCTGATGATGAGAATTATGAAAACAAAGAATATCTTGATCTTGAAGACAATGATGAAGGCAAGGAAGATGATGAGTCCATAGCAGATGAATCATTTGGTAGTGTTCCCTCACACACTGATTAAAAACAAGTTTGCAAAGTGGGAAAAGTCTCTAAGTCTCAAGGTGCTACATCAAAGAAGGTCAAAAGGGTCAAGAAGAAACAAGTAAGTTTGTCTAGACCTTGAGCTTCATTTCATAGTCAAGTCCACGCAGTGTTTTCTCTACATGTGACATGTGATTGTAGGACTATGAAGTTCTCAATAACATTGATTCCAATCAAACATCTGACATTGAGGTCAAGAAGCCAGATCAAAAGAACCAAGAACAAGATGCAAAGCCTCAGGTCATCTATCATCATACACAGCTTACTTGTCCAAGGATTTCCATCTCAGACCAAGGCTGGTAATGAAATTTCAATGAAAACTTTGTAATCATTGTAAGATGACTGGGAATCAAATGTTCAATGTCAAATTGCTTAGAAACCAGCTGAAGAGCCTAGGTGATGTAAATGCTCATAGTGCAGCAAATTCTACCCTGAAGGTATCAAGAGTCATCACCATTTTATTGGACATCACAATGAAGGTCTTGGTAAAAAGCACTAAAAAATGCGGAAATGTGATTGAAGCTGCTGGTGACAACCTCCCACCAACTTTTCTAGAGAAGATAGCAGAGTTTTCTTGGCTGAGGAAGCTCAAGGTGGCAAGAATGGAAAACTCAATGGCTTCCTCAGCATGCCAAAGTTGTCAGTCACCTTACTCAACATGCTCTTGGTGCTATGGCTACTGTGGAATTGTATCTCCTGGAGATGTATGGGTGACAAATATGTCCAGGCTGTGTTCCTGCTGTGTAATCCATTGGCTAAGCTGTGGTCAGCTTCATGTTCAGCTTAAAAAGCCATGGAATATTTTGAAGAGCTTCACCACAAACTTATTGGTACACTTCAGGGAAGCACATTTATGTTATCTGTAGGTCTTTAGTTGTACTCACACTGGCTTTCTATGTAAGAATCTTCCTTTTAAAATATGTGTAATCCATAATGTTTGGACCACAAAAGGTGGCAAGCAAGTGTTCATTGCGGTGGCTGTGTTGTATGTTGATTCCAACTTCTGTTTCCACATGCACTGCATCCACCAGAGCGGTTCTTGACGTTGAGCATGACACCCACTACAAAGGGGCCCCTTTGTAGTACATTAAGATCTTGACGTCAAGAACTTTTCTGGCAGATGCAGTGATGGCCCATTTGACTATAAAATTATCTTGTTGGAATCACTATGGGGCTCTAGTGGCACAACCAGTTATCCTTTTTCTGATAAAATACCGCCTCCACAAAAAGATAAGTCACCTCTTATCTATTTGTCATTGTTTAAATCTTTGAGTCCAGCTTATTTGTATCCTATTTCACATGGTCAGGTAGCTCATACTACCAATTCAGGCTCAAGCAATCTAGTACTAGCCCTAGAAGTCCGGAAAATGTTTCTGAATGCCAACAATCCATGTCACTGGGATTCAAGTAGGAATCAGATCCATTGCTATTGTCACAAAGTGGCTCTTACTGTAAAAGAGGGGCTGGGCACGATTGGATTTGGGAAAGGTCCAACTAAACCAACTGCACCATCTGGAAAAAACTTTGACTACTTCAACCCAACAATGCTTGTGTTAAGGCTTTGGGTTGGGTCTTTGGTAGCAGGAGTGAGGAATCTGGATACCGTCTAGTCTTATTATAAGATTGTTGTATGAAGGAAAAGGACACTGATGAGCTAGTGATGTATGTACAATATAGTCTACAACATGTGACATGCACGACAGGCCTTCCACAGATAGAGTCATAACAGCTTCACTGCCACCAAAGACAGTGATGACGGAACAAACCATATTTTAGGAGGATGATGATGTGGTTGATGAAGAAGATCACTCTTATGGTTTGATTCATAACTATGATCTGGAACCAAGCAATGTTTCCAAAGAAGACAATTCTGAATATGAATTATCACAGTCAGAAGCCAGCCTTGTTCTACGCGCTTTCACCAAGTTCAGAGTTTTTAATTTAGCTTTCTCAAAAGTGTTCATACATGATAACTCATGTTATCACCTTGACCTAAATCCAAGGGTCAAAAAATTGATAACTTCAAGTGCTCCTCATATCCATCACTTTCAAGCTACACCAAATCAACTTGGTTACAAGGTGTGTGGACTGATTGGTGCTCATGGTCAGTGGTGGAACATCTGGTATGATGCTCAGTTGTGCTGCTGTGAAGCAAAACGGGTTTACAACATTCATTCTTGTTTCTCTTTGTCTTATCTATGTCTTACTATGTAGCCTCTGTCTTTATGATCTTGCTTGAAGTCATAAACCTCCTTCTCAATGCAGATCTACAAGGCTATTACAAAGGAATAACCATATCATCTGACAAGTGGAAAGGTGTTGAGGCACTGAACAGAGTGCTTGGGGTAAGTGGAAGAATTTATGCAGCACCTTCAAATACAAACCAACACATTTTCATTGATCCAAGCAATCCTTAGTGTTTCCTACTTTCCACCAAGAAGATGGAAGTTGATGGACCATTGTAGTATAAAGATTGTCAACTTTTCTGTAAAAATTCATCCTTGCAAAAAGCACCATTGGACCAAAGCTGTCTTTTCATGCTTTGATAAGTCTGTATTTCATTGTTTTGCAGACAAACAAATACATTTTTTAAACTAAAATAAAACCTATTAGATGAGTCATGCATGGGTATACATCTGTGTAACTTTGACTGTATGGGTTTTTGCATGAATCTCTATAGTTCCTTTTGCATAGCTGTTCTATGGCAAAATGGTGTATGTTTTGGCAATGACAATATGTTAAAATAAAGGCTCTCTCACCTGATCAAATTCAAGCAGGTCCATGGAGGCATCTTTGACATCCAGAAGACTTTTCCCAGCCCCCTTGGGGCCTCAAGTGCCCTATTGAATCCTTGTCATTTATGTGATGGCAGATTCTTATTACCCACATTATTGTGTTGGCTCCACATAACACTTACAAACAAGACATACTTGAAATCACTGCTAAAGGTAAGCCTTGACTGGTGATGAGGGATCCCATCCAAGCTCTTGTGGATCCTTATAATTGACAATGTTGATTCAACAATGTACTGTAGGGCCATGGCCGTTACCTGAGCCTGAGACAAGAGTTGAATTTCTACGCAAGTGCATAAATTTTATCAACAGGTGTGGCTATACGATGATAACATGATATTCCATGAGTAAAAAGATAGATTGAAAAAGAATGAGACTTTGATATATATATAAAATACAACAACTTTTACACATAGCCATTTCTAATTATTAGATGCTTTACACGCGAGTTTTTAAAATGACATCACACTTACAGTTGATAATGCGGATTGAGAAGTTATTAATTCGTACTGATTGTTATTGAAATCATTACACTATTGCGTCGAATCGAGGGATCCGTTTAGCACCTTCAGTGTAAACAATACATGCCTCAGGGCCGTTGTCCAGGCCTCTTCCGACGAAAAAGATAGTTTGATGGACACTTCTCCAATCTTGTCTTTATGAATCCTATCAAAATAAACTCTAGTTAGTGATGAGATTGACAATTGAGATCATAAGTATTACGTACCGAAAAGGGATCTTGTTCCTTGGATTCCGTCTCACTGCCACTTCTAACACCTGTCTCAAACACTCCAGAAAGTCTACCATTGCGTTATCGAACCTTCTATTATGTAACATCCTCGCCAACGCAAAATCGTCTGAGCCAAATCTAACGGCATCCCCAAAAACGCAAGGTCAAGACAGACAGATGAAATGCAAACTCCCCGTCTTTTGACTCACAGCTCGAGATTGGTTTTGTCGCCCTTAGTTTTTTCAATCCGCGAGAAAGAACCCAAAGGAATCAGTCGATACCTAAACCAATGAGTCACAAAGTCAATTGTCAAACAAAGCCTGTAACACAGTCAATACTTACCCATCCAGAGTCATATTGAACCTTCGACACAAAGTCTGCAGAAGGAGAGTGGTGTGTCCCCAAGCCGCGTTTATTTCTACCCATTCCACCTGTAAGTTACCGACGATTGGCCTTTAGGTGAAGATTCTCATCGCATCCACAAATGCAACTTGTGACCACTCACTGTTATCTCTGGCAATCTCCCCAGTCTCAAGCCGTTGATGGTTCCCACCCCACCCTCACATCCGATGCAGAAGGCGTCCTCTGGAAAGAAAAGAAATCAGCGAAAGGAGAACATCTACACTGGAGCACAGAAAAACATCAAAGGCTCACTAAAGACATTAGTGTGCCTTAATTGATCCAACTCGATTTGATCTTGCTGGCATCTCGAGGCTACTGAATCACACTTCGACTTCAGTTCGAGTAAATCCAGCTCATACTGATTGAAGTCTTGCCAGAATCTACTTGGAAATAGTCAGTATGCCTTCACAAACTGAAGCCAAGTCTCACGGTTGTCCTCACTCTTGCTCCTCTCTCTCCAGTTCGGCCTCTTCTTCTTCAATTTCTTTCAACTCAGCTTGAACTTTTGCGTGTTCGCTCATACTGTTGATCAATTTGTCGTTTGCTTGTTTCTCCCTGATTCTCAACTTTGATCCACGTATGACATCAGATTTCCTATCTTTGGCATTGTAAAGTCACGAAATCGTTGTTCACCGACTTTATCAATCTCCTCCCGAATCTTTTCAGAACTCTCGTACGCATCGCCAGACGTAGTCCTTTCACGATTTAGATCACGTTCGAAAACCGCATAGCGGTCCCGATCCGACTTCGCATCTTGTAGTTGATTAGTCATCAGCTCTAGGAGAATGTCCGTACACTCCGCACAAAGAGGATGTTCCATTCCGGAGGCATTCGAAGACGGAAGTAGGCTGCAAAGTTTCAAAAGCCTTTCAATCTGATGTTGAGGCGAACGTGAATTGGTGGGTGGGTGGACAGGACTAGTTGTCTGACTTGAGCTCGCGTTTTCTGATGCGTCTCCCTGGCTGGTATTAGTCACTTCTTGAGCTCGGGCAGCGCCCAAGGTACTTTCTGAGAGCACTACAAAGCTTTCAGATGGACCAAGTAATTTCTGCGGCGATGTAATATTCGAGCCAGGGTTGGAAGGACTCGAGCCGAGATTGAGCCCTTGGGATGGATGATGAGCACCAGCACGATTTTGGTTTAAGAGTGCAGCGCTTCCTGGTCTTGGTGGGGTGAGTGAAATTAAATGTGAATTAGGTCTTCCCCTTCGATTGGCGGCAGAGGCAGAAGATTGAGAGAAACGATGAGGTGATGTGAGAGGCTGCCGATTATGAACGCCATCTGAGTTCAAATGCTGATGAAACACCGCACTTCGATCAGAAAGAGCTAAAGTTGGTCGAATTTGGGATTAATGGGTCTCCCTAACTCTACATGGATGATTTGGTAAGGATTCAACTTACAAGATATCATGTCATAAGCTGATGGGCTCAAATCCGCAAATGATTCGTCCATGCGAAGTGGCTATCAATTTCAGAAGAAAGGCAGATTAGTCAACTGGATCTTCTAGCTCTAGGAAAGAACGAGAATGTACTGACATGCTTGCATCTTTGACATACAAGTGCCATTGTGTTATCGTTATTATCATTAAACATCGAATGAATAGACTGAAGGTAAAGAAGGTCACTCCCTGAAAGTTGTAAGCAGATAACTTTAAATAGCAGACCCGATCCGGGTCCACAAGCCAGCTCAAGATGTCCACATATCGAGTCAAAATCCAATGTGATCGGATACTAAGTTTAAGGCGATTGATAAACCACGCCGACTTCAAAGCTGGTTTGACGCCGGTTTTTTCAAACCGGATTCCTTTAGAAGATGTACAGCTGCTATACTGAGGTACAGAGCTGTACCACTTCTACAGCCTTCAAACCTCTTCAAACTATTTCTGACGCCGGGTTTTGACAGACTCGGCGTTATTCCTTTTGAAAGTTTTTGGATTGTTTTCACCGCTGATCAATCCTAATTCTTGTTTCTGAGAAGGTGACTAGAGAAATTCATGTTCTACATACTCAATTTCGGTAGTTGTAGTAAACATTGAGAGTTTCTACTTGTCTGAGATGAAGGGCTATTGAAAATGTTTCCATTTGCAATGTTGGACGATTGAACAAAGCTTGGACCAATCACAAGAAACATGATATACATCAAAATACGGCATATCTCTGTCTTTGACTCATCGTTCATCGACTTCTTTGACACTACTAGAAATCACCAATTATTGTGATAGCATGCTCTGTTTTGAGGTTTCCATTGTGAAGAAGCAAACCAATTGCAAACCTCATGATTGTTTCTATCTACTCGCGGCTCCTAATTCTTAAAGGTAGGCAGCGGCTTCAGTTATTTTTGTCCAAACTTCAAACATCTTTATCCAAATCAAAAGCCGGCGTCAGAAGCAAAACAAAACCCCGGCTGCAGAAAAACCTAGAAAAACTCTGAAGGCAGTAGAAGTGGTACAGCTCTGTACCAGTCTGTACCTCAGTATAGCAGCTGTACATCTTCTGAAGGAATCCGGTTTGAAAAAACCGGCGTCAAACCAGCTTTGAAGTCGGCGTGGTTTAATTAAGCCCCAGTTCTCCCCAGTTAAGCTTAACCATGCATACAAATATGTAAGCCCATCGCGAGCCCTCGCCCCATGCTACCGGATTTCTACATTCTGCTCGAATCTTGGGATAAGACTTTAGTTGAGAAGAATTTCCTCATATACATACGAAGCCCTATGGGCCCGCGAAACGGGAGCTCATCAGAGGAGACTCTTAGTTTCGTGGTCTATGTCCTTCGCCTCGACATTCCTTGACTTCAGCAAACATCATCAAAGCCTTTGAAGATTATTGTCTTAGAAAATGATAAGATGCGACAACTGAGGATTGTACATACATATATACTTTCAATATGTTCTGCTGCGCGGTACAAGTACGCCTCAGTCAGGCCTCTCAGCCACGGTAAGTTGGAGGATCCAACCTGGCGGGAGACTATCCAAGAGACTTCAAAAATTGAGAAAAAAAGGCGCTGTGAGGCGTTTGGCTTTGTTTATCTGGCCTTTTACGGTCCTGTACGATGATGTATAGCTCGCAAATCAACACTTCAATCAATTTTTATGTCATTCAACAAAACTCTTTGATGATTGCACCGATCTAGGCCCATATGAGGATAAAATTGTCACCGTGTGATCACAGTAGCTGATCATAGAGTCTTCTTGCAAAAAAATCATTCACGGGAAAAATGAGAACGATAAATAAAAAAATGAAAAAGAATCACAAAAAGGTACTAATCAAAATCAAGAAGAGAGACGCAATACAAAAACAAACAAGAACAATGATAAAATATACCAGAACAACGATAAGAAATGTCAAAACAACGATAAAAATACAAAAATGAAGATCAAAGATACAGTAACAAGGGTCAAAGATGCACATAGAGATAATCAATGCAAGAACAATGTCAAAAACAGGATAACAGTGATGAAAACATGAGGATAAAAACTTGAAATCGTTGACATAAACATGAGAAAATTGATAAAAAGCGATTGGTTAGGCCTGGTTAGGGGGGTTAGGGGTTTGGGCTTAGGCTTAGGGCTTGAGGAAATATTGAGAATGTGGAGGAATGTGGCAAAGGATGTTATTTCATTTTTGAATGAAAATGCATTTTGATACAGCATTTATTTCTAAAGTCTCTCTGGTAGTCTCTCTTGTAGTCTCCCTCTCTCCCCAGGTTGGATCCTCCACCGTTCCCCTCAGCCACATGTGGTTTGAGGGTTGCAGAGAACAATTTAAAGATGCTTATCACCTGGAAAATACCTCAAGGAAGGCCGGTTGATACTTTATGATATCAACCGGCTTTTGATCTGAACTCAGAGCACGATGGCTGTACCGCTATGAACCATGTGCAGAATTGATCGGCAGATCTTCACCTTTGAGCTTGATATGTAGTCTCTACCGGAGTCACAAGCCTTAGAAAAGGCCGAGACTGAGTTCATCAAGTGGAGGCTATCCAGGGTGCTATCCAGTCATCTAGTACTTAACAATCATGAGTTGTGTACTGTACATTAGAAAGTCATTGATCTCAAAGTAAATTGTGTACATACATCCGCCAACCTCTTCGCTGCACGGCTGATTGCTTTCCTTGTGCCTTGGCTGAAAAATTGAAATGTTTGATTGATATGAAGTCGTCTTGGAAACTTTGACTGATTTAAAATTGTCTCGAACATGTTGACACACTCAATTGAGACTTGATTTGATCGGAGTTTGCGCTCTGCTAGTGACTCTGATGATATGTTAAATATCTATATTACAATAGAAGCTATATCAAGTGTCTATTGCAATTGAAGATATAGAGAAGATCCTTGAGGGTGTACATTGTCAGACGATAATCCACCCGCCCGCTTGCTTGGCCGGATGGTTGATTGCCTTGGGGTGGAAGAGGGGTACAATTCTAAGGAACCTCTGATCATTTATATTCGGTCGGGCCACTGGTGAGTTCCAGATCTCTTGTTCAGCTGAGGTTTTCTTTTGGGCCATCTCAACTCCGCGCTCCTCATCCAGTTTTTCGTAGGAATTTAGGCGCTGGAGACAACATGGATTGAACTTGTATCAATTGTGAATTTGTATATAGCGAGTCACACAAGCCGCTGATAAATGGGCAATCGAAACAAAAAGGATTCCCCACTTCATAAGTGAAAGAAAAAAAAACAGAACAAATCTTCATGTCCCCGTTAGTCTTTCAAATATAAATAAGCAGGGATTTCTTCATATTTCAATTTTCTGTCTGCTTGAAACTCGCGATTTGATCAGCCGAGGAATTTCCCCACGCACTGAACCTGTTTTCATTTGTCTTTCTCGCCTTCTGAAGTCAAGTCAAAATCGTGTCATTTTCCAACCCACTCTCAATTATCATTCTAGGTGTTGTCATAATCTTCATCGTCTTCGACCCAAGGCTTTGATTGAGTCGGATCAGTCGCCTTAAAATTTATTTGTTTCGATTGAATGTGGACTTCCTTGAGTCGCTGATTGCTCAACAGGACCACGACATCGATTTACAATCAGTTTGACAACGTTGTCTACTTGCCTCACTCAAAACCATATCTTCGCTTGCTCAGAACTCAAACAAGATCATGACGATTGAGTTGCTGTCAGATACTGCGGGCAGTCTTCATGCTGCCATTCAAGATACTATCCTACTTAAGTTAGTATGCTTTGCCGTAGCTTTATCGATCGCAGTTACAACAATTTCTTCAAGATGGTCGAGGCGCAAGATGCCTTTGCCTCCAGGCCCAAGGTCGCTGCCTTATATTGGTTATCGATTCGGTCCATAGTAAGCTCGTGGATAATTTCATTTTTCATTCTCTTCTCACAGGACATTAGATTCCCAGTCTGACTTTTTGGGGAACTTCGCCATTCTTCAAAGCCCTTGGAGGGAGATGGAAAGGATCACACGCAAATATGGACCCGTCTCAAAAGTAATGATGGGAAGTACGCCATTGATCATCGTGGGGACAGTCAAGGATGCAATAGAACTACTAGAGCATAAAGGTGCAATTTACGCCAGTCGTCCGAGATTAGGTGAGCAATTTTACACGTTCCACTTTGGTTCACCTCACACTTCCTTATTGTTGATAAGATAGACCACAACCAGAGCTGAAATTTGGAAATATTGCGCACTTGTAGAGATGTCAGGAGCCGTGATGTCTGGCGGAATGAGAACGCTGAGTTTGGAATACGGGGAGCGCTGGTTGAAATTTCGCAAGTTGAGTTCTTGAGGATATCCATTTCAGAGCTCAGCACACCCTAGCTCCTGTAGCTCATATTGTGTGAGACGCGCTGTGATCTAGGGCATTGCACTCTCAACTTGACGGCCGCGCGGCAGCATCGTTGGTTTTTTTCCCTTGATACTTTACCTCCGCGACTCACGTTCCGGTTCTTCGGAACGGGGTTTCTATCTATCTTCCTAACCTGTACAACGATCCACTCATGAACCTGGAAACGGCCAACAAATTGTTTATCTCTTCTGTACATTAGATATCAAATAGTCCAAGAAAAAGCGGCTCGTCAAGTTATCCTGGATATCCTCGATCGTCGCGCCAACTTTGAGGATGCTTTAACGACGTAAGTACAAGGTGTTGACGAGAATTCACAATCAAACCAGCTCAATCCTGGCTCCCGAACAGATATGCGGCCTCAGTCATTCTCAAAATTGCTTATGGAAAAGCATCACAAACCACGTACGATGATCCTGAAGTGAGACAAGTGAATCTATGCCTCAAACGCTTCACTTGGGCAGCCAGACCAGGTACCTTTACCCTTGACCGCCACCCCTGGCTAAAGTTCGTGCCATTTTGGACCTCTACCGGTCGACGCTGGCATCAAGAAGAACTCTCGCTATTTCGCTCCCAGATCCAAAACGTACGTAAAAGTCGCGGTGAACGGGATACCTGCGTGGTATCCCACTTACTTGATAAACAGAAGTGAGTGAAGTTCGTTGGACTTTCAATATCTCCCAGATCTTCCGTTTTCTGGGATAACAGATTGTGACCGCCATCCTATCCTTTCACAATGGTATTTGAATATCCCTTCGAAAAGGGATCTGGCACTCTCGGATGATGAGCTAGCATATCTAGCAGGTAAATACAATTCCTTGGGTCATCATTCACGGTCTACTCTCCGCATCATATTATGCGACTCAAATCTCATCCTCACCATGATCCACCAAAATAGGTTCACTCTTTGGTGCCGGGTCAGATACCACATCAGGTACTTCAGTGATCTTTTTGTCTTCTCAATTGCCGACATGGCTGATTCGGAAAATGTAGCTGCACTATCGATAGTAGTTTTCGCGGCCGCGTGCTTTCCCGAAGAGGTCAAGAAGGTCCAAGAGGAGCTGGACCGCGTAGTCGGCCGAGATCGGCGTAAGATAATCTCCTACTTCCCCATAAAAAAAACGAGAGACTTGGTCTAACTATCTTTGTACAGTCCCCACCTTCAGTGATCATCCAGAGCTCCCATGCGTGACCGCATTTTACAATGAAAGCTTCAGATGGAGACCTGTCAGCGCAGCAGGTAAACGCCCATGATCTACTTTGATATATTTGGATCTGTAATGAGCATTGGGAAGTTGATATTCAAAGGTTACTTCAGGTTTTATGCATGCAGCCATCAAAGATGACCATCACAAGGGACACTTCATTCCGGCTGGCTCCTGGATCCTCGGCAACCACTGGTAGGTCATTGTCATTATGGTTTTGAATTTTCCTCAGAGCTGTAAGTTGAAATCGATGAGCTCCTTGCAAATCTTAAATAGGTCTATAAACCGCGATCCGTCTGTTTATCCTGAACCCGACGAGTTCAAACCTTCGCGTTGGCTGAACGTCGATGAAAAGACAGGAGAAGTGTCGCTGAGGTCTGATATACGTCACTTCGCCTACGGCTTTGGTCGAAGGTAAAAAACATCCTGTTTTATTTGATCATTGTGTCTTCAGCTTCTCTAGCGTTCGACTGCTGATTTTTTCCTTGTTTATCCAACATACAAGACGCTGCCCAGGACAAATCGTAGCCGATAACAGTGTATTTATAAATACGGCAAACTTGCTTTGCGCATTTGAAATACGAAGAAAAAGAAGTGCTGACGGAAACGATATCCCACTTGATTCTCGTGGTATGTCCCTCTCTTTCGTTTTCTCTACATCTGTATTCCGCATTCTTGACAAATCGATGAACGGTAACAAATGATTTCTTCTAATTTTTCAGCCTTCACCGACTCTGCAAACTCAAGGCCTTTGCCCTTCGAGGTTGACTTTGTTCCAAGACATTCTCATCTAAGAAGTATGATAGAAGAGATGGGTACAAGTAGGAGTGAAATTCGGGATTCGAATTAAAAAAAAACTTATCATGAATGATAAACTGGATAACACGCGCTTAATTTTGGGTTCATGTTCTTTTGATGGTTCTTAATGGATACAAGGGATTGATTCAATTCAGGTTTAGTAGCCGTCTCTTGTTATACACGGATATTAGATACACTTCTGCTTCTTGTTTCTCATATTTCCTCATATCTCTTTGTCACGAAAGTACCATCAATAAAAAGTTTATACGTTATACTACTCCTATGGATGCCAACAAGCTTGAATGTATACTGTGGAGTTAAGCTCTTCACAAAGCGTGAAACTTGTAGTACATACAAAGTGATATTTTTTCATTGAAGACCCAGTCGGCGAGCGAGAGGGTTTAAGGAAGGGACATTTGTTCAACAGCTCCGCTATTCTATTCATTTCATAACAAGGTGCGTGTAGATCAGTCTAGAAATTCAAAGATCACTCTTTTTAAAAAAAAACTCAGCTCAGCATGACGTCTGAGAAAGACCGCGGGGACCTCACCAGGTTTTGGGAGGTTTTGACATCCCGGGGGCTTCGAGGGCAGCAGGATCGAGCTCGTGACCCGTGAGCGAGAGAGTGAGACCGAGCCTCGGAGCTAGAGCCTGGTCCGAAGGCTGGCAGAGATATCCGGGCTTTCCGGATAGGGGTCATCCCATAATTTGAGATTCGGCTTCGAACAGCTCTCTGACCAACAACCACAACAACATCAGCAATACTTAATACAATATAGGACGAAGACACGAAACTGACTGAGGATACTAACAAAATGAACAACAATCAATCAACTAATCATCAAACTAACTCAAACACAGTCTTAGATATTGATCCAGATGATCAGCTTGAACCATTATTATCATCACCTTCAGCATCAACATTTACAAGACCGACTGCAACGTCCAAATCAGATGGGTTTCATCCATTCTCAGCATGTCTTTCAAGATTCAAACATCAGCATACAACTAGACCACTTCGAATACCTTTAATCTTAATCACAATCACAATCTCAACTATTATCCTGATTATTATCTTCTCAGCTTCATTTTCATCAATTCAAGAACCACCACCTCATAAAAAGAAAACATCATTCACTTTTCAAGATACTGTCTCTGGAATCTATAACGCTGAGCGAAAGTCAATCAGCTGGTTAAGAGAAGGTAGACTGCTCCAACTTTTCTCTCGCATTCCTCATTACTAAATTCGGTACTTGTTTTTGAATGTAGCTGGAGATGGAGTTTACTCAGATATCACAGCACATGGTATTGAACTTCACGATCTCAAATCGAAGACAACAAAATTGTTACTTTCCCAAAGTGATATACGCACTGTCCGTCGCTTTTTGATTATTATCCTCTTTAAACCTCTTATTTACGTATTTTTATGGCTCCTATAGCCTAATGGAAAGTCAATCAATTATAAATCTTTCACGGTCTCCTCTGACTTGAGATATGTGATGCTCAAGTCTGATATCATCAAGGTCAGTCCTTTATATTTCAATCTTATCCTTGATGTCCAATCCAAAACTGATGATCTCTATTGGTCTTATTTCAATACATTGTCACAATAGCAATGGAGATATTCAACATTTGCGAATTACTGGATCTTCGATACTCATACCAAAACTATCCAGATCTTACACCCTAATGCGTAAGCTAATCTATGACTGTCATATTCGCCATAAAGAGAGCATTCGCCTACCACGTACATCACTGCTTATATCTCTTCATCGCATTTCGCAACTGAACCTCAATTTTTGATCCGGTTTCAAAACAGATTAGGCGCACACACCAATGTCTCCCTCGCAACATGGTCACCATCTGGTCATTCAATAGCCTACGTACACCAAAATGATATTTACTTGCTATCATCACCTTCATCGGCACCTTTACGATTAACTCACACTGGTACTCCAACACTTTTCAATGGGCTTTGTGATTGGGTGTATGAAGAAGAAGTCTTTGAAGGGTCATCAGCCATATGGTGGTCACCTGATTCTACCAAATTGACTTACTTAGTCCTAGATGAAGCTTTGGTACCTAATTACGGCTTAACAGTTTATAATCCTACATCCTTTTCCGGAAACACCGAACCTTATCCAACAAGAAAACCTATGAAGTATCCTAAACCTGGTTTCCCTAATCCTTTGCCAGGTTTAAAAGTTTTTGATTTGAGGAAATTTGATAGCATTGGAAGAGTGGATGGATCTACTAGTTGGCTGAAAATGGATCATCCTTTTCCTGATCGGGATAGGATCGTTAGTCAAGTTGCTTGGGTTAGTGATACCGAGCTAGTCGTTAGAGAAACAGATCGGATTGGTAGCAGAGAGAAAACCGGCTATTTCCAATTTGTGGAACAACCTTACGCAGTTCCTGGTAGAGGCGGGAGTTGGCCTGAAGGCGTATTGATTGGAAAAGTGGCAATAGACATTGATTTTGTTAAACGTGATGGTGGATGGGCTGAACCGGTGAGCTATAACTAAGCTTAAATATAGTTAACTCAAGTGTCTTTTGCTGAACTCAACTTCTTCCTATAAGGATCGCTCCATTGTTTCAATCGACATCAATTCTCATCGAGATCCAACCAATCAACAAAAACACCCAACTGATCTATCACCAGGCTACTTGGACATACGAGTCGATCAAGATGGATATCGACATGTGGCTTATTTCTCACCCCCAAATGCATCTGAACCCATATTTTTGACTTCTGGCCAATGGGAGATCGATGGATCAATCCAAGCCATTGATCTCTCTCGTCGCCTGATGTACGTTCACTTTCCTAGACCTTACCAATCTTTTGTTTCTATTATTGATCGAGTAACGTCGTAGATACTTCATCGCAGCCAAGCCAAGTATTGAAAGGCATTTGTATTCAGTCAGATTACCCACTAGCACAGAATTGACGCAAATCCAAAAAGAGAGAAAGCCAAAGGGACCCAAACAATTGACAACAGGTGTTGGATACTATGGTGTGAATTTCAGTCCGTTTGGTGGATATTCTTTATTAAATTACGATGGACCTGAAGTTCCATGGCAGAAACTCTCTGATATCGATTCATTGTTTTCTGGTAAGCCTTTTCTTTCTTTCACTTTTATCTGACATGAAGATCTCAAACTCTTGATTTGTTTTGTCCATGGGGATTTGGTTTAGGAAACGTAGAAGATGAGAAATTCGAGGCTAATAAGTACCTAAAGCATCGATTGAAATCAATGGACATGCCTGAGATAGATTACAAGACGATCAAGAATTCAGTTGGCGACTGTACGGTTTGGTTTTTAGTTTGATTAGAAAGACAAATAAAGCGCATCTGAACATCATCTCGATCTTTGTTTTAATTGTTCAGTGATGAATGTGAAGGAGCTGAGACCTGCTGGGATGGATAAAAGCGGCTCGACAAAGTACCCCGTATTGATCAAAGTGTGAGTGATGATATTGTCTAGACCTCTAGGCAGCTGCTGAGTTTTCTTTTTCCTGATAGATATGGAGGACCAAATTCTCAGGTAGGCTATCTCATCAAATTTGGTTTATCACTTAGAGAAGATCAACTGTTTATGTAAAACTTCAAACCGAAACAGGTCGTGGATGTCAAATATGCGATCGATTGGCATTATTTCTTAATCTCCAAATTGAATTACATTGTGGTCTTGGTGGATGGAAGGGGTACCGGTATGAAAGGTAGATCATATCGAGTACCTGTCAGGAATCAATTAGGGTCTTTTGAGGCTCATGATGTTGCTGCGGCGGCGAGGTGTGGATCTTTCTTTTCTTTATGAGAGCTAGGAGGTACTAACAGATACACTTCTGGGCAGGTCATATGGTTCTTTAAACTATGTTGATGAAGCTAGGATTGGAGTCTGGGGATGGAGCTGTGAGTATTGTGTTGAATTATCATGCTTGATTTCGTTCGGTAGGCTTAAGTGGCTGACGTCTCGTGTGTTCCTATAATCGATAGATGGCGGATACTTGACATGTAAAGTGAGTAGCTCAAATCTGTATATCTCTTCATCTACTACTCAGAGACTGAAGATTGGGATCGCTCTTGTCTCTAGACACTGGAACAGCATTCGTCAGATTTCTCTCTCGGTCTCGCTGTCGCTCCTGTAACAGATTGGAAATTTTACGATAGTATCTATACTGAACGTTACATGTCAACTCCTGAGCTCAATAAACAAGGGTATGAAACTTCAGCTGTGACAAAGATGAATGGGTTTCATAATGTCAGCCTTGCACTTGCGCATGGAAGTGCAGATGATAATGGTATGTATTTATATTGACTCTCATACTTGATGAATTTAAAGGATGAAAACTCAAAATTATCTTCTATTTTGATAGTTCATTTTATGAATTCAGCATCACTTATTGATCGGCTCATCAATTCTGGAGTAGGCAATTATGAGTTTAGGATGTTCACAGACTCAGATCATTCAGTTTACACTAGGTTAGTAATCTTTACCTTATAGACAAAAAACAAAGTACATCAAAGTTGAAGACTAACTTCATGAACTGACTTTTTTTTACAAATTTTAGGGGAGCATATTCCGAGCTTTTCAAGTTTTTAACAAGGTTTTTGGTTAAAAGATGGGGATTAGGAAACAAGAAAGAATCTACTAATGTTTCTGAAGGTTTATTTCTTTGAATGATTGACTTGCATGCATGTTTTTTTTCTCTAGAACAAAGGATTGCATCATTTTTTGTTCTTGTTTTTTTTTGGTGTTGTATGTATTAAATCTAGTTCAGCAGCTTGGTGTTGGTTTATGTGCATTTAGTGGAATTTGATTAGGTGTTATGTTATTGTAGGATACTGATTTGTTGGAATTCAAATTAATATTTGTTTGAGAAAGAAGATCCAAGCGTCTAATCTTACACAACCCTTCATTCATGGGTGGATTTGTAGACAGCAATCAATGTGCCCGCCATAAGGATACCTGCTTACCTTTCACATAGACTATCATGGATTTTGGACCCTCTTTGGAATGAAAATCCAGGATTTTATCAATTGCATAATCAAAGTGAAAAATGATAGGATAGATGAAACAGAGATACAAGTATATTTCAACTAATCAGCTACTTGATAATTCAAGCATTGATATGTGCATTGATGCATATAACATTGTATGTCCTGTGATGCTTGATCCGGTTTTATGCATGCTATCATACCTCTTGGGTATACTTCTTGTAAGATTGGAATAAGATTTAAATAGCTCATAAATCTTGATACCCTGACTGCAAGTTAGTCATATATGCATCAATGCACATACCAATGGTTGAATTATCAAAGTCTGCAACTATGAGAGGAGGCCACTCTTATCTGGAAAACGGAAGGGAGAAAATGGAGAAAGGCGTAGCCAAGTCTATTTCTTATCAGACTTTGGCTTCATTCAACTCCTCCAAAAGTTTCTACTTATATTGTGATTTCCTTTCCAAAAATTCAGCAATTGCTTTTCACTTTGTAGGGCATGTATCACTGAATGCTGAGTGATCAAACAGGATCAAGCTCATCCAAGTCCCACGTCGACCCGATCCGGTCATGAATCCGACTGGGTCGGGTCGACGTGGGACCTGGATAAATTCAAAGACAATGCTTATTTCTGAATGACTACTTCCTCAATCGCTTCCTCAATCACTTTTTTCGAAAACATTGAACTTATTCAACATTCTCAAGAGACGAAAGAGTGGAAAATATTAAAGGATGTCGTCAGATTCACCACTATCAGCTTACATACCTGAGCAAGAAGAATCGTTGAGTACTTGGACCAGATTCTCCCAAAAATTTAAGGCTAGTGATCCAACTTTATCCTCCAAGACTCACTCGTTAGAATGCTTAATGTGTTTTTCGTGGATTTGATCGTGTCTACCTTCCGATCACAATTGTCCAATCAAACCAATACAACATGCGGGTAATCGGTCTGTCTACAGGATCAACCTCTTGTTCCATTGGGTTAGTCAATACTTCAGCTTTCGACCTGTGTCTCGATTTCGTAACAGTAGCAGCTCTGATTCTTACCAATAACGACAATTCGCAGGTGCGGGAGCAACCACAATTGCATTACTCGGGGCTGGTCGTGCCCTAAGATCCGGAAACGCGAGCGAATTTAACCTGTGGTTAAGATATCGTGTAGTCTTTCAAGGTCTTACTGTACTAGCTGCTTTAGGTGGATCATTATATTATAATCATCAACGTGATCTTGATCGAGCAGCAATGGAGGAAGAAAGAATCAGGAAACGAGAAATTCGAATGCGCGAACAGGAGCAAAAACCTGTGAATCAATCAATTCCTGAGGGCGGTGCGATCGGGTCGGATGCCAGAAGAGCTTTGATGTTGAAAAAAGTGGCAGAGCAAGCTCATTCTGAAGGACGTCTATTGAGAATGCCGAATAATAGCTCTTCTACGACTAACAACGAAAAGTCTTGAGATTTTTCCACATCCACTCTCGCCTCGGTTTTTCACCTACGCTCTTCGGCCTAGATCACTTGTGCTATCTAAACTTTGAGGGATATGTAGGTTCGATGATGTAGCATGGATTGACTTTTTGAACTTTGTGAACTCAAAATTCACATAGATTGCAAACGGTCAACCCCCTAGTTGTAAAAAGCATCGAAATTTTCTTACTGTAGATTTAAAACATTTCTAAATTTTTGCAACCTCTTACCTCTACTATTCATTCAACATTGAACTCGATGATGTCCGGATCAATGATCTTACTAACAAATCCTACATCAAGCTAATACAAGGAAGACAAGAATGTAATGATCAAGATCAGTGGTGCATAACACAGTAAAAAGGAGGCAATTTTCCCGTGGGAAACCCCATTGTACATATTTAGGACAGTTGATGAGCCAAAATGTTTTATTATGGCCTTACTTCTGCATTATCTCTGTGTTTTGGCTCAGAAACTGCATTAGATGTAGTCAGTCTTCCCACAGGGAAATATCTCTTTGATTCCTGTGTAAGACTAAGTAGTATCATGTGAGAAAATGAGAGAAATCATTGGAAATCATGAAAAACAAGCACAATTGAGAATTTGTAAACCAAATGCAACATGATGACAAGCATCATACATAGGTTCATTGAGAGATAGTCCTCAAGAGGCTCTTCTGTCAATGAACCTATCAGCATTTCATGACCTGTCTGGTCAACAGAAGTGATGGGGACTTTGCAGCTGGTGATGTAGCATGAGGTGCATCCCACAGGTTTATCTCTGCACTGCATTTATCAATAATGGCAGCTTTTTGTGAGCAAGACCTTATTGTAACCAGACAACATGCATCTTGATGTGATTCATGAAGCACCACACCCCAAAGGAGCAAAGTATTGACTTTGAATGTTTTTCTCCAGGAGCCTCTTCATGTTTATCACAGAGTTGATCTGACTGTAAACTGCATTAAAATATGGACTCGGTCATTGTAAGGGTCCAATAGGCTCAAGTGGGATAGGAGCAACTAGGACAGGTGATGTGATAACAAGATTGCAACGTGAAGAAGAAGAGACCAAAGCGTCCCTCCTCTCACCACTAGAGTACGCAATATAGATTGTACAGTACAAGCATAATCCTCAGTATTAGGATCATTACAGTCATCACAAATTTCATCAAATCTTTTGTAGAATGCCTTACCATTCAGCATGTGACTTGCACTTGATAGGTTCTTCAGGTGCCAATCTTGAAGGTTTTCTTGTATGATTTCAAAAGTGGTGTCTGCCATAACTACCTGTCATCTTTAGTGGAGCGTGAAGACCACTTATCTTTTTATAAATTATACTGAGACACCTATGAACAAGACATCATCACATTCTAGTTGAATGAGATTCACCAGCCAATGTATTGATTTTTGAATGCAGAGGAAGGTTGCAAAAAATCATCATGTTCATCCATTTATTTCCTTCAGGAATGATTATACTCCAAAGAATTACCTACTATATGATTGTGCTTTATGTAAATAAGAATTAAAATGTAACACATGACCATTTATCCAATCCCTGGGCACATGATCATTACTCTTGCAGTTGACTCATACAGCCGTTCCAACAATTAACGGCAGAAATCTTCATTGGTGTGTTCAAACCTGGCTCGCTGCGCTGCGCTGAGCTGCCAGGAGCTTTTTGGGCAGCGCAGCTAAATCTTGGCTCCCTCAAGTGCGGCAGCTGTAAAGGCAGCTTAAAAAAAATCTCACCCAAAATTCTCAGCTGAAAGCAAAACTGGCGCCCAGCAGCGCTTCGCAGTGCTCCAGGCCAAAAAGCAGCAATTTTTTTTTCGAAAATGAAATGAAATTGACTATTGAAAAGAGACATGAATGAGCGTTAAGAAAGAATAACAAGATGTAGTAGTAAGATGTTATAAAAGAGTGTAAAGAAAAAATAATAAAATAAAGTTAAATGAAAAAAAAGAGAAACAAAAACATTAAAAATGAGACTGTCGAGTTTTCTTTTTGACTGCCTTCTTTCCGTATTCTAAGACCTTGCCAACTTCACCAAAATCTCCAGCAAAAGGAACCCCTTCCTTCGCCCAGATTTGACCACTAAACGTCATCTCGATCATTCGAGGAGCCAATCCACCACGTTCAGGAGTGCAGACTTGACCAGCAATCAAAAATGATCGCTTGGGTGCAGCTGAGGCTGCAGGTGTTGCCAAGTAATCTTGAGCCAGTATCAATAAGACTGGATATTTGCCAGCATGAGTCTGCAGATTGATCACACCGGATCAGTAAAGGATAGAAGTAAAGATCAAAGAAAAGAGAATTGTACTCACTTTCCACCAATCTAAAGCACATTGAGGATTGCTCATATCAGGAGAAACCATAGGGTCGATACCTTGAAGGTACCACTCGAGTTCGTTCAGTTTGCTGGAACTTTCAACCTCATTATAAAGATTCAAAAAATCTGAATCATCTGATGTGTTGGTTGAAGCTGGAGAAGGGCTGTCGGTAGTTTGGCTTTGAAGATTGGGTGAATCACGCTGCGAAATGAATGCTGATTCCAGAAGATCTCGAGCTCGGAAGTGGTGTATAGAGTCGTCTCCAAAAGCGCGAGAAAAGAATTTAACTCGGAGACCAGGGTGAAAGAGGGTTGCTAGTACTATAGTATCACATTCTAACGATTCATCTAAATACGCAGTTATCTTACTTATCATCACATCCACCATTGGGTAGAGTGGATCATTCTCGTGCATCCTGTTCAACCGATTTTCCATGGAAGACTTGAGCTGAACATACTTGGCTAAGACCATACAGCCAGTGGGTTTGTCACCCTCCATCTCTCGAGTCAGAATCTTATATGGCTGTGAGGTGGTGAAAGTATTAGTCAGATTTAAGTCGAGCAAAAAAGAAAAGAACAAAGAGAACAAAACAAATAAATTGAAAAGGGGACTTACAGTGAGAATGTCTAAAATGTCCCTCATAGCTTGCCAATCCGCGACTGAGAAGATCATCTCCTCATAGTAGCCATGCTTTTTACCGTCCTTTCTGGGTTGACACTTCTTTTTGTGAACTTCAGTCAAATCTTCTGTCATCAAAGTGTTTATCAGCTGAGGGAGGTAGACATTACAATTATTAGCCTTCATTCTAAACAAGATCTAATAATAAAAGATGAAAACAAAAACCTACCTCTTGGGCCTCCCACATTCGCTCCCAACGTTTGGCGCGAATGCCCCAGCGAATTCCATGGCCTGACAATAGAACCTTGAGTGGCCTTAATCCATCTTCAACTCGTTGATGATTAGCTTGAACTCGGCGTCGATTGAAATCGGCACGGTGAGCACTTGATTGAGTGATCTTCTTATTGACCGTGTCCATCTGAAAAATAACAAAAAAATGAGAAACAAAGAGATGAGAAGAAGGAAGTGAAGGTGATAAAAGAGAGGAAAACTTACATCTTTAGTTAGTTGCATCATGTAAGTATTACCTAGAAGATACGCAGCCTTGCGGTTCTTGTAATTTTTGGGCTCGTCCTCTTGCTCACAACACCACCACCGCCCCGCTCCGCTCCGCTATAACCACAGTTTTTACGAGCGGAGCAATTTAGCGCTAATATAAAAGCGCAATCACTACGCTATAATTTTATGGTCGCTATGGCCATTCCGAGCGGGGCGGCTCTTCCGCTTCGCTTCGCTCCGCTATAGACAAATCTCACACTGAATATCGCCTAATAGCGCGGTCCAAGGGTTTTTTTACCCAGTTTTGATTATACAAGCTAACAGATGTATCAATAATCTAATCGCAGAGAAGAATACAAACATTGTCTTGTATATGTTGAGACCAAATTGGGTGCAAATTTGAAAGATAGTAAAAAGAATTGTTTTATAAAACATATGAGTGTATTTTAACCACATATCCGGTCTCATCTTTGACGATGAAGACGCAGACAGACTTGAAGAAGAAAGCCGATCAGCAATCAGCAATCTCACCTTCCAGCCCTCTTCTCCCTTGGATTTGAGTTACATGCCTGGTGCTATATTCCATTCCTTTCGGAACCGTGCTGTGGGTGATAAGTTCAGTGCAATATTGCTAGAAGCTCTAGATTCAGAAGGTCGCACACCAGAACTTGAAGACCGGGCTAAAAATGAGCGGCGCAAGGTTCGGTTCTCGTATATTTGCTCCGAGATCATTGCATCCGATATTTGGAACCACACCTTTCAAACTTTTGCTCAGGTATTGTGTGTGGCGGAGAAACCCTCGATAGCTCAAGCAATCACAGAGATAATCGATTTCAAATCGTGAGAACAATCTGGTCAACACCTCACCCGTCCGAACTTGTCAGGAAGATGCCCAAGGGAAGCACTTGAACTGACATTTGAGAAACTGCAACACATTCTTCTTTTGCGTGGGTCATCAAAAGCAACAATCACCAAATAGATATGTCAAAAACTTTGACTTCACTTATTGACTTCTTCCTTTGACTCAGCAAATCAGCTTTACCGCCACTTCGCTCTTGGGCCATTTAACTCAGTCTGACTTCGATGCACATCACAAAAAATGGTCAAATTGTGACCCGTTTGCCTCGTTCGACATGCCAATCGAGCGTTTTGTCACCCCTGTGCGTGAAATGGATCACGCGCCTTCCGTGGTCCTCATGATCAGTACTGACCATCTCGAATTCAAGAGAATAAAGGTATTGAACATAATCTGCAGGCCGAAGCTCAAGGATCCGATCGATCGATGATATAGACAGATTGTGATAGAGAAGGCGAGCACATCGGTTCTGAGATCAAGTCCGTATGTCTGAAGGCCAACCGGAACATTACTGTCTCTTGGGCTTGCTTCAGTGTGATCATCCCTGCGTGCGTATCAAGTTTCCCCTTTACAAGGCTTCACTGTCAATTGAAATGAAGGTTGCTGGTAGCTACATATGAGGCGCTATAGGGCGCTCTGCTGTGCTCTGTTGCTAAGCGCTCGCAGCCGCTGTGGCGGCTCATAGCACAGCGGGAGATCGCTATACAGAGCGGATATCCAAACCGCTATACTTATTTGGGTTTCACCATAGCTATAGCAGTGTGTGAAACCCGCTACATCTGAAAAGGGCTAGCGCGGGCGGAGCGCGCGCTCCGCTACCGCCGCGCTCACGCTATCCCAGGCGGAGCGCCGGTGGTGTTGTTGCTCATCATCTTCTTCATCTTGATCAGCCACTTCTTCATCAGCATTTGATTCGACATCATTGGAATCCACACTTTCAAAATCATCCAAATCATCCACATCACCATCATCGCTATCTTCATCAACTTCAGTGATTTCGACTTCCTCGGAGCCAGATGGCTCATCTTCTTTGTTGATAACAGCCATGTGTTTGACAGGAGGGAACCGACCTAAGGTACTATGCCGGATTCGGTGGGGTTTCATTCCCAAAGCATCAAGTCCAGCTTTGACAATCAACCCCATCTTATGACAGAAACACCGGATAGACATCAATTTGGGTTTCCAACCGAAGTGATGGCCCAATCGCAGGCCTTCATCGTATAGCTGACAATGCATTTCACGAGCAAGAGTGAAATTATTGCTTCCTGAATCAGAAACATTCGCCAGCATGTAAGATTGATCCTCATGTCAGTACTTGAACAATAATAAAAGATTAAGTAAAAAAAAATTAAGTGAAAAATGAAGGAAAAATTGAAGAACACTTATCTTTTGATATAAATTGTTCTTCTTCAGTATAGCCACCATTGGCTCAGCATGCATCGTTCCCTTGTGATGCCATGCAACGAGTTTGAAACTCAAGTGTTGCACAACATACTTCCAGTCATCCGTGACAAAGGGTACCAATGCACCGATAAATGCGTGAAGGTTACCTTTAACAGTCCAGACATCTTGTATCAAACAAAACTTGCTCGTCAGGTGCTGTCAAAGAGAAAGAAGTGAAAAATACTAATCAGCATAATTTCTGTCTAAATATGAAAAAGTGAAACGTTTGATTGAATCAAAAGACTAACCTTGAGCTCCTGATCAATCACTGACGCCCAAAGGGATAGATACAAACGTTTGGCCTCATCGGCCACCCATTTGCGACCAAACACTCGAGCATCAGGTCTTAGCCAATACATGATGGCTTTGAGCATGGGATCGTCAATTCTGGTGAAAGGTAAAGCTTGAGAAACTTGCCAAACAGCAAGGCACTGATTGAGGGTGCGGTTGGAAAAAGTAGGTGCTGGGGTGATAAAAGATGCAAGTGATCCTTGATGATCTTGCTGCATTTTCTGAGCTCGGAGTTCAGAGACTGTTGGAGGAAGTTTCGCACCTGCGTCGATCGCCCGTTGATGTCGAAAACATCCCGCACCCGACTTCCCAGGCGTGTTACTTCCATCTCTATGGGTTTTGAGATTAGTACGTGAACTCAAGCTGATACAAAAGACCATGTTACACATGAGACACGTATAGGAGAGGGGTGGTCCGTCAGGTGGCTACAAACAATTTGAATATCAGTAAACAAAGATGTGATAGCAATGAAATAATTGGATAAGCATTGAAGTTACGTACGTCTGGCACTCCATCTCTGTTAACTCCATGAACAGGTTTGTCATAGTAAATGAAAGGACTGTCAAATTCAAGCTCAGCAGGCTGATTTTGCTTGCGCTTTTGGATTTGTTCGTTATCCTTGTCTGAAGCCTGTGCTAGGTCCGCCTTGGGAGGTGCCAATGGTTCCTAGAGGAGTTGGAAATGAAAAGGGATATGATTTAGTTTCAAGTTTTCGTCAATGAAGAGATTGAATATATTCAAATAAATACCTTTTGACTGTTCTGGACCCTAGGTTGGCGCAAACGATTGACTGAGTTGGCTATCTCAACCTCTGAGACCGAGGCAGAGCGTTCTCGAGTTTGGTTGGAAGCACCTTTGCCCTAAACAACATATACCCAGTATAAGAAAGCGAGAAAGGGAAGAATGCAAATTGAAAAGACTGAGTCATTTACTTACATGGAATAATGAAACCAAATCATGAGCTTGGTCACCCAATTCAAGACCTCCAGGTAGAGAGGCCGAGCGTTCTCGACGGCGATGAACATGTTCATCTCGCACATCTCTACCTAAACCTAAGTCAACTAGACCACGGCGAGAGTCAGAAGAGGGTACTATCATCCCTGGACCTCGTCTGACTGGTGTGACTACACGAGACGAGCGGCGAGGTTGGGTGGTAGATCCATTATTGGTCTCATAGCCCGATGACAACACCGGAACCGCTCCGATACGCTATGGATTTCAACCCATTTTGGTATCGGAGCGGAGTGACCGCTATGAGACAAGCAATACTTGACCGATATTTTTTTGTTAAAAAAATATCACAGGGTGTCGGAGCGGAAGGTATTTGCCGGCTCCGACACCGCTATATATCGCCGCTATAAGGGGTAAAACCTTAAATTGGAGTACCCTCAGACCCGGCCGGTATCGGAGCGGTCACTCCGATATCTGATTTCTGGCATCTGGATGGCGGAGCGGAGCCACCGTTATATGTTGTGGTGAATATAGCGGTGTAAAAACCGCTCCGATACCGCTCCGATACCGCTAAATGTTGCGGAGCGGTTCCGGTATTGCCGATGACACGAAAGAAGTAATGGTTGGTTGCTTGGTCTTAGGCATGATTCGGATTGGTTTAAGTAGATCGAAAAAAGACAATGAGTGTAATAGAGAGGAGGATGTGGTGATAGTGAAAGAAATCAATTGATTCTATAAGGAATTGAAGAGTGCAGACAATTATCAGATCAACAGAGATGAGTCAATGGGATTGAAAAATCAGACGAGACGAGGACACTTACCTTTATGAGGTGAACTTGAAGTACGTTGTCGATCCACAGTTGCCAATATCGAAGCCGCCTTTCGTCAAGGCTGAGTGATAGTGAGATCTCGTGGACTGGCCATTCCATGGCAAGAAAGAAGATCTGAAAGAAAGATCTAAAATCAATACCAAAAGGTGATTAATCAAAAGATTACCAATTAAATCACGCCAAATGAATTGGTGTTGTTTGATCGAAATGATTTGGTGTCGTTTGATTGAAATGATTTGGCGTCGTTCGATGGGATTTGATGGGCCTGATCGGTGGCTTTTGGTGGTGGTGGACGTGGTAGTGGGGAACTTGGGATAGCCTGAGCGCCGGACAGCGGTGGAAGGGTTTGGAAAGCGGGAAAAGGGTTTAGGCTGCCCTGGTCAGCAAAAAGCGCAGCGTCCCCAAGTTGGGTGCCCCGGATATCAGCTGGAGACGAAGCGCCCGGGGCCGAGTTTCTCGGCCAACGGAGCGGCTGCGCTGCGCCGCGCTCCGCGCTGACCGCAGCGCTGCGAGCCAGGTTTGGTGTGTTGCATTCGAATTTAATCTAAAAGTCAAAAACTAGTTAAAGCCGGCTCAAAGTGACAGGTCTCCCAGGCCTCCTTGTTCATTTGCGTGCAAAACTGGGTTTAATCCAGTTTTGACCTCTCTAGATTTAACCTCGAGAGCAACACATGATCAAAGAATTCTGCCGTTAATTGTTGGAACGGCTGTACAATTGACTCCAACTGCTCCACATCCACTGGGGGTAATGGCACAGCTTTCCCACAAAACTGAAACAAGTGATGCGTTGACATAAAACCCCCACTATTTCCATGTGCAATGATGTAGCAAGTCACAAAGCTTCAGCCTTGATCACTACATACACCAAGTGAGTCAGTTCCCAACAGATCACAAGGTAATAAAGATCCCCTAACTCAGGACCCCAGAAAGCCCCTATGGAACCATCCAACAAAAATGTTATCAATCAGGGGTCAAGATTTTGGCTATGTTACCGACAAAAGACGTATCAAGCAGCAAATTCTGGAAAAAACAGAAAAAAAAATACAAAAAAAAACCAATACAGGTATCAATTCTGTATCAAATGGCATGTCACAGAGGTGAAACCATGAAAAACAGCCTGTTACAAGCAGAAAAGGGTCAAAACTGTCCCAATCAAGGCAAAAACTGTTGGATGTTACCAACAAAATTGGTATCAAAGGCCTCCAAAAGCCACTTTTTTGAAGTATGAATCAATCAATATTCTGTCCGTTAGATGGTTCCATAGGAGCTTTCTGGGGTCCTCCAAACCCTAACTGCTAACCCTTCCATTCTGTTAGAAACAGCAAACATTCTTCTCTGAGATTCTGACTCCAAAGCTCAGCCTGGTATTCTCTCTCCTCACTACTACTAACTACTCAACTACACTTTGTAATGGACTATAATAGAATTACCATTGAAAGCTTTGGGTAATCTATCATCCTTTACTGAAATTAAAACATTTTTTGTAATCTAGTTATACATTCAAAGATATTCTTCTCATAAACAACTTAGCAGAGCAAATACTGAAAATTTTGAAATCAAATTGATTTTTTTTCAACAAGATCAGCTGAGCACCCAACCCAAAATAAAGCCACATTCTCAATGGCCATAGGGTCACTCTACAGCCAAGTATTTCATGGCTTTCAAGGGATTTCAATACAGATAGTCATGAATGTATGTCTACAGAAGACCTACCAACAAAGACATAACTCCTGTGTGTCCATAGAATCTCTTTTTGCCAGAGAGGTATGGCTTTAAATTGGTTTGACTGTATGTCCAAACAACAAAGTTAACCAAATGTTTCAAGTTTTGGGTCATTACTGTAGTAAAGACAATGGAGTTCAAGTTAAAAAGATGCCTAAAATACAAATGTCCCTGCATCAAAACACTGCTTATAATCTATAGCTGTTTCAACAAAGATGGATTTTTTTTTTGAAAATCTTGCCAATGTGCAAAACCCGGGTTTTGTCCCCAACTTGATTTTGTCTCTCTGCTAATTGGATGAATAAAGAAAAGAATAAACCTGTAATCAAGTTTTGTCTTTGGTTCTACCCGCTGCAGAAACAACTTTCTTCAAAAAAAGTTGTCAACCTTTCTTGAAACAGCTATATTTTTTTTGTAAAAAGGTTTACAAATCCTTTCCTGAAGTGAGAAGCACATTTTGGTGTATGTGTTTATTTATAAAAAAATCAGATTTGAAGGAACAGGAGGCAAAAGTACAAACAATCTTAGGCACTTGTTTGGCCAACTTGAACCTCCCCTAATAATATACTCAGATCAAACCTTCTTGAGCCATATAAACTTTCTGAAAAACCAAACACCACTAAATTCTGCTCATCAACTTGGATTACAATACATAGGGCAGGTTCACTTGAGGAATTTCTGACCAGAAATCACATTCCATAAAATTTTTTATGCAAAAATGAAACATGCAGTACCAAATAAACACTTTAAATTTTGCCAAAATGTGATTTCTCACCAGAAATTGCTTAAGTGAACATGCCCTTACTCTCTTCAAAGAAATCTACAAACAAACGATATTTTCCCAAATGAAAAGACAGATCTCACATTTAAATCATGCATTTTTTGAGTCAAAACATATAAATTGTACAGAAGTCATTTATTTTGGCTTATCAACTGTGAACCTTGTAATCCAAGTTTTCTTTGAAACACAAAACATTTTCTTTGGATCTATTCATAATGATGATAATTAAAAGATTTACTCATTTTTCTGATCAAATTGAAGTTGAGCTTACCAAAAAGCCGGTGTTCAATGAAAGAATTGAATTTGATCATCTAACAAATTTATTTAGATATATATTTAATTTGATGATTAGTACCTCTGAATGATAAAACCTGTTCAAAAGAAAATCATTCAGAATCCAATATAAGAATCCCATTTCAAAACCCGAATCTCAATACCCAAAGTCCCAAAAATCACCAAACCCCAAACCCATTTTTTACCATTTGCTACTCCTTTCCACGCGCCATATTTTTTTGATTTTGATTTTAATTCTATCTTAAAAAGAACTGATTTTGTGATTTAAAATTTCCCAAATTCAATCAACTTATTCCTAACTCGAAGATCACCAAGCTTATTGTTCGAATAATTAATAATCTCATCATCACTAATCCTACTAACTCTAATCAATTCGATTCTAATCCAAACCAAGATCCTTTCCAACCTATCCAAAAACAACACATCATCCAAAAAATCCAATCCATCAATCCCATCCCGATTCCCAACTTCTTCACTTTCTTTTAACGGATTCGAATTAAACTTCCCCTTAACTCCTCCCATTCCTTTACCCCATCTAGCCCCAAACAAATTCCTCCAAACCGCCTCGACCAAAACCGAATCCGATCCATCTTGGTCGGTAGCCAAAGCCCAATCAAACCCAACCAAGAATCCATAATGTTGATCCAACATAGTTTTCATATACGATTTGATTAATGAGTTTTTTGTTACTTTATAAGGTGTTGATCTGATTCGATGTTCTGTATCTAAAAACCCATGGTTCACAAATTCTTGGATATATGTTCTTCCTAAGTTGTTTTTCATCGATCTGAACCTTACTATTAAGATCCACATGTGTAGTTGAGTGATTTGAAACCAAGTTTGAAACGAATCTGGTAATCCACATTCTATTCCCCCCAAAAAGAAAGAAAAAAAACCAGTCAATCAGTTTTTTTTTTGAAGTAAAGGGTTTTTAAAAGAAGAATTAAATACCATTGATCCAAAATGATTTTTCTAATTGAAATTGATTTGAACAATGATCATAAAGATCCGAAGTAATAGTAATAGCATGACTAGTCGGCAAATTATAACCTAATCGGTTTCCCAAAGTAGTCACCAGTTTTACAAACCAAGGTGAATAAAGTTGACCTGATTTACCGATATGATAAGCTGTTGTTTTAGTTGTTGTTGTTGTTGTAGGTTTAGTTGAGAATCGGTTTAGAACAAGTTGATGTGATGGATGATAGAATGAAGTGAAGTTTGATGAATGAAGTCTTAATCTGAGTTTGTTGAGTTGATGAGTCATGGTTTGATGGTTGTGTTGGTTGTTGATCGATCGAAATTGAAAATGTTCAAACTCACTTGCGAGGGCGCGGACGCGGCCGCCCAGAGAGGGCTTTGTTCACACTTCACTGCAATCTCATCAAGTTTTGAAACTTCACTTTAAATACAATTCCAACCAATTATCAAAATTATCAAATAACCAAAAAATACAAAATGTAAAACCAATAAACACGAGACACATTATTTATCACAATAAGATTTCTTATCAACAAATTCAATAAAATAAAAGAATTCAAAAAAACAAAAACAAAGGTAAATGCAAAGTGTCTCAAACAAAAAAAGATTAAATCAATTTCATAAAATATATATAATTGTGTCAATAAACCCAAACCAAAAACCCCAACACCTTCCCCTCCCCTTCTATTTCTTTTTCCTTTTCAAATCCCAAATCCTAAACCCCATAAAGTGTTCATTCCAAATCCTTCACAGCAGCCAAAACCAAACTCCAACCCTTAAACCCCCAAACCCTAAGCTCGACGACCCGAACGATTTCTTTCCAATCCAATCCCCCATCCCCACTCCCATGCATGTAAACAAACCTCTTAAGAAACTCCAAAACCCTATGATCTTCTCGATGATCAAACTGATCATAAGGAATCCAAATCATCCAATCAGAAGGTAAAACCAATGATCTTAAAAAAGATCCTAATAAGAATGAAATCAAACAACACATGATGAGTTCGTAAGTTTGAAACCTTCTTGGGGTATAGGTTGGTTGAGCGATCCATTTTGAAATCGTTTCGATCCACTTTATTATCGTTTCCATTGATAAGAACCGGTGTAAGAAATCCAAAACGGGTTGGAAGTGTGAACTTGTTGGTTGTTGAGATTTTAATACATCACCATTCTACATCAACAAAAAAAATCAATTCAAGTTCGATCACAAATTCTAAAAACAGCGCTTACCAACTTATGTGTTCCAACCCCTTGTCCATTCTTTAAACCTTCCAAATCATTTCCAAGATCTTCAAGCACAGGCAACAAACCCTGAGGAGTTCCATCAATCATCCCCATCTTCTTGATCCCATCACTTCCAATCTTAGGTGAACTAATCAAATCAACTTGAATCGGATTCAAAAAATCATAACCAATCACCAACGGACGTTTTAAAAGGTTAGGCAAGACATCCATTAATTCGGTCGGTTTACTTGTACTTGATCCTTCAAGAGTTCTATTCATCCTATAAATAACAAAACAAAAAATCAATTCACTTTTTACTATTTTGCAAAAAAAAATGAAAGAACTTTTACCTTGATATCGAACATGGACTAATCACATAATTATCACATTCCCATCTATCCAACTCAGTCTGACTCTCAAGCAAAGGAATAATCTCCATAACTTTCTCATTACATATCACTTCTTTCCCATTCCCCCCATTCCCCCCATTCCCCCCAATGCCAATCCCTCCAGAGACTTTTTTCAAAGGCACAATAGACACTTTAACCAAAACGTTCTTTTGACTTAATTCATTATACCAACCCGGAAGATTTCCCTTTACTTCATCTTTTGATTCACGATCACTTAAGTTCCTTAAAGGATCTTGAACAACTGATGAAGAGTTCAAATGAACCGAGTTTAATCGTAAAACCATCCGTAACAAAAGATGTTCTCTTTTTTCTTCTTTCGTATCTATTGATGCAGCAAATACAGCAGGACAAGGCATCTCATGTATCGAAACCTCAATCGGTAAATCGATTTCTTCTTTCTCTTCTGTTTCTAATCCTTGATTTTGAGAATGGTTTTGAACTGATGATGATGGTTGAAGAAGTTGGAATCTTGGATCTAATCCAATCGATTCATTTTCCTTAACAAACTTACTTTTCCAATCAATCTTGAATCCATGGGGATACAATTTCCTATCAATACTAATTTCCATGACCACCAAATCACCATGATGAAATCCAATCGGATTCAAACTATGATTCAAATGATTCAAATGATGATGTGGATTCGGTACACTATTCACTCCTGATCTTCTGATTTGTCCTAAACTAGATTTCCTTCTAAGATCCGGGTTCGAAACTAATCTTCTCACATCCGATTTACCTGCCAATCCGATCAATTGATCATGATTTCCAATCACAGTAGAAGAAAGTCCACGTAAATGTTTTACCACATCATACCTACTCGAAGTCAAATTATTAGAGATCGTTCCATTCTGAAGAGAAGTTGAACTCGAAGGATTTAGATGGTTAGACATCAAACTTGTAGACGATGGGATCTCATTCGATCCTTTCCGTAAAAGAACCGTACAGATAAACCTTTCCGACCCCACTGCATCGACCAAAACAGCCACTGTGGGTCGATGTTCATCTTTCAACCTCCATTCCAATTCATCCATCCGATCAGTAGCCAATGAACCATCGATAGCCAACCCCAAACAAGGTTGACAAAGCTTAGGCAACGGACCAAAAGCCTTCACCAATCTTTCAACTCCACTAATCAATCTAGGTAAACTTGAATTCAACATTGAATTAAATGCCACAGGTAATGAACCTCTATAATCAATCGAAGTAAAAAATGTACATCGAGTCGAAGGAATCGTATGGAAACTAACTGAATAAGGATCAATAGTTTCCATGATCCATCCTTCTAATAAGACATTTCCTTCAACCAAAGCATGAGAGTTAAGTTTAGACGTCAAAAAACTCGTTCGATCCTTCGGTCTCGAAAACGATGCACTGGCAATAAAATGTACTGTACTCATACTCGAACCGATCGAAGAAGATGGAACTTGCATCTGTGAAACTATATTCGAAAGTTGTAATGATCTACCTTTGAATGGGAAATTCGGTTTAGTAATCAAATGTAAAGTCGAACATCCGTTTCCATAAGATTCAATCAGATTCGATGATTCGATTCGATCATCCCAATTAGGCCGTGTAGAAAAAGCCGAAATCACTGAAACCATTTCTTCGGCTGTGACTCCTTCGATAACTCGATCACCACGATAAACCGGAAAGACATCGGAGATAGATGGATCGAGTTTCTTATAAACCGATGAATTTCCTTTTTCACTAACCAAGGTCCATCCAATAGGAGGAATCATCACATCCGGTCCTTGTTCAATATGAAACGATTGTAATTTAGCCAAAGCTTCTAATGCACAGATCATAGGTGGTACGATAGGTGGACCACCTGATTGTGGTAAACTTGAACTTGGAGAACTTCCAGAAGAACCGGTTGAGGGGGTGAATTCCGTAGGCGAAGTGGTGATCTTGTTGGGTTCTTTTTCTTCTTTCTCTGGTACGGGCGTATTGGATCTAGAAGCTGGTGGACTAACACAAGGACTATTGTTACGCCAAAGACGTGGACCGCTCAAAGAGTATTGATCGAGACTGATACAAACATCAAAAATCTTGTCATTGGGCATCAGACGATTAAACTAGAGAGTAAAAGGGGGACGAGGGAATGAGATCAAGACAAGAATACATACGGTATCAGACTAGCTTTCACCCTGGTTCGTTTCGATAACTTCATCACTTCTTGATCCGATAATTCTTCTATATCGACATGTAAAGAAGTTCCATTCAAGATCACCCAAGACTTCTCTTTTCCACCATGATGGGTTCCACGTCTAATCGAGATCCTAACAGTTTCTTGAGCCAAGCTTGAAAGATCATGTTCGATCATGACCCACCAACCACCACCAGAAGATAACTTATGACGTTTTAAACAAGTCGATTTAGTAGGTGGTGGGTTGACAACAATCTCCAATGAGTTTGCCCATGTTTCACAATCACATCTAATCTCACATTCGACCGCTGAAAGTTTTGAAACTTCAGACCCGAACGGATCATTGGGATCTTGCATTGAAGCCATTAAAGATCCATCATTCGTAGAATACTCGGCTCTAAAGATTCCTTTTTCATGATCATACTTTGAAACCGAAACTTTAGCACCCAAGACACGTGTGATGATCGGAGGACCTCCTGATTTAAGAGCATATTCTCCTACCCCGGCTACTTGTGAAATCAGTTGTGCCGGTGTCCAACTCTTAGGTGACCAACCCATAGGATCATGCTGATCTATCAAACAAACCGACCATAAAGATCAGAAAAAATCCACCCAAAAAAGTACTGATCCAAAGAAAGTGTATAAATGATTTGGACTTACCAATCAAAGTGATTTGAGTAGTAGTAGGAGACAAAGCTTCGATTGACCAACCCAGAATCTCAGTTCGAGTTCGAATCGATCCAAGATCAGCCGGTTTAATCGTCGGAAACATCTTTGAATCATCCGTCGAAACCGAAAAGATATGAACCGAAGTAGGAGACTTATAAGTTGTGGTGATCAACACCGAATCACGTGGAGCAACGGGCCATGAACCTTTTTGTTTGATTTGCCATAAAGAACTTAAATCGTTCAAGTCTTCTAAAAGAATCGCATCTGATAAACTCGAATCCCATGTGATTCTTGCACCAATCGTATTGATGGCACTATAAACGTTCCAAACGCCTATTCCTACAAACGTGGCTTCTGCTCTGTAGACAGTTAAGGTTGGATCGATAGATTGGAGCTGAGTAACAGTCACGCCTCTTGAATCACTGATATGTTTCCATTTGGCTTCAGGTTCTTGTAAAAGTGAACTAAAGTAAATATAACTTCTTCGTAAGAGAGCCGAGATCGCATTCGCACGTGTTGCAGGCGTTGAACGTTTGAAGAGTGAACTGATCAAAGGACGTGAAGTAGAAGAAGTAGAAGCTTTAAGACAGGTTTCTGAAGCAGGTAAAGATTTATCCGCTGTGAGTTTAGAAATCTCAGTAGATTCGGTTTGAACACTAAGATTACTGATACTTTTGGTTTCATCTAACAAAACACATGGTGCTTGAATCAAAGAGCTTGATTCGATCGGTACAATCTTAATAGGGTTCTGATTCACACGTAACGAATTCCCACCGGCTAATCTTTGAACCGTCACCTTGACCTTGACGATCTGATGAGATCCCGTAAGTGGTGCATGATGAATCCTAAGTGAAGTTCTTGATGAACATGAACCTTTTTCAGCCACCGTGTTCCAAGTTTCATCTGTGCCTTCTCCTTGACCATTTGAACTGATTTGAACATTCCAACCTTGATTGATGGGAAGTTTTAATTCAATCGAACGGTCTAATCGACTTGAATCTTCTAGATTGGGTTCAGGTTGATTTACATGTAATGAAGGAATTTCAGTTCGTTCTGGACTTGGTGTCTCCATCATGACCACTGCATATTCAATAGTCAATTTCTCTTCTGATTTATCAAATGTGGTGGAACCGAAATCGATTCCTTTACCATATGATGAAAGCAAAGGGATCCGATCGGCCTTGGCTCGCATATACTCTATGAATCCACCTAATAAGGAAGCGATTTGAGAATGATGAGTCGAAAAGATTGCACCCTTCCAATTCACTTTCCAAAACACCGTGATCCGAGCTGTAGTGATGACCGGTTTATGATTAAGTGGTGCTTTGGATGATTCGCTCGTCGGTAATTCTTCTAAAGAGATCTGATGACCTAAAGGATCTAAAGTGTTGTGGGAATTGGATTGCGGTGGAGGTTGAGGAGAGAATTGAATACACCAAGCTAATAAGTGTACATGAGATCGTACAAAGGGTGGTGAAGGTCTTAGATAGACAGGTTCGTCTACTGAAGGAGGTAGCGAAGTTGAAATATCAATAATCGTATTCGAATCATGAAACGTTTTGGTGATAGTGATCGAATCTCTTGGACTGAAATTTTCAAAATTCATCATCTGATCAGTTTTACAATGAAATCAATACCCCTTCCTTAAGATTTCTTTAAAACCCACTCAACTTTGCTGGCCATCCTAATCTGAAATCTGTTTTAACAATCCTAGTATTGGAATCCAAGACTTCCAGCACTTTAGCTTGATCGACTAAATTATCCCAAACCCCTCTAATTTCCGGAATATTTAAAATCGATTTAAAATCATCAATGTCTAGCTTTGATTGATCGATCCAAAGATCACTAATCGCTCTCACTACGATCTGACCATCTGATTTTTTACGATGGATCTGTACATTTGCAAAATCAAGTGGTCCAATGCCGTTCAAGAATTCACGTGGATTCGGTTTGGATTCCGAAAAAGGTGTGTGAGAGTTTAGTTGAGTAGCTGTGGGAGGGATCGGTTTCCAGTGTTTTGATTGGTTTGAAGATAATAATGATTTGAATTCTGTCAAGGCTTGGTTTAATGCATCTTGATACCTTTGATGAGTTCTGGTTGATTGGAGTATGAATGAGATCAGTTTAAGATGATGGTTGTCTGAAGAGTTGAGTTACATACTTTTCAAAGGATCCATCCATGATTTCCTACTGGATTGAGTGAGTTTGATATATTCAAAGACATGCAAGGGATTCAATTGAGCTTTGTTGTTTGTTGAAGTTGAAGTTGATGGTGGTGGAACTCGAATGTGAACTCGAAATTCACTCGATCATCTTTCGGTAAAGAGTCCGAGTAGAAGCCACGGGGTAGTCAGTCTACTACTGATCTCACTGAGATCATATCCAAGACTTCGATCAACCAGTTTCATAATGTTCAAGTTCCTAACCCGTTCAATCAAACCAAACCCAAACCAACTCAAAAAACTAACACCCAAAACCAACAGAACGATCATCACTAACCATGAAATCGAAACCCAATCCAACATCATCAAATCAACCATCGATCCAAGTTCACATCAATTCCAATCAAACCAATCATCCATGACCACTTTACTTCAATCTTATCATGATTTATTAAACCATAAAGTTCTACTTGGTGGAAATGAACAATCAAGAAAAAAACATCTTCAGAAAGGAAAGCTATTAGCAAGACAAAGGTTAGAAACCAATTCAAAATAAACCAAACAAAACGGGTTTGATTACTGAGGTTTACTGAGATGGTTTGGTTTTGGTTTTTTGGTTGTATAGAATTGAAAAACTTTTAGATCCGTTTTCACCTTTTTTAGAGTTATCTCAAATAGCTGGTCATGAACTATATCCAAACGAAGACTTACCATCCGGAGGTATCATCACAGGAATCGGTCAAATTCATGGGTAAACCCCAAACATTATGATCTCTACTTCCTTCTCCTTCATATCTATAATCTTGGTTTCAATTCTTTTTGGACGGAACAGGATTCGATGTATGATTGTAGCGAATGATCCAACAGTCAAAGGAGGATCTTATTACCCTATTGTAAGACCTGACTTCTTGATCTATTGAACTTTTCATGAAAAAATGACTGATCTAATTTTTGGGTTTTGGGGGAAACGTCTAGACTGTTAAAAAACATTTAAGAGCTCAAGAAATTGCTGAAGAAAATAAATTACCTTGTGTTTATCTTGGTAAGGCTTTCTAATTTAAATCACTTTTTGAAGTTAATTTAGCTAATCTGTCTCCGTATGTGAAATTTATGATAACAGTCGAATCAGGTGGAGCAAACTTACCATACCAATCAGATGTAAACCCTCCTCTTCTTTGCTCAAACCTTTTTTTTCTTTTTTCTTTTCTTTGGGGAGGGTTTCACTAATTCTTCTTTGATTTGGGTGGGGGGTTTACATAGGTGTTTCCAGATAAATTTCATTTCGGTCGAATCTTTTTTAATCAAGCTAGATTATCGGCTCAAGGGATTCCACAAATCTCAATCGTACATGGGATCTCAGTAGCAGGTGGTGCTTATATGCCTGCAATGTCAGATATTAATATAATTGTGAAGAATCAAGGAAGGATCTTTCTTGCCGGTCCAAGTTTAGTCAAAGTAAGTGATCAAAGTTTCGAAAATCAAAAATCAAAAGTTGAAGTTGGTTTTTTTTTTTGGATTTAGGCAGCTATTGGAGAAGTAGTGGAAGATGAACAGTTAGGTGGAGGTGAAATGCATTGTCAAATCAGTGGAGTAAGTGATTATTTAGCCGAGAATGATGAACATGCTATCATACTAGCCAGACGAGAGATTTTTCATTTGAATTATCATGATCAACAAGTGAAGATGACTTCCAAGGAGGATGGGAAGAGATCGGAAGAACCGTTGTATTCTTTGGATGAATTGAATGGGATTGTGGGAGTGAATTTGAAACAAGCTTTTGAGGTTAAAGAAGTGATTGCAAGGATTGTGGATGGATCAAAGGTGAGATCTGCTTCTTTTTTGGAAAGATATGAGCTTCGTGATAGGATTGATTTATGTTGATGTCTTTTGGATGGTGGTTTGAAGTTTCATGAATTTAAACAAGAGTATGGAAAGACTGTAGTCACAGGTTTCGGTCAGTCAACTCAATCTGAATCTTTTCCAAAATCGTCACTCAAGTTTTCAATCATCTTATGTAGCTCATATACACGGTCAACCATGTGGTATTGTAAGTCTTTCGTTCTTTGAATCCAACATGTTCGACCTTGGTTAATGGTTCCTTTTGTGAGTCAGATCGCAAATAACGGGGTTTTATTCTCACCCTCTGCTTTGAAAGTCACCCACTTTATCCAACTCTGTGAACAAAGACAAATCCCATTAATCTTCCTTGTCAACGTCACAGGTGTAAGTTTTTTTTTGATTCATCATGCTTCTCTCTCTCTCTCGATACTTGATGACTTATAAGACCTTGTGGGTGGGTTTTTGTTTGAAGTATATGGTGGGTGAACAAGCTGAACGGGGTGGGATTGCAAAGGATGGTGCTAAGATGGTTAGAGCCGTGGCTTGTACTTCCGTTCCTAAGTTTACGGTCATCATTGGTGGATCGTTTGGGGCTGGTAATTATGGTATGGCTGGTAGAGCGTAAGTTTGAACATCCAATTCTCGAAACTCATTTCTTTAGTTTTTTTTAGCTTGATCTTTTTGAGTTGAATTTTGATTTCGGGTCTGGGGGAGGTTAGATATGGTTCAAGGTTTTTATGGATGTGGCCTAATGCTAAAGTATCAGTGATGGGAGGTGAACAATTAAGTAGTGTAATGTCATCTATTTCTCAGTTGAGTATTCCTCTGTTTTTTATCTAACATTTTAGTGTATGAAAAGATTTGCTAAAGTTGGAATTGAATTTCATACAGGGATAAAAGTAAAACTGAAAGATTAAAAGCTCAAATCGAACATGAATCAACTGCACTTTATACTTCAGCACGGTTGTAAGTGGTTTTCTTATTCTTTTTTTTTGTTGGTTCGATATGTTTGGTTGAGGTTTGGGTTTTTTTTTCTTTGCTTAGATGGGATGATGGGATTATTCAACCGGTTGATACTAGATCTGTTTTAGGACTTGGTTTATCATTAAGTAATCCTCATCATCATAAGGTCGATTACAGTGGTGGTAATTTTGGAGTGTTTAGGATGTGATTGAAAGTTTTTGAAGTGCTTTTAGGTGCAACATGATTTGGTGATTGAAAATATTGTATAATTATTGGTTTTGATTTCTTCTTTTCTTCTTGTTGTTGTTGATCTCATTCTATAGCATGGTTTTTTTTTGTTTTTTTGTTCGTTTGTAAGATTAGTGTTTGAAGATGATTTCAATTATTCGAATGTTTTTTTTAGTATGGTACCATGCAATTTGAATTTTGAACAGTTTAAGTGTCAGAAGAACAATTTACTCATATAGATTTTTCTTATCTACAATTTGTATGAGATATCATCCAAAACAAACTCCATCATCACATATACTTGAGAAAAAAATTGATTGTGATCATGAATTCAAACCATTTACTTACAAGAAAATCATATTACTCAATCAATTCATTAAACTTTGTGGTAGGTACGTTGCGATGTTGATTTTTTTGCACAGTTATAGGTTACAAGACATTTCGTTTATTTTGTGACTTCATGATGAGGTACGGGAATAACCAAGATATTGTACTTTTCGCATTACATATATCAGACGATCAATCAAACTTTGAAGTCATACCATTCCATTACGAACGCTATAAGAAATTTCACATAGATTTCCTTGCAAGAAAAAAGGATTAGGTATGTTTTGAGCTGCTCTGATCAATGCATCCAAGCTACATATACTTTTGCCAAGATATTAATTTGGCTACCTCTTGTAGACATAGATAGTCAAGACACACCATCTATTCTATACCATTTTTACCCTTTGGTACAATGTATGACCCCATCTACAGCACACCAGGCTTGTATCGATATCTACTTGTATCCTTTGCCCTTTGTAAGAAGGTCGCCTGATTTATCTGGGCATGAAATTGTGTAGAATACTTTGTTATTTAAATTCTTATTTATTAAGCTTGTCTTGTTCTTGACTAGAAGCTGGGAAAAATGTAGACTGCTATTTTCTTCCAAGAAAGACCCTTGTTTGGAATCGAACCAGAAGGAAAGAAAGAATTTAGAGCAATTTAACACAACAACTATGTTCAATTCAAGCTTGGCGCGCCCTAACAGAAGGAATGGGTACATAGTGGTGGTGATAATCGGGCTCACTGTATGAAAAAGAGCAGATATAAGGCCACGCACCCCGACAGAAGGTAGTAGTAGTGATAGCGGTGAAGATAACGGCGGTGGTCCTCATGGTCCCTGGTAGTCCCCCACACGTGAGAACTACGAATCCTAATCCTATATGATATGAACAGACTATTTTGTTCTCTTCTGGTTAGTCGTGGCATTTTATAGCATGTTTTCTAGTATTCAAGAAAGTCTGATTCACTAACTGGAGTCTTCTGGTATGAAGTATAGAATCTGAATTTACAATGGTTCAAGGGTTAGAAGATCATCATTGACTTCGTATATGTTTTTCTCTTATATCAAAACAAACTCCATGATCATACACTAGTACAAGTAAAGCTCACAAATAATATAGGTATTACAAATCTCAAGAAATGATATTTTTTCATTTCCAAATATCATGTTAGAGTCTTGAAGAATTCTTGGTAAGCTGCATCAATGTCAAATAACATCTGTTAAGACAGTATCCAATGTGATTAGCTCTTTAAGGACCAAATTTGCGGGTTATTTGAATGAAGAGGAAGAAGAAGATAATCGTGTGATTCACGAACCTGTCTTGCTTGTTCATCTGTAATCTCATCACTCGCCCTCATAGAATTCAAAGTGATTAGCCTGTAATTCAAAGATCAGTTCATTTCCCCAAGAAAACCCCTATCACAGATTAACAGGTCTCATTGTTTGAAAACTAGAAAAGATAAACTTACCAATGTAAAATTTTAGGACGACCTTGCCATTCTTGACTTTTTGAAAACCGCGAATATCCTACCATCAGATCACTTAAAAGTGGATGTAATTGATCTTTTGCTCTAAGTTTTAATTTAAGTGCATCCATAAAAGTAATAAAACTCTGAAGTATTGCAATTTTTTGAAAAAAATGAGTCAGGGATGAATCAAATTGAGGTTTGTTGAGGTCAATGTATGACTCACTTGAGTGGTTTCTGCTACCCATTTTGCTGCTTCTACTCCTTCTTCTGCTGAATGTTCAACGGTTGCAGGTACACCTACTCGAATCCTATGTACAGCAGCTTGACAATCCATCTATAAAATCGAAAAAAATAACATTAGTCAGAGTTATGTACTATGGATCCTTTCGATGGACGAGTTTCGAAAAACTCATAAACTGACTACGGACCCGATATTCCGATACAAATGCATCGAGTGAAGCTAATTGATCTCCAACTAACTTGAGAATAGTTTTATATTGTGCCAATAATCTTGTACATGCTGGTGTATACCTATTGTAATGAAATCGAAAATCAATGGTTTGAATTAATGATCAATGACGATTTTTGAGATGGAGAAAAAGGTGATATAACCAACTGTGATTGAGTGATACTATCCCTAACATAAGCTCTTTCTAGATAATCTAATGAGATGATAATACTATAGAGAGTTGCCAAGTTATCGTAACGTTCTCGATCAGCGTTTGTGGTGTAAAGCTTATATTCCTTTGATCGATTGGAATTTGCCGTAGGAATGAGTTTCAGTCGATTGAAGAAGTCACTTGATCATCATGACATAGAACTTACCTGATCGAGGTTTATTGACATTGAGTTATGCGATTTGGTTTGATTCGTTCGAAGCAAGAGAGACGATATGAAGTCGGTCAGTTGGTTGTGGCAAGGAAGTTGAAGTCATGAGGTCATTTTATGGAAACCTGTTGTAACAAATACTCGGACATGTCACAGATTGAGCAATTATGTATCTTGACCTGTTCATTTGATCCTATCCATTCTCGCTTTCATCATTGGACCTATTGGACCCTCACGTAAATTGCTTCAAGTTCTGGCTGTTGCGGCACTCTTCGGAAATTTCTTGCTCAAGACCTTGGAGCTGACCCATTGCATTGCAAGTGTCAATCGAGGTGTACAGAAAGAGTGAAGTTGATACCATTTATGTACCAAGCATCCATCACGAAATCATACCGTCACACCTCCAATGCCTGCACAAGTTCTGATATTGAAACATCTTAGACAACGAATGATACGACAAGTCACCGAAATAAGATGTAAACTTCAAAGTTCTACATAAATTATAAAAACATATTATCTCTAAACAAGTTTCCAGATTTTCTTTTTTGCATGCTTCAGCCCTCATCTCCTCATCCCCACTCATCAATCTAAAGCTTTCTTCATTCCCGGATCTTGCTTTACGTTTTGATTTCTACATATCCTTCATAACACCTTGTTAGTGCCGATCATTGACAATAGAATTCATCGATTATTCATTACTCTTGCTTCATCAGTGATCTTTCTTCGAATATCAATCAACCAGGCTGGTCCTAATCCATATCAGATTTCTTGACTTTGACTCTCCGTGTGTCTCTTGTCTTCTTTAAACAATGTCATTCATTCTACCTCTAGTACGCTCTGTCTTTTTCCTTCGGGCTTTCTTTGTCTTGATCATCTTGGGTGCATATTCTCAATCCAAAGTGCCACCGGCGCAATCGAAGCATCAAAAGCTTTCCGACAGTGACGAATGTCCCTCTTACACTGTACGCTATGTTCACATATGTTGAACTTTCTGCCTTGCATCTGACTCTTACTTCCCAAAACCCAAGTAACATTTGACTTGACTCTTTTTCTCTTCAACTGAAATAGATCATTTCAGTAAGAGGTACCAGTGAACCTCAAACGCATCCAGTATGCTGCTCAGGCTTTATCAAAGGGGTCTTATCTACAGTACCAGGAGGAAAAAATTATGAAGTAATTTATCCAGCAACTATGGATTTCATAACGGGACCATTAACAGCTGCAGACGATACAATCAGATACGTTGAATCGATTGATAAAAGGTGTCCAAATCAACCATTTATTTTAATTGGTTATTCTCAAGGTGCTATGGGAGTTGTACGTTCATTGATGAGAGATGAAATGCAAGATAAAAATGTGGTGGCTGTTGTGATGTATGGTAATCCATATCGCACTCCAGGATCACTAGAAAATGCTGGAACAGCCGTAAGTGATTGACTGACTTAGTATAAATGCATCATGAGATTGACATGATTTCTTTATGAAAGACTGATGGCCGCGGGCTAGAAGCTATCAGTGATGTTAGATTACCAGAAAGGTATCAATTCGTAACTCTTGATATTTGCCTCTTGGGAGATATAGTTTGTTCTGGACGTGGTGGTATGAAAGCTCACTTGAGATACAAAGGGTCTCCACAAGAGCAAGAAGCAGTCAGGTTTGCTGCGAATAATCTTCAAGGAAAACAAGGGAGAATTCTACAAACCTCTTTTGATATTGATCAATGATTGGTTTTAATGATACAATCTTATTCATGGTGGTTCTGACTCCGTGCCAGTTTCATCTTACTTGGACATGCTTTCTATTCCACAACCTTGTAATCATTCATCCGTATTCACCATTGTTTGGGAGACTGTGTAGCAAAGCAACAGAAATATGGAAGAACTGAATGGTCAGGTTTGATCTTATTCCTATCGAAGTACTACTTATGATGATAAGTTCGACTCGTGGATGCCAAATGTGTAGTAGGATGTTGGTAATGAGGTATATGAATTTGATCGTTATCTGCTGCACTATCACTTACAATCGACATCATAGCCCTACCATTGACCTTACAAACCATAGTGGACGTCCACACATCTAATGCTACCCAGCGAGTGGGCTTGGTTGAGTTTCGGAGGAGATATATCCCACATCACCAATGTTTCGATCCCCCTGGACCTTCCCTTACCTGAGTCTACGTCTCTCTCAACTGTTCCCAGATGCCTGCCGCAGTGCTGATTTAGTTGGCTCAACAAAAATCCCTCGGTCCGCAACACCTAACTCTAGTGATCTGGCTTATTATTCAAGAAGACAGGATCCCTAGATACCTGAATCCGAAATATCTCCTAGATAATAACTTGAGCTCTAAATGTTTCTCCTCCTGAAAGACACGAAAATGATTTATGATTACCCAAAACTCGATGGGAGAGAAAGAAAAACTCCATACAAAGATGAACTAGAGATTTGTACAAGTAAAACTAAATACAATCACATAATCCTATGATCGAACAACCTCAGAATAGAACCTCATAATCATAACAAAAAATGACGCGACACAGATGAAAAGCAGCGTAACAAGATGACACAAATATTCCGAATCGTGCACTCAAGAGAGACCGCGAAAAGCTCATGACAACAGTCTATTCATCACACTAACACCTCTGTGGCATTCATGGTGCCAGTGATGGCACAATCCGCCTCGGTGTTGTCAGAGTTTGTACTCTCAACAATAATTTTGACAAACAAACCCTTCCAAGACCTCCAGGGTACTCACCATTAACTTCGCCGTACCTTTTGGTTCTTGTTTATCAATACTTGCCTAGGTCAAGTTTTGATAATTGCTTTACTTTCACTTGGCAGGGGTTGAGAAATAAGTTTTTGCATGGCAGTTTTGATCAAAAGGGTAATGTTGAAGATTTTGAAAAGTTGACGGTTTGGTTATAAAATAGCACTCGCTTGACTACATTTTGTGAATTATCTTCTCGCCCGTTGTTCTATTAAACCCAAATTGATATCATTTGATCAGAGATCATCTATTTGTATAAACTCGTCTTTCTTAAAGAAAATCTCCGTTTTATTTTAAATCTCTTTCTGACTTGGTCTCACAAACTCACTTTCCAAAAGAAATCAAACAAATCTCACTCGCACACAATGTTCAATTCAATGAACTTTGCTTTAATATTTGTGCTTTTGGTTTCGTTTTGTAATGGATCACCAATTATAAAATTTAATGATTTGGAAGAAAGAGATTTGACACCTGTAAGTTTTTGTTAAACTTTTTATCACCAGTTAGATTTCAAAGAACTGAAAATTTCAACTTTACTTGCATTTTATCAAATTTTAATCCAGATCCAACACCACATTATCTCAACGTATCAAAAACGAGCAAGTGGACCTTCAGGAGGTCGCGATGATGATGGTAGAAAAAGCAATCCTTCAAAGGGCGGTTCTGCTTATAGCGGAATTCCAGGAACTCCATGAGTCAATCATGTACCTCAGTGATTCTAATTTAATCCACAAATCTGGAATGATTTTTTTCTTTCTCATTTCTTTCTATCATGATTCATAAGGATCATTTCTACGAGTTTTGTTTTGTATATTCTTGATTAATAAGAAATAGGATGATTAAGCTAAAATCTTGTGAGGTTCTGATTCAGGGAATGCATATAATCCAACTGATGAGCATGTGTGAGGGCAATGCGTGCACCTTGAAAGTTCAATTGCACCTTTGACCATCAGGTAGTGCTCAAGTGAGGCCCGGTGGGTCTGCTGGACCTCAATGAGCTCCATAGGGTGACATGGTCTTCAAGGGACACACCATCCCTTTCTGGAGAAATTCCTTCGTATTTAGTGAAAAAACCACCACAGTCAAGTTATGAACGTGACGGTGAAGCAAGTTAAGAGGCTTATTTGACCTCAGTGTAGGAAAAATTGACGATGTAATTTTGAAATTATTAAATGCAGAGGACTGAACTGATCCCCACTGCTTTCAAAGATAGATAAAAGGTAAACAACTAAACACTTATAAGAAAGAAACCAAAGCATGAAAAAGGTATTGAATATGAACAAAAAAAATGAAACTATGCAAGTCCACAAGAGATAAAATTCGAAAAATCAAGTAAATGAGGACCATGCAAGAAGAAACAAAAACGTTAAGAGAAAGACAGCTTATTGCATAATGCAATCTTCATCAGATACAAGTTTGACGTCCATCATCACACAATCTGGATCAATTTGAACCATCTAAACCCCATCAATGATCATCTTATCATCATCAGCAACACCATCTTGGTGTTCCAAATCCATTCGATCCTCCTCCACAAGAATCGGAAGAAAAACATCTACCATTTCTACCTCTGGACAAACCGGATCTTTGGCCGTGTTTCGAAGTGAAGCTATCTTCTCTGCTGCTGCAACTACCCAGGCGATAGGTGTTGAAGTCATGACAGGAGGTGTAGGTCCCAGAGAGCTAGCATTTGATGGAGGTCTTGTTCCTGTGCGGGTTTGGCACGATGTCTGAGCTTGTGGAGGTCGGAGAAGTTGTTGAATTTGCTGGGCTTGTTGCGCTTGTTGCGCTTGATGTTGTTGGTCTTCTACTTGCTGGTGATAGAGCTGTCTTTGATGCTCTTCCTGTTGTTGTTGTTGAAGGATTTTCAGTTGGTGCTCTTGTTCTTGCTTAGCTTCATGCTGTCGTTTTTGCTCAGCTAGTACCTCTTGCTGTTGTTGTTGCAACAATTGCAGCTGCAACTGTTGTTCTTGTTGCTGTTCAACTTCCAGGTGTGTTGGAGTGTGATTTATGATCGGTTGGTCCTTGGATTTGACGTTTGTTTCATCTGACTCTTGCTTTGGTATGACTTGTGATAAATAAGCTGATGCTCCTTCTTCGAATTCCTTACGTCGATTTATAAGTGATATTCAAAGTTCAGAAAGGATTTCGAAAACACTCTTGGAATCGTTTTTGATAATTTTCGCGTGTCTCTCTCGCGTGCGGATCTCTCTTGACCACTTCTTGGATCTCTTCCTTTGACGATATTCTTGATACAACTCTTGATTGAAGTAAGGTTTGTGAATGATTTGTCGGGGAGTCAAGGTTTGAGATTTGTTGAGTTTCCTTCCTCTTGAACTGAACGGGTCGATGCTTCGCAAGAGTTTAAGATTTTGTTCATGGTTATAATAAACCGCGATTGTTTGTAGTTGACTTGGAGCGAAATCGGGTCGTTCCCTTTCAAGGTGACATTTGGCCACACATTTTGTCCATGTAGTTTTTCGAGACATTTCGGCTTGAGGAGCTGGTCGTAGTCGTAAAGTAGAAGTGGAAGACATGTTGATGATAGAAGGAAGTATAGAAAAGAATAAGACTGTGAAAAAAAATGCAGATGATCAGGATCGTCGGATTCCAATGGTTATAGGACAGTAGAAAGACAAGTGAAATAAAAACTTACAGAACAAGATAAAATCCACGTACCTGAACCGAAAGGTGAGCTTGGGTAGGAAAGTTGATGAAGATGTGTTGTTGATGAGACGAGGGCGACGAGCGATGATGATGGAGAAGATCTTCAAAGAAAGGATTCGAAGGTGTCCAAAGGTTTGATGATCTAAGATAAGACATCAAAGGAAATCGATAAACGAAGAACAAACAATTTGTGAGTGCTTATACTAAAGAACAATGGGAAATATAGTGTATCACCACTTGAGCGATAAAAAAATGTCTTGACTTACTTGAGGCGATTGAAAAGGTAAATGAGAATCAAGAAGCAGTGCTAGCTAAAATTGGTATGATAAGTTTGGAAAGTTATTTGAAGATGAGGCGATGAGGGACTTCAAAACTGTTGAGCAAAGTTATCCTATTCTTATACGATCATTCTCAAGAGAGTAAGGCACAAGTAAAGTAAATAGATGGCGAGTCTTGATCTCATGATCCAACTAACTCGTCAACTCAGATCACAATCTACCAAATGAATACAAGGCAGGTAAGGGCCATTATCAACGGTCAAGGAACGATTTGTCAAATCATGCCATGTTGAGGCAATCTGATGAAAGCGAAAAACGCTTGTTGTAAAAGTTAGGATGAGGAAAATGGACCTAATTCGTGCACGTTGACGGCCCAAACCATGCGGGTGTAGCCACACAAGAAAGACAACACATTGACATCGATAGGAATGCCAGGAAGAAGGTTAGATCTGATGAATGGCAGTCGAGAGAAGTTCATATGTGGAATGGGATTTTGAGTGTCACTTGGTCCTTGAATCTCAACATATTGAGAGCTGCACGAACTGTGGCGAGGATGATGCATGGTTTGATCATTAGAAAGTGATCAGTGCAACAATCTTGCAACCTTGAACACCGAAAAGAATTGCGTTGGAAAGTGTCAATGGTGATCCCGATTCAGGATTAGTTAATCGGGAAACATCTTGGTCAATGCTTGAAGTTGGCATTGCGAATAAACATTCTGCTAAAGCTTGAAAAGGTCGAGCTTTGGGTCTGGAGCTTTGCTAAAATTCTTCATTCCTGCATCTTCTTGCATGAGCTGTGATAAATTTAAGGCTGTGACCCGGCCCTGAGTGTGACGGAGCCTCACCGGAGCTCATCCCGGCCCAGATAAACTCGAGTACCTCTCAAAAAACTCTCAGGGCGGATCAAGAGTGGCTCTCAAACCTGCCCCGGTTTTCAAAAAACCCAGTTGACCCAGTTGTTTTTTGGCAGTAACTTTGTGCATCAAGTTGACATTTGTTGACAGCTCCCAGCCAAAAATTCAACTGGGGCAACCGGGTTTTTTGAAACTGGGTCAGGTTTGAGAGCCACTAAGGCTCAGAAGCAGGGCAAAAACACTCCATATAGGGGCGAAAACAATTGATGTCTCTGTATTTCAAGTTGATAGACATGTTTCTTAAGAAACCTGCAACTTAGAAAGTAAAAAAAAGTAGAAAGACTACTTGAAATGAAAAAGCTGAGACTTCACTTTGAATACTTGTGTATATAAAAAGCTATAGAACCTCTAAGAGCCTACTTAGAAATGAAGAACATTCTTGAAGGCACTCTAAAAATTAAAAGAATCTACTTCAATAAGACCTTATAGCATCAGAAAATGTTCTCTGATCAGAAGGCGCACACATGGCAGGAATCACAAGCATTGCCTTTGCCACAAGTGCCAGATTTTGCCAGTGGCGCCCTGGACTTTCTCAGTAAACAAGAGTTTTTCAGATCTCATCTTCTTGAGGTGCAGTGAGATACTCCTTGGTGTTGTGTTTAATTGAAACCATTTTGCAACACTTGATGTGAGGTTGAGGTTGGTCAAGGTTAAAATTTTCCTGAGGTTCAACAACCTTGATTTCAGGGTCAAAAGTGGGCTTGAATTTTGAGGCTTGATCAGTGGAGTAGGTGAATAGATCTTCTTCACCCAAACCAAGCAATTCCATTGTTTGGGCTGTGACTGTGGTGAGATTGATTCAAGGATCAAGAATGGCAGTGCATATGTACACCACATAAGGAATTTTATAAATCCTTCACTAAATTTCCTTATGGTATGTTTGAAGGTGCAAACAGAGGGAACTGGATACCACTGTTGTGGATCCAACTGAATTCTAAGACCAATTAACTTTAATTATATCATCTGGCCCCAAAGGATGCAAAGCAGAGATCAGTCAAATATTCCCTTGAGAGAATGGGTACAAATAACAAAGAGATTCCCTGAGGAGCCAGTTGTGTGGGCAATGAATTTGACATGGTATAATAAGCTGTTACTTTAGGTCTAAATATGTCGATATGTGTACTTATGTTTGTAATTTCTGTTATGATGTTCCGATAAAATTACACACCACTGTTGTCAGGGCTGACTCCTGATAATGTAAGATTTTCTTTATCATTGACACAATTGCAGCTTTGAGTGCCTAGCATGTATAATCAGCCCAGGCCTCTTAGAACACACAAGGATTTAACCAGTAACACATCAAACAGAGGAGAGAAAGTAATGATGAACTGACGAAATGAAAAGATAAAAATAAAAAACTTACATGTTCAAGCCAATGGACAAGCCATTGATAGCACCTGGAATTTATAGCCAAGCATAACAAGGGATAATGTTGGGTATATATGGGCTTCAATCATTTGGGTGACAGCAGCAAGAGGCAATAAAAACTGAACTAATTTTTTCATTTAAATACATCCAGCATGGCCAAGTTTAAAGCACTTGAGTGCTGGGTTGCAGTCAAATTTATACTGCAACATGACTCTAAGCTCAACAAATCAAGCAAGAAAAAGTGAGTTGAAGACCACCAGGTTGAGACCTTGTGAACAAGTCCAACCTTGCAAGCCAAAGTGGCACACCCAGTAATGGTGTTATCAAGTGAAGTCTTGAGCTGACTACTGTGTTTGATTTTTTTGTGGAACCCTTGGATTCTGGTGAGAATGATACTTATATCAGAGTTTGATGATAAGAAATGGAACATAAGACTGATTTTGTGGAATATGGATCAAGTGCATGAATCAGAGGGGGCTCCCTTTGATAGAAAACCACTGTCCTAGCCTTGGCAACACAATTGATGATGTGATCAACACATCTGTGGAGGTTTTGGATGATGTAAAATTGGGGGATCATGATGGCAAGCTTTTGACCCATGGTTGTGTTGTTGGACACATTATTGGCTGCAATACAATAAATTTGCTCAGAGATGTGAAAGGAATTGAGGATACTTTTGAGGAAGCCAGTGAGGTTGGCACTGGTGTGAGGTCCTTCAATTGGTTTCAATCCCAGAGTGATTCTGTGGAGTTCAAAGTCCTTGGAAATCCAGTGAACAGTGACACCAAGCATAGCAGTGTTGGAGGTAGAAGTCCATCCATCACACGTGATGGAGACATGAGAGACCAAAGAGAACATCTTGCTTATTTGAGCTTGAATTAATGAGAAGTGATCCAAGATTCCATCCAATATTGCAGTCTGTTTCAATAAAAGCAAGAAAGCCTGGGGTATGTTAATTTTGATGATCTCTCTGAACTCCTTTGTGTCAACACATGAGCCCAGGACCTCTCCATTGATAACCATACAGATTAGGGCCTCCTTGAGTTTGGCTCTGCTGAGGGGTTTTACCTAGAAAACCAAAACAAGAAAAAAAAGTAAGGAATCAAAATAAATTAATGAATCGCTGTTGGTAACGAGTTATTAACCTAGTGGAATGGGAGAAGTTGGTTATTTACATTACATGTTTGTTAGTAACTGACGGGTCGGATATCTATAATATTAACTTCCGTTCTATAGGTATGACATCATACCATTTGTCCATTACCTTTACCAACTTCCATCGCTTCTCCTTCATCGAAGTCTCAAACATTCGATCTCAGGTTTATCATCTAGCTCGTTATACATCTTAGTTCTAAATCAAAAAATTTTCTCGCAATAAAGGTACAAAATATATCAATCTTATCTAAAAAACCGTTCTAAAAAACCGTTTCATCTTAATAAACCGTTTTCATCTATTTTTAATAAATTTCAATGAGTGATGATGATAACTTCGATTACGAAGGTGCTAAAGTGGTGGCTGACAAGTTGGCAGCCCTGTCCTCCGGTTATGAATCGGGCGGAGGCTCCAATGCCAAGTCTATGGCAGAAATGCGATCGTTATTCTCCGAGATCGTCCCCTTTGTTACTCCGAATTGGTACCGACAATGGTCCAAGTTCGCATCAGATCTTATCGAATCTGATAAAGATAATGGTGGTCCTGTTCATATTAATGAAGGTCCAATTCCCACTAGTACTGTTAAATCGCAAGATGATCCAGTTTATGTTTTTGATCTCTCTTCTAATCCAACTTTTCCGGATGATATTGTTATTGATAAAGAGAAAGATAAAAGTAAAGAGATTAGTCGTCACGGAAGCAAGCGGCTTTCCCCTAGAGTGCATATCCTCACTCAAGAGGAGATTGACCTGGCTCAAATCGCTAGGAACTTGTTGGAAGAACAGTCTGGTGGAAAAAAGGATGCTTCTCAGCGCTCGAAATCAACACCTCCTCATGTCGAAAAAAGAGGAAACAAACATAAGAAACATCAGAATCATACAGATCTTGAATCTGACAGCTCCGACGACTCGGACGACATCAAAAATGCTAAGAAGACGAAAAGATTCGACTGGTCTTCCAGAGCAGAGTCTGGACCTAATTCAGAGGCTTCGTATACTCCGGGTGCCCTTAGATTTTCTAAAGCAAAGAGGGGTTATGCTTCTAGCATCTCTCTGGCAGTTAAAGGTTTGAATGCAAGTGTCAGACCTTCAGACTTTCCGAAAACTCTTACGAAAGATCTATTGGAGGGTGAATACATTGATTTACGGCGAATCAAAGGCGAGTATTTGGCTAAACAGAAAGGCTATCACTACACCAAATCAATAATATACCATGGAGTTCAGGAAAGTCAAGATGTAGAAAATTCTCAGCAATGCATGAGAGGTAGGAAAAATTTGAAAAAATATGGTTAAATCACTCTGTGAGTTGCTATCATTTTGCATATTTTTTCATATTTTTACCTTGAGTTTTGAAGATGTTACCTAGAAAAATGATTTTGTGGTGTATTTGGTCAGAAACTCAAATTTTGTCCAAAACTACCCAGGCTTGGGCAGAAACTTTTCAACAATCACAAATACAACAATTTTCTTTCTATCAGACTGGCCGTTGCACATTATGAAAGCCACTTACTGGATCTACAGTTTCCATTTGGATGCTAAAACCCTGGCAGAACAGATTTATAAGCTTTTCTAGCTTTGCTGTTGGGGACAGTGATTGCCGCACCTTTGTCATTTTTGGACACACACTACTCATTCTAATGTGTATCTGGTCAATTAAACACACAGCTTTCAGAATGGGCAGACATTCCAGATGTTGACACAAAATTGACAATTTTATTGGTCTCACAAGGTGAATGCCTCCATGACTGCCAGTTTTGGACATAAACTGAGTTTCTGACCTGATATACACTGCTGCCGTAAAAATATTTAAAAATATGCAAAATGATGGGCACACACAGGGGAATGCAACCCTTATTTTTCCATATTTTTTTGACCCCTTCTGCCTTGTGTACAATTTTCTATGTCTTTTTAATTTTCTAAACTCAGCGGTAAATTTGCAATCTGGTGTAGTGTATACAGCTCCTCTCATTGTGGATGGGCGCGATAAAAATCTTTCCCTCCAGAACAAAGCTTTGTCTGAAAAACTCCTCGACGCACAGGAATGGTTTTACTATTTTGACATTTTACAAAGAACTTATCAAGAAGCCTTTCCGAGTTGCTACGACGATTTTAAACAATACGCGGAT